GAATGAGTGGTTTGGAATTCTGGGATGAGTGGGTTGGGATTTTGGAATGAGTGGTTTGGAATTTTGGAATGAGTGGGTTGGGATTTTGGAATGAGTGGGTTGGGAGTATTCTGGGATGAGTGGGTTGGGAGTATTCTGGGATGAGTGGGTTGGGATTTTTGGATTGAGTGGTTTGGGACTTTTAGGATGAGTGGTTTTGAGATTATTTGGGTTTCTGATTGGGTGGTGTCGGGATTGAGTGGTGTTGGGACTTTGGGACTAGCTCTGCGACTGTTCTAGATTCAGTGGTTTGGGACTTTCTGGGGCCGCTCTGGGATATTTCTGGGGCCGTTCTGGGATATTTCTGGGGCCGCTCTGGGATATTTCTGGGGCCGTTCTGGAATTGACTGGTTCTGAGACTGTCTCGGGACTCTGCTTCTCTAAAAAACATCAAACCATAGGGTGTCACTGGAAGGATGTAAGGCCCCACCTCCAATAAAAACCATAAAGACAAACCTATAGTATATCGCAACATTGGCTCCGGTAATAAGGCGCGAGCACCAATTCACAACGTCTCAAAGAGGTTGTGGCTCTCCTAAGACGTCCCATAATCAAGGCCAGCCCCTTGAATGAATTAACCAAAATCCATCGTCTCATAGGACATGTTCCTAAGGATAGTTCATTTGATAAGGTGGCAAGACGTACCATTGTCTTTACCTCCTGGATCTTAAAGACACAAGGCTTGAGGACAAAACGTGATGAAAGGCCCAGTGTCAAGTATCTTAAATGTCATTATCGGGTAGAAAACAGGTGCTGGAAAAGCTGGCTGAGACAGTGACGGGCAATGGCGCAGGAAAAGTGGTCGGATCGGAAAAGCGGCGGTAGTAATGGAATGAAGGAAGAGATACCAAAGCAAATTAATGCAAGGAGATTGCGAAATGCTCGCTCTCACTGCAATAAACAATCTTCCTGTTCCATGTATGGCAAAACCTCGGATGTACACCCAAAGCGTGTCGATGAATTTGCAGCTGGAGACCATGTCAAACGGAACAAAACAAAGTTGTGCTCATGGCGCACATCACATTAGTTACTGGCCCTGCGTTGTTTTTCTTTAGTCCATTGATGGCGCAGTCTTTTTCTAATCAACATAGTTGTGGGCCATCAAAATCCGTCATAGAATTTTGTTTCGGTTCCCAGAAGAAATAAAGTATGTCTCGAGCCTGGCATTGATCTTTGTGTCGGGTTTAGTCACGTCAGTCCAACTGAATACTCCTAGTTTTGACTATTCCTGGTGCAATGTTAGCCAGGAGTAGATTTCCGGATTTTTTGTGCCCCCAGCAACGTCTAGTCTCGTAAATTACAAGTCATGTTATTGTGCAATTTCAATGTGTGTCAGGCTACTGCAAATTGTGAACCTGCATACTTCATTTATTGCAAGTACTTGTTCAAATGTTTGTCGATGATAACATCTTCCAAATGTAGAGGGACTTTTTGAAGCCGAAATAAACTTGCAGCTCTGTGTTGATCTCTTGATTGAAGCATTGATTTGGCTCGGGTTTGCCTTCTGACATTGACCCCGAAATGCTCCTCTAATATTGGGTCCAAATCTTAATAGACCTGGAAGAGGTCTTTTGGAGACATCATATTATAGGGTGTCACTGGAGGGATGAAAGAAAGCACCGCCAGCAACTATAAAGAAATAAACCTATAGTAGATCGCAACATTGGCTCAGGTAATACGGTGCGAGTACCAATTCACGAAGTCTTAAAGAGCTCCCCTAAGACGTCTGCCCATTATTAATGCCAACAACTTGAATGAATTATCCATAGTCTCATGAGATATGTTCCTCAGAGCCCGTGACCATAGTTTATTTAACAATACAGCAAGACATACATTTGTCTTTGCTTCCTGGTACATTTGTCTTTGTCTCCTGGTCCCTAAGCAAATAAACCCAACGAGTGATTATAACAAACCAATTAAGTATTTTTGGATTAGGAAGTATCTTGGAGAGCCATGTCGATTAAGTGCATTGGAGCTTGAAAACCGATCTTTCACAACCAGAAGTGCACAATCTCACACTTATTGTAGAGGTGGGTTTACTTCTGAACGCTACAACAGTTTTTGAAACACAACCTTCCTTTGAATCTTGACGCCCCAGCTTCATCATCACGAAAGAAAAAAAGGAGCCGTGATTGAACAGATGGATGGCGGTGAGATCCTTTTTCACCAAGTATTCTTGTTTGTATAATCTTTAAAGCTTTTCTTCAACGTTTTAATCGAATCACAAGAAAACGCCTCGGGCGGAGTGGCGAAATATCGTAGTGACATCATGTACTTTATTATATTATTACAATATTACTAATAATGTATGTGCTACAATAATAGAATATCACCATCTGCTGAAAACGTTTTACTAATTATCTTGAATGAAGTTCTGCACGATTGCACAAAAATGGATAGTAGCTATAAATGGTTGTTATAATGATACTCAATTAAGAATCAATAAAATAAGTGAGTTTTGAATGGACTATCAACTTCTGAATACTAAAATGAGTATTTACTACAAATATCGTATTCTTTTACTTGGGCTTTAACCAAAAAGTTCTTTTATTCTCGGTAAATGGCTTGACTAGTTAACCACGATTAATGCTTCACATTGTCTCAGTCTGGGTCTACTAGTCTCGATTTATTTGTATGGATTTATCTGTCTGGCTTTATTCCTTTGGCTCTCTTGTCTGACTCTATATCTTGGCTAAACGAGCAAGACTGCGCCGAAAATCAAAAGGGAAAGAACAATTCAAACAGAGCTCGATAGCGGAAGTCATATTCAGCATGGTGCCGAAAATTAAAGGTCCTTCGTAAATCGGATGCATGTCAGAAGTTCCCATAACATGGTCTCTTTTAATACAACTGATGTGGCAATGAGAGCGGCATATTCACTCAGTGCTTGGGGCAAGTGATGTCCAAACAACGCAAGCTTTTTTTGCGGTAATCGTTCAGGTCGCCAGCACGCGAAGGAAAACAAAAAAAAAACCCCCGATTCGAGAAAACTTCAGATGATTACAGTCGTTCCCAATCTTTGATCAATAAAAGAAAGCTTTGGGCCAACGAAAATGACTTCATTGACCATGAAGAAGTATTCTTCGTTAAATAACATCTCCTAAATTCTTAAAGTACATTCCCACATTTCAATACAAAAAGTGTATAAAGTACCAATCCATAAACTATTTCCTAATTTTACTCCAACTAATGCATGAATTAAGCTGGTCTCTTTGTCTTCTCTTAATCCATAAGTCCTTGTTCATTTTGGTATTGGCGTTTTCTACGGCAAAAAAGATCCCCACAATGCCTAAGCTAGGAAGTACCCGACTTTTCACAGCGGCCATGACAACATTGTTAGGCGAGAATTGTATTTGTGGCTGGAATATGAGCCACAAACAAGCAAAATACTCGTGTCAGAGAAACTCACCACATCAGTCAAAAATGGTTGTTGATTTTTTGAATATGCTTGGGAAGCATTTGAATGAATGGCTTAATTTTGATATATTTCGATGATAACATGCCTACATAACTTTGTGCTGCGTGGAAGGTTAGTACTGCGGCTAAAGGTTTTACGTGGATGTTGTGGAAATCAAATGAAAAACAGAAACCCGTTCTATATAATGCAAACTCCGGAAACTGGAACTTCCGGACGTCAAAATTGTCAAACATAGAGCAAACTGTTTACTAATAAACACCAACATTAAAGTTAAAGCAGACCTCCCGGCTCGAAAAAGGAACAAAATGGGAAGGGAGTTAACAGAACGCAATCTGTACATGTATTTCCATCTTGATTGCGGCTAAAATCTTGCGCGTCTGGCCAAGACAATCCAAATTAAATGGATTCAGAGAAGACACTCATACAAATGACCGCTGCCACTTGCATGCGCATATTGGTATAAAGCTTTTGACTATTCCAAAATTGGCAACAAATTCCTCTTGACTTGTACTAATCACAGCTCACGAGGGGATCACGACTGCTGCACCAAGACCATTTGTTCAAAAAGTTTAAGAATTAAGAACAAAATTTAGGTGATCAAGAGATCAGATCGGTCGTAGTGTTTGTCATGAACAAATACTTTTAGTATTTTGTAAGGCGTATATATCGACACAAGTACGGACTTCTTTCGGATAATTTTCTGCGGCGAAATGATCACCTGATTATGACTCCCAACATGTGTTGGAATTATGGGCCACCACGACGACATACTTAAAAATAAACTTGTTACTGGAAATTCTTGTTTGTTCCTTCCTTCAAATTACTTTAAGTGAAATATTTAGCATCAAAAGTTAGATCTACTACAAATATGGGTCACTTTTTTCCAGGCTTTTTACTTGAAACTAGGCTGGATAAGGTTTCAATTGACTTTGATAGAGTTTTTATGTGATTACTTTATATCTGATGATCCAGGAATGACTTGTTTACCAGAAGAGCACAATCATCATCCTTTTTTTTGCGCTCTACTTTCTCTCTCAATCTATTCTTTGTTTTAATACATTGAGCGAAATTCTTGCAAAATTCACTGAAATGTTTCAGTTTCTTTTAGACTGTGCCAGGCGGTCGTATGACTCGTCCGAATAATCACAAGCTGATACCAAATCTCTCGATAACGCACGGATGTCATCAAACACTTAAAAACAAGCATGTGCCTCGCGCTAGATTTGCGGCTTGCGGAGACAGATAAACCCAGCATTATGAAGAATGATTTCGACAAGAAAAATCATATTACACGTTGATTCCTCTCTTTTCCAGATCTCTTCTCTTGCACCATACATGTAAAAGCGCAGCAATTGAAGATTTATAAACATTGTGCCAAACTTCGAATTGTCACACGGGCGGCTCTTATGCTCAGTCTTCGCACCATAGCTCCAGCTCTGAGAATGGAGGACTGGTTATATTCAAGACATTTGGGCCAGCGCCCACATGTTAATTGTAGTGCAGTACACTCATATCAGCGCAGATACTTGACAGATCTAACTTTCCCTCAAACTACTCCAAATCCAAGACCATATGGTCTCATCTGTCTGGAAGCACTAAACTCTATGATACATTGCTGAGAGCCGACAAAAAGCCGGGACCTTGTGATGCCATCGAAAAAAGACTAACCTCATGTCTTTTTCTTCAGGAGCCTGAAATGTTTAGGTATACAATCCCGAGTAGACCTAATTAAACAAGCCCCACTCACAAATCTTGAATGTCGAAGCAGCAGTTTTGACAACATTATACGCCAGACCCAACACTGGTTCAGTGCCACTGACAGCATTCTGAGCCATTTGAAAAAACGCGTCCTGACTAACTTCTCCACTCTCATGGGGAACCGTCATAGTTATGAGGATATCAGACTGCGCTTTGACAACTTGCAATAATGTGATGTACATAAAAAGCTTGGTCGTTTCTGTCTCCTGCTTCGAGGGAGCAGGCTTAACCAAGAATGTGTGCACATGCGCCTGAACATCTTCGTTGAAAAACGTCTCTAGAGGAGCCAAATACAAAGGAGCTTCGTCTAAAATATCACCCAAATGCACAGATATGATTTCGGGAAGCGTGGGTGCTTCTACTGTCTCGAGTAAATCCACAATAAGGGCCTGATCTAATTTGTTGGCCTGCTCAAGCAAAAACACCTCCTGGGTATCTGGCACTTCTCGGATATCAGATACGTCAATTGCTCCCTCTGGGAACATCGAGGAAATTGCACCCCCATATAGAGACACCTTTGCAAATCCCATTTTATTTGTCTCCTGTGGTGTTTTGGATATTTTACAAGGCAATGAATCAGTGAGATTTGGGGCCCATGTTTCAGGCGGTCTTGACCCTGGGGGCATTGAATTAAATATGAATTGATATGAGTGAATGATATCTTTGAAAAACAATAGGGGGTATCCACGGAGCTCATTTTACTATCATAGGGAAAGTTGAGTCAGAAGTCTAAGATAACAAAAAAGATTGCAGCACCACAATTTCGCATATGGTCTCCCACTACACTACTCAGTGTGGCCCTATGCTGCTTAACTAACGTTGATCGGAAGGGAAACAGTGCTTCCTGCATGGTATGGCCGCAACCGATATTCTAATACGTAGGAAAAATATACCAATATAACTTTAATTATTAATGGTAATTGTTGACAAGAAGTCTCACCCCAAGCTCGCATTTTTATGTGTTGAAAAAATGGTTTGAGATTGCTTCAATTGACTCCAGATTGATCTTCTGGAGCTGCGGTTGGCCCCAGCCGACAATTCTTGGGAGAACTTTACAAACATATTGTTTTTTTGTTTTCAAAAGAAACATCATATTATAGGGTTCGTCACCGCGATTTTAAAGGTATACACCCGAGAGTGTCGCGAGTCGCAGGAAGTTGGCTTCCTAAGTCCACTACAAGCATCTGTGTTGAGGCGAATACTAAAGCAGACCTATCTCAGGAGTATGACGTAATATCCAATACGCAAACAGGTACGGGACAAGAGGACCGTCCAGGCCGTGACTAACAAAAGGAGGCGAGCTGAGTTTCGACATTTTGTTTGTATATGAGAGCTGTTTAAGGGTTCTTCATTTATATTATTTGTATAGTTTTGCTCCTTTAATCATATGTATTCGCCAAAAAAATGTAGGAACGTATTTAGGGGCTGTCAATTGTTTTCATGCAATATTTCATAGTGCTGTTCCGATCCACTAAAAAAGAAGCCTGTAAATCTGGCAGAATTCATGTCCTTGGAATGGAGAGAGTATAGTTTACTATTTAGCAAATGAATGCGAAGTGGGCTTCCGTTTACTGGGTGCAAAAAGTTCTTAATCCTAAACTAGGAGTGTGAGAAACTAGATGGAGCCTTTGAAAAAAAACTTCAAATCCACTAAACTCAGATTACTAGTAAACTAGGAAAAGAGTCTTGAGGTCTCGAGTGGCTTCCTTGATATTCGGTATCTTTGAGAAGAACTCAAAAAGCAAGCTAATCCTGAAAAGAAAAATTAAGCCGTTGTCTGTTGCACAGCTTTATGTTGTAAAACTTTGTTGGCGGCGTCTCTCACGCAGTTTCCACAAACGTACGGGAATGGTCCGTATAAGCCTCAAAGAGTAATTAATTGATTTTAGAATATGATAATACGTTGACAGCAAAGAGCTACATAAGGGTAAAAATAGGCTTTTTGGGGTAAGATGCGCCTTCTGAATAAGTTTTATTAAGTCGAGCGTATATAACATAAAATACTTCTCAAGCTCACGTTCCTGACTTCTCCGGTCAAGCTGTATACAGAAAGCTGACTCGTTCTAACTGAACAATATCGAATTGAATCGTCTTCATATAACCTCATTGTTGTTATTTGTTTCTTGTTGGTCCGTCAATATGTTGGATATCTCTCGTAACATTTCTTTCTGTAGAAGACTATCTTGAATCTTTACACGCATAGAAGCCATTCCACGCAGGCCTTGCTGCTGTGCTATCGTATCCATAATCTGAGCGACCACACTTGGGGCAAAATTTAGTTCTTCGGAAGTTTTAGTAACGAAGTTAAAAAAAGTTTTCTTGAATTTCCACAAAGCTAGCTGGTCATATCTCCACTTGGCTCCGTATTTTGACTCCCTTTCTAATAGCGAAGGTCTTCCAGGTATAGGGATCTGAAACTCTTTCAATAAAGTAGAAACGGGAATATCTTTTGGTAGCATTCGAAATTCTGGAGTCTTAAAACAATCCTCAACTGTCTTAGGAATCGAATAGTATTTTGAGGTCGGATTTATTTTGATTTTTTTCCGCAGAATCGAATATTGATCATCTGAATGATGGTCATACTTGTCATTTGCCTGCTCAGATGAGTCGAACTTTAGTTTTATGGGAGAAAAAAGCTGAAAGGGTCTGTTGTTTGATTGCGCAGGTGAATCATTCAATATTTTTTCAGGAGACTCATGCTCGATTTTCATTGAGTTCATGATCACCTGTAAAGCCCCCGAAAGTTTTTGTGTCTCATGTTGCAGCGTCTCCATACATTTTTTCAGCATCTCATAACATTGTTTCGTCAGTGCCTCCAAAGAATGCTGTAATCCGTCAATGTTTTGTTTCAATTCGGCAATCTGTTGCTTCAATATTTCATTCGTATTTTGAAGAAGGATCTGATTCTGATTCGCAAATAAATTAACGAAGAGTCCAAAAAGCTCACCCTTCACTGACTTCTCGATGACCTTAGGGATTTTGTTACTGAGATCTCGAAGATCGTTTTGTTACTGAGATCTCGAAGATCGGATTGGAGTGCCTGAACAGTGTTTCGTATGTTTTTGTTGAGAAACTCCATCCCCATTTTGATGTTATTTATCTTTTGCCCGAAAGACGTAGCGAGACTGTCTACCTCATGCAGCTTTTCCTGCGTTTCACTAAACAAAGAGCAGTCATTTACTTTCTCTTTCACCTCTTCCTTGAATTCGAGAAATAGCACATGTTTTGTGATCGGGTGGTTGGAGTAAATACTGTTTGGCGCTAAATCAACCAACAAGGCCAAGTCTTGAAGGATTATCGATCTGAATTTTTTGAGCATCTCTAGAAAGCGAGGGGCTGCACCGTCTCTGTCATCAAACGAGAGATTTGCTTCATCCGTTCTATTTTTCACTTTTGCAAGGACCTCTTCAAGCCACGGAAATATTCGTCTTTGTAGCTCTTCAGGGGGGCGCAACATCCCGAGAAAGGCGATATGGCTCTTCGGGCTTGAACCCACCTGAGAAATGAATGAACTCGTAGGCATACGCCGAAATGTATTTGCTTTGAATCACATCCAAGTTCCATTTTCCACTTCTTTATAATCGAGCTTCTTCAACCAAACAAACTTCTACTTTTTCACCATTTTTCTTTCTTCCTAAACGCGACTTCTTCAAAGATTCGAAACCAATGCTGTCTAGACACATGGATACTAAGTTTTCTGCATAAGCTGGACTAATAGGTCTATGATGCTTTGACTCATCACTGGATGCAAAAAGAACTTTGGGATCATACCAGCTCCCCTTATCCATGAAGTTTAGTGCTCTTCCACCCGAAAGCGGTGCATGTTGATTTTGAAAGTCGAATCGGTACCAGAGCGATAATGCAAACGCTGAAACTAAGCAGATTTCGACATCCTTATTGCGGCATACTCCCAGTATACCTGGTAAGCTGCTGCGGCCCCTAGTGTTTTCTCTTACCAACTGAAATCCTAGAATAGGGACAGTCCCGTGCGAAGTTTCTTCTTCAGAATAGACTGAACCAGAAAGCTCGAGCTCAGTTTTGAGCAGGCCTCGGAGCATTAAATGATGTCCTAAAAGAAATTCCAAAGTCGCGTTTATCCCGTCATAAATATCTTTCTTTCTCCCAGAACCGGTTTTCTCGAGCATGTTTATCATCATGTTCTTGCAGTCTGCAATACTGTACTTCTTTTGGAACATTTTAGCGTTGTTTTTGTTCAAATGTTTTTTCTTTGATTGCTTGAACACAGTCTTTAGTTTTTCTCGGTGGTAATCGTCAAGTAGGCCAAGATATAGAATGTTTAGCCATTTGCGCTTAATTTGCTCCGCCCTTTCTTGTTTATCATGTATTTTCGCCGTCTTGTAGATCCCAAGACATTTTTGCAATACTTGTAATACGTACTTGAAAAGCGGGATGAATTTCGGACCGATTTTACTCTCTTGAGACGCGGGCACTTCGGTCGCAGAGAAAAGAATATTTTTGACACATTCTAGCATGAATTTCCCATCGACTACAAAGTTGGTTTGATCTAAGTTCGTGTGGTTAGACACATAAAGCACATAGCGGGCGATCTGGTAAGAGTACGCTCGCTATGTGTGGGGCTTCCACTGATTATTGCAAGCAACAACACAGGGCGGGAACGGAAGAACAGTGTTTACGTACTTGAAAAGGATCTTTCCTGTGGCATCAAGTTCACCTAGTTTCATCAATCGCGAGTGAGGATTGGCTCTTCGGTTGACATTTCCAAGTAGAACCTTTGGATACACCATACTGTCAATATAGGCGGTGATTTCGGGGTTTATTTCTGTTTCTGTTCTGCGAAAAGTTATTCATTCCGTCGTCTAATACGCTTTGGCTCATTGCTTCGACATATATGGACTGCGGCGTTTCCGAATCGGGTTGCACGGTCTCAGTATCCCTCGGTGAAAGAAATTCGTCCGACTGGCCGTAATTTTCTTCTTCTCCATCCATGTTGTCCTCGACACTGTAGTAGACACTATTATCTTCGAAGTTTAAGATTGCGCTCATGATGACATACCTTAGCTAATGTTGATTATCGTGAAATACAGTAAATAAACACGGTAGCATGACCCCGCATGGATGTACTGATGCACGCGTTGGACCACTTCATAGACGCATCAGTCTCGACTATTTATCAGTGTGCATGCGAGATCGTGTTGCAAGATGCCTCACCTGCTGGACAGAACAACCTTGTGGTCCGGTCCAGCAATCTCCTTCATTTAGCTTTTGACGGATAAGCAAAGAAATACATGCAAGAAAGGAAGCGCGCTCTTGCGGAATGCGCGGGACTTTTTTGACTTCAATGTCTGAACATGTAATAGACAGTAGAGTATCCGCCCCCAGATTACTCTTATCATATGTGCTCTATATATTTCCAAATCAAGTACATTGGTCCACCCGAAAACAGACGTGTGCCCGGAACGAACGTAGTCTGACTCAAAATTTCCTGTGCCTGATTTGCTTAGACACAAGGAATAGTAGGCCTTTTGAAATAAGCGGAATAATTGGAACACCAAAACCCGCGACTTCTGACCGCGAATGGGTAGGAGCGGTCTGCAAAAACCGACCGGCACCCCCGTTTTTTAGTCCCGTTCCTATTCTTTGCACACCCGTTCAGGTTTAACAATCCTACAAGGTTTACAGCAGCTTGGAGAACTGAATACGTTTTTTATATCTGTGCATGGAGCCGCTTGTTCAAAGCAGTGTCTCCCCCGGGTGTGTTCCCAATAGTATTCACAGTATCGAGGCAAGGTATAGTGTTCAAATCGCTTTGGTCTCATAATAGCCAATTTTCTGCAGTATTATTAACAAGCTTTGGAGCCAATCGCTTGTCTTCAAGTAAGGTCCGCAAAACCACCGGCCTATCCGCCAAATACAGTGCGGTGTAGCCGCCTGGTGCCGCGAAGTCCTCACAAATATATCTAGGCACCGAGTTGCACAGCAACACCCAAACATGATGAAGCAACGGAAAAAAACATTCCGTGGAACAGATGCCACTGCGCATGGCAAACACGCCTGAGGCCAATCGCCCTTGCGTATTTGGCATCAGTGCTCTCCATATAGCCCGACCTCGAATGGAAACACCGCGCTCCAGCAGTCTATAAACAGGCATCGGCCTGATGTTCGCGCCATTTCATCATACAACATTCGGGCTCCACTACGCACGCGGCTGGTCCCCACAATCACTCTGATGAAGACCAACAGAATGACAAACCGCCGCAAGTACATCGGCATCACCATCGTACTATTTGTGGCGCTTGCCGGGCTTCTCAGGTGGTCGACTGCCCGAAGTAAGGACACGTTGGCGGCCGACAACTTCAATGGGCTCTACCTGCTTGTGTTCTCCGAAAACGACAAGAAGCAGGACGAGTTTCTCCGCCGGATCGAGAAAATGCACGCCAAGTTCTACGCGCTGCAAGAGAAGCGCTTGGCGCATTTGGAGCAGCAGAACGACCGTCTCTTGGCGCAGATCGAGACGTTGAAGGTGCCGCCTGCCACCATGTCCGTGCGCGAGAAGTTGGTCTACATGGTGCCATACGTGGCTCGCTCGCGGTTCCCTGCGTACATCTGGCAGACGTGGAAGCACGGTCTCAACGACGACCGGTTCGATGCCAATTTCAAGGAGGGCCAGGCGCAATGGGCGTTCCGCAACCCGGGCTTCGTGCACGAGTTGTTCAACGACGACACCAGTCTTGCGACTATCAAGCACCTCTACAGCCACGTGCCGGAGGTCTTGGATGCTTACGAATCCATGCCCGAGGTTGTGCTCCGCATGGACTTTTTCCGGTACTTGATTCTCTTTGCCCGCGGCGGGGTGTACGCCGACATCGACACAATGCCCTTGCAGCCCGTGCCCAACTGGATTCCCGAGAACGTCGAGGCCACGGAGTTGGGCATGATCATCTGCGTGGGCAACGAGGCCACCAGCAAGAACTGGCGTGCCGAGGCGCACCGCAGACTCGAGTTTGGCCAGTTCATCATCCAGAGCAAGCCGGGCCACCCGGTGTTGCGTGAGATCATTGCGCAGATCACGGAGGCCACGTTGGCCAAGAAGCGGGCGTTGCGTGACGGCGTGCTGATGCGCACCAGCGACTCGCCCAACCAGAAGCTCTTGGACATCTCGAGGTGGACGGGGTCTGGTGTGTGGACAGACGTGGTGTTCGAGTACCTCAACGACTACGTGCGCGCGGCGATCTACCAGCTGGTGTCATGGCAGGACTTCCATGCGTTGCAGGGGCCCAAACTCGTGTCGGACATTTTGATCTTGCCCACCAAGTCGTTTGCGTCTGAGCTCGAGGTGCCCAAGGACGGCAAGATCGCTGACCCGATCGCGTTTGCCAAGCACTGGTCGGCAAACATCTGGAAGACCACGTAAACGGGGCATTCACACGTGTGTTTTTGACACTGGGTGTTTTGTTTTCCACGCGGGTGGATTTCCTCAGCGCCCACGCGTGCCATGCGCCGGGGCTTCCTAAAAAGCATGGAGTTTTGCATGGTTGATACAAGGTGCGAGTTGAGAGCCAGAGGTGTACATGGAAGCCAAGTTTGTGAACAACTGCTCGCAAAATAGAGCTCCAGTGACGACTATGTCGACTTCCGAGGGACCATGTGGGTCCTGCCGTGAAGTTCCTGGAGAAGTGTTTCCGGCCACTGTCAACGATATTTATCCGTACTGGACCTAGTATATAACAATACATCTGCATGGACTTTGGTCTCCTTATAGTTAGTTTGTTTTGGGTGGACAGTCCAAGGCACTAAGTGAAATTCTGATTGGATCAGTGATTCCGTCAATGGGACCGATGGGTAACCTGAACTCTAAAACATCACTAATCACTCGCGCCTGGATGAGAATTTCGATACAGCAGAGCCAGAATGGAAAGTGTGCCAGCGAAAGAAGGGCGAAATATCTGGGAATGCTGAATTCGGCAATTGTCTTATTGACTAGCCGTTTGTCTGCGTGTTGTCCTGGGTTCTAGATCTTTGAGTCTAGGCTTGGGTTGGTTTCTATGATTTCCAAGAGTGATGGGTTTGCATGGACAGTCCAAAAAAATACGTTTTTTGGTCTGGGCCAGATTTGAAGAGTACAGATTCTGACTTCGGTGAATGCGAGGTGTCCAAAAGCAGGCCTGGTTGGTCCAGGCGCTGCTGGGTAGTGACACATACGGAGCGTGTCCAGTGTCAAATACAAAGATGTATTTATACGTTTCAGGAGACGAGGTGCCTGATTGATTCGGACAAAACTGTCTCATACTCGACGTTCTGGCACCTGTAAATGGAGAAGCACGGAGACATTTCGAAAGCCACAATATAGCTCATTGAGGTAATTTATATGGGGGCGTCATCACAAGTTAAAGACAGGTATCTTAAGCGAATGAAGTATGGTGTCATATTGGATTTCAAAAGACATTGTTCAGAATACATGTTCTTTGCGAGGTCTAATGAGGCAAAGAGGTACAAGTCGATCCACCACAATGAGCCAAAGAAAACAAAAAGAGAGAAAAAGGCAAGAATATCTAGAGGACACAAATTAATTCGAAGAGACGGACAAAACAAGATATTTCGGGTCTCATATAGTAACATTATGTTCTTCAATTGCTTCACCCCCGACACAGCATATATCATATTCTAATTTTTAATCATATTTCGGTAATATAAATTGCTAGGCCTCACTGCACAATTCAGCAAATGATACATTTTTTATCAGCAAAATGCACAAATCAATACTCCTGCTGCAATACAAACCATATTTAACACCATTTAACGGAAAATCTTGCTGGTTGACACTACAAATAGCCAGACAATCCAACCATGCGCCAAAAATATGGCAGTAAATACAACGAGCATTTAATCGAATCACGTCATTTCACGGCATGTACACCATCGCCTTACACATCCTCTTGCCAGCAAATCTCTAGTCGGCTATCACGCGGATTAATGAAACAATCACATCATAAACTATCTTGCCAATATCAGACCAAAGAAACAAGTAATATTCCAGGCAGATACGCCATAACCGTGTCATAGTCTCGCCAACAATTCTTATGTAATTGTCTTACTTTACATTTCTGGCATCTATAAAAACAGCATCATTTTTCTCAAGTAATATCTTGGTCATCTCGACAACGCTCCCACCAGTATGCATCATCCTTCACTCCAGTGCTACACCTCTCATCACACATGATACCTTTAAACGCTATTCTTTCCTCATACCCATATCAGTCATTACGGAGTACTTTTTCCATGCCTCTGCAGTATCCCTTGATTTTCTCACTAATTATCCCCTTCCTTGTTTCATCAATTTTCCCGTCGGAATATGCACTGGAATCGTACCTACATGTCACAAATGAATCAAATATATCTCTCGCACAATACATAATACATCACCAACGTCATATCATGGCTTTCCAGTTGGCTACGACCGTCTTCCCGAAAACCTACTTTAATATAATCAACACATGACTTTTCTCAAATTTTCACGAAACAACATGAGTATTACGCAATACAACTTTCGTAATAACTACTTCATCGGCATCACATATATCTTACAGTTTTCGCACCATCGACTCATCAGCTCTCGAACAAATAATCAAGGTATATATGGACAAGACATCATATGCCAGAAAGCCAAGGATCAGAGGCCTTATATCAGAATGTTACATACGCCCATGTATCAAATACCCCATTTACCAAGTATCTCATATACCCCATATACACCATATCACAAATACATAGATCAGCAAGACGCCAACTAGAAGACAACACTCGATCAACCACTTGCGGACCACACCATCATGGGCATCCTAAAATTGAGGGTCTCATATTTATTATACGCCATCAAATGAATCACATTTTCTCCATTCCGTAATACCCCATTCTCTTGTACATATTACTCTATTTCATTCTACCTTGTTTTATAATTCCTCATTCCTAGCTCATCATCTGACTGCACCACTTCTTTGGTAGACCATGTCTATTACACCAACTTTCTTACACCAGCTGCCATACGTCATCTCTCACACCCCCGTTTTTGTATACCATCTCCAATACACCTCCTTCCCATATTTTAACTACAATAATTTCATCATCATCGATCAACGCACCTTTTCATACACAATCTGTTCAAAAATCCAGTTTTGATACCCATCGCGCCATTCCCAAAGCCCCATTCGCTAAATCACAATCTCTAATGCACCATCCAATACCTCGATTTCCTGAACACCATATATCCATCTCACCACTTCTCAAGATTCCATTTCTTTATTTCAGATTTTTCTATACCACATTTCTCAGCACTCCAATTTTTAACTCACCATTTCTGTTGCCCCGTTTTGTTACACGGATTCTATAACACACCATCTAGTACACCATTCAATACACCATCTAGCACACCATCTAGTACACCATCTAATACACAATTCAATTCACAATCTAGTACACCAATTTCTAAAACCCCAGCTCTATAGTCTTCTTGCTGAATACCATTATGCTAATACTATTAAAGTAACAATGCAAAGTGCGACTTCAATTGGACACACTATCAAAACTCTAGATAAACCAATTTTAGAGAGGCGCAAGCCAGACCAAAGCCGCAGGCAACGCGACTGGAGCAGGCATTAACATGGAGATGGGCGAGCAAGTAGCAGTATTCCATAACAGAAGGAGATGGAAATGGAAATGAAAGAATTGCAATGGACAAATGAAAGAATTAATAATTATCAAGCACCATGAACGGAAGACTTGAGAAATATGAAATGAAGTCAATTAATGAAAAATGCAGGGCAAGATCAATTAATGAAAAACGCAGGGCAAAAAAGACAACGCAAAAAAAACGCGGGCCAAACAAGACGAAGTAAGAAAAGACAAACAAAACAAGACAAACAACAAAAGACAAACAAAAAAAGACAAACAAAAAAAGACAAACAAAAAAAGACAAACAAAAAAAGACAAACAAAAAAAGACAAACAAAAAAATCCCCATCCAAATAACTCCAGGCCCCAGCGTGGCCCCAGCCCTACTCGCCACCACCAGACCCCAGTCACCGCCAACACTGGGCAGGCCGTCACCAGCCATGGCACCTGGGTGCGCACTGACAGAGGGAGCGGCCCGGCGCTGTGTGCAGGCTATCATGGCCCCGGCCCCAGCAAAACGCCTATCTCCAGCGCCGTGAGTCATAATCGCACGGCCCGTCCGCCACATAATCGGCCGGCGGTCCTCCACATAGGCTCTTGGAGATTGCATTGGCACCCGGGTTTTTCCTCCTGGCCGCTTATAAGGCGCCGGCGCCGGGTCCCGCGCAACACCGCTTTTTCCCCAAATTTCGTGTCTCTTCACTCGTCGCAAAATGGTCAAACAAGTGCTTTTGCTAGGCTCCGGCTTTGTGGCCAAGCCCACCGTGGACATCCTTGCCGCCAACGCCAACATCGAGGTCACCGTGGCGTGCAGAACGTTGGCCAAAGCGCAGCAGTTGGCCGGGTCTGTGGCCGGCGCCATCTCGCTCGACGTCAACGACGAACAGGCCTTGGACGCCGCCGTGGCCAAGGTGGATTTGGTCATTTCCCTCATCCCGTACATCTACCACGAGTTGGTGGTCAAGAGCGCCATCCGCAACAAGAAGCACGTGGTGACCACGTCGTACATCAACCCCAAGTTGCAGGCCTTGGAGCAGCAGATCCAGGACGCGGGCATCACGGTCATGAACGAGATCGGCTTGGACCCCGGCATCGACCACTTGTACGCGGTCAAGACCATCGAGGAGGTGCACGCGCAGGGCGGCCAGATCAAGTCGTTCTTGTCGTACTGCGGCGGCTTGCCTGCGCCCGAGAACTCCGACAACCCGTTGGGCTACAAGTTCTCGTGGTCGTCGCGCGGCGTGTTGTTGGCCTTGACCAACCAGGCCTCGTACTGGAAGGACGGCGAGGTGGTGAACGTCAAGTCCGAGGACTTGATGGCCACTGCGCAGCCCTACTTCATCTACCCCGGCTTTGCCTTTGTGTGCTACCCCAACAGGGACTCCACCACGTACAAGAAGTTGTACAACATCCCCGAGGCCGAGACCGTCATCAGAGGCACCTTGAGGTTCCAGGGCTTCCCGGAGTTCATCAAGGTGTTGGTGGACTTGGGCTTCTTGAAGGAGTCCGCGCACCCGGCGTTCCAGGCCGAGGCTGCATGGAAGGACGCCTTTGCGCTGCTCATTGGCGCCGCGTCCAGCTCCGAGAAGGACCTCGTGGCCAAGATCGACCTGTTGGCCTCCTTCAAGGACGAGGCTGACAGGGAGAGAATCATTGCCGGCTTGAAGTGGTTGGGCTTGTTCTCCGCCAACAAGACCACTGCCAGAGGCAACCCCTTGGACACCTTGTGTGCCACCTTGGAGGCCTTGATGCAGTACGAGGACGGCGAGAGGGACTTGGTGTGCTTGCAGCACAAGTTCGGCATCGAGTGGGCCGACGGCAGCAAGGAGACCAGAACCTCCACCTTGGTGGACTACGGCAACCCCGAGGGCTACTCTTCCATGGCCAAGTTGGTGGGTGTGCCATGCGCCGTGGCTGTCGAGCAGATTTTGGACGGCACCTTGTCCAAGAAGGGGTTGTTGGCGCCCATGTCGTCTGACATCAACGATCCTCTCATGAAGACCTTGAAGGACAAGTACGGCATTTTCTTGGTCGAGAAGACCGTGGCCTAGGCCTGGATCCCTGTATATGTGTGTATTTGAATACCAATGATTGCATCTTGTGTCGTGTGTTTTGGAGTATGGATCTTGGCATCTTGTGCCGTGTGTCCTGGAATACGGATCCTTGCATCTTGTATCGAGTGTCCTGGAATACGGATCCTTGCATATTGTGCCGAGTGTTGTGGCTCGTGGGGACGGGATTAGAGTGGGCTGCCGTGTGAAGCATCGGACGGCCGGGCTCTTGACATTCTCTTTTGCTCAGATGGCAGTGAGTAGTGATGAACAGAATTTTGCCATGCAACCCGTGTCGTCTCGGTCCCTCTAACAGTACAGAAAACGACCGGGACCCCGCTGCTTTGCAGTTGTTATGCCACATCCATTCTTGTCTTTGACGAGCTCGCTATACCCCAAGGGCTACAATCACCGTGCATTTACTAGTGGCCTAGTTGGGTATAACAACTTGGATGCCGGGCCCGCAATGAGTATTGACTAAAACGATAATTGAACGCACCCTCTAATAATTGGAGACAGTCAACATAGAGGATAACAATCAAAGAAGCCACGCCCGGCCTTTGGCGTATCTGCACTTCACCAACAAACCCACCAAACCACTTATACAACACGCTTCGGTTCAGCTGACTCCAAATCCGACTACTAATTTCTCAACTTCTACAGTAGACGGAGACGTCCACCATAAGCCCTTTAGTCGTCGTAATCAGATTCGTCCGAGTAGCCTGCACTGTACTCCTCCATAAGCGAAGATAAACTCTCAATGACTTCGGCCTTATCACCCAAAATCTCAATTTGTCGCTGGTTCCGGACCCTTTCCACCACTTCTCTGTACTGCTTCAAGAGTGGCTTCAACACTGCAGTCTGCGCAAACTGGGTCAGAAACTCATGGTTCTCCAAGATCAGAGGGAAACTGTCTATCTTTGTCGTTTCATCGATGTACGGATTCACGTATGTATCAGTCTTCGAATCCGAGACGCCCAGATCAGGCTGATGTTTGCAAATCACGCCCCTTCCATAAAGATGGTCACGAGATTCCGGATTCAAGCCGAGTTCCAAAGCCTTGTTTTTGTCCTTTGATCCCAGTGCCGATTCCGTCTGACTTTGACCTGCGTTGAGATACATATCCATCATACTAGCATCACTAACAATTCCGAACTCCGCCTCGGGTTTGGCCGGAACGTCTGGTCGAAGGCTGATTTCGTTGACAATGTTTCTGCTGGAGTTGCCTCGCAAGAGGTTGCTCTCTATCGTGGCCATTGAAACCGGCTTTTCTACCTGGCAGTTGAGACCCCAGATCGCATTCACGAACATGCTCTGCACGGCACCCGTATGCCATAATTTGCTGGAATCATAGGTGGAAGAGAGAAAGGATTCGGAATCCTGCGGAGCAGAGAGGGGGAAGAAAAGCGTGGAGTTTGATGCAAACTCCGTCACAGCCCGTATTCTCGTGAGTAGTGTGTCGATTCTTGGCTGACTTTTCCCAGGACTCATCAATCCATAGGTCCAGAGATTGTATTTGCTGCTGACGCCGTTTCCGAAGTACTCGTCACGTAAAAAAACCATCATCTCATTGGTGAAGCCCGCCCATGCGGTGTCGCATTCGCTGAAAAAGCTGATCCCTTGGATCTGGTCCAGCTGCTCCAAGTTCTTGCGGAAAAAATCATCGATTTCGTCGCTCAGTACTTTGAACTCTTCCTCGCCAATGTTAAACGCGTCAAATTTGAGCCGTGGGAAGTTTTTGTGAGCTCCTTCAGGATGGCTGAATCCATGTAAGGAAACGAGCGATTCAGGTCTATAGATGAGCTTGTTGTAGTCAGTCCAAAAAGTTGTGTTTTCTGTGGAGAGCAACGAGGAATGCGTAGGTTTTCCGGCGTCCAAATTCGCCTGGAATTCGTTCTTGGCATGTCGCTCCTGCTTTTTTACAATCACATTGTCATACAGTTCTGGGGAGATTTCGGTCTCCTGATATGCGTGTTTACCAAGGTACCCATAGCCACCCTGAAATTCGACGTTTATGCTGCGAGGGTAGTAGTTTGTCTTGCCTTTGACTTTGTTGGGCACGAGAAAGACATCGTTGGTGTGAGTTAGTGTTTTGTTTCTAGTATATGGGAGATGTGATTCTTGCACGTTGTAGAGCAGTGTGATGAGGTGGCCCGATGCTTGTGAGCATGAAAAGTTAATGATCTCGTGCATGTGGTACACAGCAGGTTGAAAGCAATTGGAAGGTTCGACTTTACTTCCTGGTAAAAGTTGGCAAAAAATTAAAAGTCTTGAAGACGAAAAATTATCGCATTGATTTCGCCCAGGATCGAACTGGGGACGTTCTGCGTGTTAAGCAGATGCCATAACCAACTAGACCACGAAACCTCGCGTGATCAAAATATTATGAAACAGCCTGGAGCTGTCTCTTAAACTACGAGTAGATCGGTTTATAGATAGTTCAGCCTTAGTGGATAGGCCTAGTCTATCTGTCGTATTCTCGATGTCTAAAAAGTGTTGTCCTTCTTCAGGGATGTCTCAGCCTCACGCTCCTTTATAGTTCGGAACCCTTCTATACAGTAGGTGAGGAGTAACCCCGATCAGGAATGTTTAGACTCTTCGTCCTTCGTATTATACAGGATGCCCAGAATCTATAATCTGGCTCATGTCGTATCATAACACAAAATAAAGGGTGGTAAAATATATGAACAAAATACAAGAATGAAACGATGCAGTTTGAATTGTTTTTTCTCCTATTTGCATATTCAAACTTTCCTAAAAGTAGCATAATAGGACACATGCGGGCCACGAGGACCACCCAGAGATGATCACGGTGAATCGCTACAACCATCTGAGTTGAAGCAACTACTACAGGAGACCTATCCTAGGAGTCGATGACGTAATATTCAATACGTAAACATAATACGTGCCATGAGGACTGTCCAGGCCGTGACTAACGGAAGGGGACGGGCCGAGATAAGACACTTGGTACTTAGCTGGGAGCTGTTTAAAGGTTTTTTATATACATTTGCTATATAGTTTTGCCCCTTTAATCAGATGAATCTACCAAAAAAAAAGAAAAAAAAAAGAGCGGGCTAAGTTTCGACACCTGGGAGCTGTCTGAAGAATAACTTTTATACAGTATTCTATAGTTTTGTCCCTTTATCAGATAATTATACCAAAAAATAGTGAAATAGTTTTATGAGCTGGAGATTTTTTATATCGTCTTATATAGTTCTACTCCATTGATAAATGAATGTATCAAGAAAAATGAGCGCCCTTTCCGGAGCGTCAAAACGATGATACCAGTTCTTTCCCGAACCTTGGAATAAGCCTCATATAATGGGTACTCATTGAACGTATTGGGAAAAGACATGAGTTGTATATAAGGGCCTGTCTAGCTATTTTGTTATTGCAACTAGCAGAAAGTCGCCGTACCTCCCTATTGATCAATGAGTGCCTGGAAAATCTTCTTTGTGTTTATGTTCGACTTAAGTAACACATCATAAATGCATAAAAATCCTTTTTGAAGCAGAAAATATAGACCAGAAAATTGACCTGACCTAGAAGGGCTTTCCCTTGAGAATCGCCTCGTCTTCGAGCTGTGTAAATGCAGATAAACCTGACTCAGCTCTACACGACCTTGCACTGGAATGCAGTTTTAAGAATTTATCCATGAACGCGCCAAGCAGATCTTGTGAATTCACCATCCAGACCTTGAACCTCTTCTTGATAGATTTGGGCGTTGGAATTGTATTAGACTTCTATTTCTCACACTGTTGTGTTTTCAATCCCAGATCAGCAAATAAATAGTAAAAAGGGTAATAGAATAAAGCCTTCTTCAATTTCTCTTCCTCATTATTATGTAGAGCCTATAGTCTAATAATGACGGATCGCATTTTCGTAATAGATAGCAAGCACCTTGGGCTTGGCAACTGCTACATTTATGTACCTCATCCCTGAACTTCAAAGTAATTCTCTACTCATAAGGGTCTACCAGAGCTTAATAATAATATTCAAAATATTTATCGGGTAGACAAAAAATTATCGCGTTGATTTCGCCCAGGATCGAACTGGGGACGTTCTGCGTGTTAAGCAGATGCCATAACCAACTAGACCACGAAACCTAGCGTGGCTAAAATTAGGCGGAGTGAGTTAAGTTTACTAAAAAACATTTTTCACATATAGATCTGTGCACATTTGTGTTCGTCCTTCATGCGAAAGAGTTAATTTTTAACGAGAAAGGCATAAATCGCCTAGTAAATTTTGGCTCTTAGGAAAGCATGTGATGCCATATTGTTAATATTATTCGAATGGTCGGCATTTGTTATTGTTTTTTAAAGATACATGTGTATCTAAGGAAATTTCTGCCCGGAGACAGAGGAGAAAACTATATACTATAGAGCCTCCACACACTCACAGATATGCAATGACACGTCCTTTCGAGGGGAGTCACATTCTCTCTGGAAGATCTCGTGATTTGGTGCGCCCTATCACCTGAGCCAAGTTTGCGATCTATTGCAGGAATTTGCTTTATACTTTTTCGTAGTGGTGGGGGCTTATATCTCTCAGGTGACACGCTGTAATTTAATGTTTTTATAAGAAAAAAAGATAACACGCACAGTCGTTGAATCTTCTTTAAATTTCGCTGCATACTCGTAAATTAGCGATCAAGGATCGTTCAGTGGAGCAATTGAAAAAAAGGTATGCGTTTGAAATTTCCTCCAAGATTCAATTCCATTTTCTGTATTTTTCCCTCTTCAATCAAATTAATCAGATGGAAGAACTGTCACAAAATCGTGATCATTATGTGACAAGAGCCCCAGAACTGAGATAAAGATACTGGAAGTTGTTCTTTTTTGATCCACGGTGATCAGGATCCTTGGATAAATACGTCCTGTCGCCTGTTGTGAGATTTATCAGGTAAATTTCTTTCGGTAGACTCATCCGATTAAAGGAGCAAACTATATAAATGATACATATATAAAACCTTTAAACAGCTTTCAGCTACGTACCAAGTCGGCCGTCCCCTTCCGTTAGTCACGGCCTGGACGGTTCTCTTGGCCCGTATCTGTTTACGTATTGGATATTACGTCATCAGCTCCTAGGATAGGTCTCCTGTAGTAGTTGCTTCAACTCAGATGGTTGTGCCATGGTTTTATGTGTCATTAGTGGACATTGTATTAGGTACTGAGATGATGTGATTTATCAGCTTTTATCTGGGAACTGCAACACACTAAAAAAACATACCCCAATGAAGTATATGTACCGCCATGTATTAAGCAAATACCTTTGGTCAGGTCCGCCAATCCCGTGAGAGCATATGTCCATTTATTCAACTCCAGAATAATTAGTATTCACCGTTTTTAGCCACAGTGCGAGTTAGGCTGATCCAGGCTAATGATTTAAACGGGGAACGTGTGTCTACCTGAACACCTGAAGGTTGTCGAGAAAAAGAGTTAGGCTCTGAACCTCTCTGCAAGTCTTTTTGAAGAATTGTGGAATTTTGATTTTGGAAAAGCCATCGGAGCCTGGCTTTGGGAATACTCAACACACGGCATTTCTTGCAATGTTGCTGTCTGTGTCTTACTTCTGCATTTATACCAGACACATGTCTTGTCCAAGTCTTTCTGCGTTTTGAGAAAATTAATAAATTAGCGCCTGGCGCTTTTTTTCTGCAGTATGTAGCGAATAGGAAAGTGCTGTTTGAACGGAAAAAATGGCGTTGCCTGGAAACGGCACTGTATGAGCAAAAGCGCCATTTGGAAAAAGCTCCACATATTATTGCCAATGACATTGCGCAAAGCAGCCATTCTTGTAGGCGCAAGTCAGTTCAAAGCTGCGCAGAAATATCGAGTCAAGGCTGGCACCTCTTGTCTGTATGCGCTCAACTGGTATATATGCCCGAGTCCTTGGAATACGAGATCCGAGAACCGATGGGAGATGACGACATCAGAAAAATCATCCGCGGGTAGCATCACAGTAGAAAGCCAAGACAGACTGTTGGCAGCACACTGGAAGTGTTTGTTTTTTTCTTTATGGTGCTTCTAATAAAGCCACATGAACGGTCCATCTGTCACGTGGTATCCGCCATGTAGCCATCCCTCACGTGGCAAAGGGAAGAAACTTCCGTACAGGGAGAGTTTATTTCGTTCCCTTTTTTTCCTTAAGGGTTTTTAGAGAATAGTAGTATTCTAAGGATCCGAAGTACCGTACATACTTGAATTGAGAAATCTGGTACTGAAACCATCCAAGGCCTCACTCGGGCCGCGTCACTGGCCATTCGCATTGTTACGCAGCACAGCAGGCCATAAAAGGCCTGTGGAATTTCAGCCCCCCACGGCCAAAACAAGAAAAAAGAACCTGCATGTGCTTGCCGGGTCCCGCTCAAACCAGCCAGGCTCTCCATTCACGCAAAACTGGCACGGGGGCTGTGGATCTAATGGGTGCAAACAAGATGGGCCCGAGCAGCGGGCGTCACGTGACCCGCGGCGCGCGGCCCGCTAGAGTACACGTCAACATTTTGCAATCTTTCCACAGACCTCATACCCCTGCTTTTCCACCATTCCCATCGCTTCACCCAAAAACGCACCATGATCGCCGTGCGTCTCATATCCATGGCGTGTTTGTTAGCGTGTCTCGTGGCCGCCGGCTTGGACCCGTACGAAGTTCTCGGCGTGCCTCGTGACGCGGACGACCGAACCATCAAATCGCAGTATAGGCAGTTGTCCAAGCAGTACCACCCGGACAAAAACCCCGATCCCGAGGCGCACGAGCGGTTTCTCCAGGTCGGCGAAGCGTACGGGATCCTCGACGACCCGCAAAAACGGGAGAATTACGACAAGTACGGCGATCCCGACGGCGGCGCGGGCCAACAGGGCGGGTTCAACGACATTTTCAACCAGTTTTTCCACGGCGGCCACGCCGGGTTCGGCGGCCAGCGGCAACAGAGGCAGCAGCGTGGCGGTGACACGCAGGTGGTGGTGCGGCTCTCGCTCCAGGACTTCTACGTGGGCAAGGACTTGGAGTTCAGCGTCCATATGCTGAACATTTGCGCCGCGTGCTCCGGCAGCGGCAGCGCGGACTCGAAGCGCAAGACGTGTGGCAAGTGCAGCGGCTCGGGCATGTTCACGCAGACGGTGCAGTTTGGCCCGATGATCCAGCGTGTGCAGACCCCGTGTGACCAGTGCCAGGGCTCCGGCAGCACGATAGCCAACAAGTGCCAGGCGTGTGGCGGCGCGCGCGTGCAGAAGGCGCCCAGGAACTACAGCGTGTTTGTGGCGCCAGGCACGCCGAAGGGCCACACGCACGTGCTCGAGGGCGAGGGCGACCAGAGCCCGGACTGGGTGCCGGGCAACTTGAACATCCGGTTTGTGGAGGCCGAGCACGAGAACTGGGGCTTCCGCCGCGTGGGCGACCACCTCTACCGCACGGAGGTGCTCACGGCGCAGGAGGCCGGGGCGGGCGGGTGGCAGCGCGAGATCCGCATGTTTGACGACGAGGTCGTGACGCTCAGGCGCGACAAGGGCCACGCGGTGATGGACGGCCAGGTGGATATCATCAAGGGGCACGGCATGCCACACGCGCACGACCACGACGAGTATGGCCACTTGTATGTGGACTACAAGGTCTTGCCCGTGGGGGCCGCAGCCTTGGAGAAGGACGAGTTGTAGGGACGGCTGGAGCTGCGGTCTTTTTTGGGGTGGCTATATGATAGAGCGGCGGCTGGCGAAGGTTCCAGCCGGAGCGATAGGCGATGCAACGCAGTCGTTTGCGTGTCATGATGTGCGCCAAAACAGTACATGGTGTAAGGCAGTGCGTGGCAGTATATGGCAATGCATGGCTATACGTGGCAGTATTTGGCAATACATGGCAATGCATGACAATACATGGCAGTATATGGCAATGCATGGCAATGCGTGGTAGATCTGTAGCTCAGAAGTATTACACTGAATTATACTATAGTTTTTACATTATATGTGCTTAGCTCCTATAGCTGCTCGTGCATCAATTAAATCAACTGTTCTCAACTAGCCACTCTTGTGTTGAAAAATGATTCCTTGAATGTGGCTTTGCTTCAGATCAACAATCTAGATTCGCTTTACAGAGATCGTTTATAATAGTCGCAATAGTTCCCCCAATTTGAAAATTTCTTCCTTTACTCATAAAATTGTTTTTGGTGATTCGTGTTGATGAAATGTCTTTATTTACTTGAAAATACTGAAAATTATATTAAATAATATATTCCTGAGGCTTGTATAACCGGTGCTTCTGGTGGTGCTTCTATGGTGCTTCTATGGTGCTCCGATGGTGCCTCTGATGAATTTACTGGAACTAGAATGACTTGGCAGATCTGTAGTTCAGAAGTATTAAACTAAATTATAGTATAGTATTTACATTATATATGTATTTAGCTTCTGTAAATGCTCGCGCATTAATTTTTTACATCATTTAATCTTAACTGATATTTCTCATGTTGAAATATGGTTCCTTGAATGTGGCTTTGCATCCACAACCTACCTTTTAGTGCTCGTTTATATTAATCGCAATGGTTCCCCCAACTTGGGAATTTCTTCCTTATTTATGAAATATTTTTTGGTGTAAGTGTTAATGAAGTATCTTTATTAAGTACAAAAAATTGAAGAATGACCGATTTTATATTCCTGAGGCTTACATAGCCGGTGCTTCGGTGGGCTTCTGACAATACACGGCATACATAGTATACACGGCAATACATGGTATACATGGCATGACACTATATAGCAGTATATGACAATAATATGCGATACATGGCATTATATGACAATACATGACAATATATGGTATACATGGCAATATATCGCAATATATGACATATACGGCATACATGGCAATACATGGTATACATGGCAGTATATGACAATAAACGGCAATGCATCGCAATACATGGCAGTATGTGACAATACATGGCAACCCGGCAGTATATGACAATACATAGAAGTACACGGCAATACCCGACACTATACGACAATACATGGCATACATCACAATACATGCCGTCGAGACTCATTGCAACGCGTTGCTACACACCGCATTGCCACACACCGCAGCCCCAGCAATGTCTCTATTCTTCCTTCTTTGTAGAAGACACGTGCGGCGACGGCCCGCGCCGTTTGCAAAGTGCAGTGTCACATCGACACAGGCCCCCATCCCGCCTCTCACACGAGCACTCCGGCTGGCGCCATTTTCGGCATACCTTCAGCATGACCACGATGAGCCCAAGCACCAACGCCACCACCGTGGCAAGGCTCACCGAGGCCTTACTGCCGCACGCGTTGGGGATGCGCACGCTGGAGGTGCCGCGGTCCAGAAGGTGGTAGAACACCGTGTCGTCGGTGAAGAACCTCTCGAACGAGCCGCCAAGCTCGCGGCGCGTGTCGAACGGCGAGTTCTGCAAGAGAACCGCGTCGCTGGTCACGTCACACGCGTAGAAGAGCACGGGCTTGTCCACCGACACGTCGGTGTGGGTCTGCGTGGTGCTGGGAAGCTGGTACCGCGAGTGGAGCGTGAGGTTCCAGTCCCCGGCGCCGGCCTCCATCTCCACCAAGACCTCGTTTCCCCACTGCAGAACCGCGTACGCCGGGAGCTCCAAGTCGCGCACGCCGTAGTTGGCCACGACCTCGAGCCGTGCGGGCACCTGGTACGGGTCCAAAAACACGGACTTGCCGAGCGTGAGGTAGCCGTACAACTTGCAGGCCAGCACGTCTGCGTCCCGCGGGGGGTCCGGGATACGGGCCATCTCCAACACCGGGTGCAATCCGTTGGCGCGCAAGTCCACGGCCGCGTGCTGGGCCAAGTGCCGGTGGCGCGGCTTGACGTGGAAGAGCGTCTGGTGGACCGGCGCGGCATGGGCGTCCGGGTCGGTGGGGTCCATGACCACCCGGGCGCCGGAAAGCACCACGTCGTCCCGCGAGGAGCGGGCCAGCACCTCGAACACCCCGACCTCCGTGTACTCGCAGCCCGCGGCCGCCACAGACAAGGCCCGCAGGTCTGCGTCGAGGGTGGACACGGTCAACTGCGCCGCGGAGTAGTAGTAGTCCAACGCGTCCCAGGCGCGCGGGAGCTGCGGCACCTGGGCGACTTGCGGCTGCGGCGCGCCCGGCGCGTGCCAGTAGAAGCTGTCGACCGAACGCACCCACTCCTGCGGCGCCACGGAGACGCCCAAGACCAGCCCGAGAAGGGCGTTGAGCTGCGCGTAGAACTCGGCCTGCTCGTGCGGCCCGACCGTGGCCTGGGGCACGGCGTACACGTGCACGCCGGCCTGGAACTCGTAGGCAAACACGCCGGATTGGCGGGCCGCGGCGGCGTGTGGCGGCGTGGCCAAGGACGGCCTGGAGATCTGGATGCGCACGGCCTTGACGTGGGAATACGGCTGCACGGCCACCGTGTACCGGTCCTCGCGGGCCACGAAAAGGTCCGGCGCTAGCTCCACGTAGGAGGCGTTGGCGAATTTGATGGGCGCCGCGTGTGCGGCTGTGTGGACGTACGAAACTCGGTGTCTCATGGGGAGAAAAAACGGGTATAGTGAGGGCTGGGAGCTGAGGTGCGGCCGACTGCGAGCGACTGCGAAACGCGGGCCGGGCCCAGGGCGAGGTGCGGCTGTGCGGGGCGGCCTTTTTTTTTGGGATGTCTTGGTGGGTTTGGTGGGGATTTGGTGGGGATCTGGTGGGGGATTTGGTGAGTGTGATGGGGATTTCGTGGGAGATTTGGTGGGTGTGAATTTGGTGGGTGTCTTGAGTATTGCTGGTCAGTGTTCGGGCGAGCGTCAATATTCTGGGGTGCTATTATTCTGGCGGTGCGGTGAGCCATATTCTGGGGCGTCTTCTTACCATGCGCGGTGCTGATGGCACGGCTCCAAGGAACCATGTGCGTGTCCTTCTAAACGGCCTGAAAAAGACCATTTCAAGTTGGCTTCAACAACGACACTCCAAGGACAATACTCCTGCACAACTGCAAGGACAATGCTTGAAGACGGCGTGGTGCCCCGGCCTTGGCGCACTTTATAATATACGGCTTGTCCTGGCCGTCTGCAAACCTGGCACACCATGCAGTGCAAGTCACAGATCCCGAGAGCAGCGACGCAGCTTCCACCGACTAGTTGGACATGGGCCTTGTCGGTTCCAGGACGGGTGGATGATCCTGCCGGAGAAGGCCAAAAATTGTGGGCCCGCTGATTTCAAATGAGTACGGCGCACGCGAATCCAACTGTTCGCACGGGCCCCATCAACAGCTCAAAGTATTAGGAGCATGGGAGTATCGTGACATGTTGTGGTTTCACGGCTCGGCCCGGGAAGGCTACCCGAATGTGGCTTTTACAGATTGCATCTGCTTTGTATGGGAAAGGACTCTGAGGCGCCCTAAGCAACGAGGCCTATTGGAGTACTCGCGCTTTCTCATAAAGGTTAATTCACGCAGATAAGCCAGGTCATTGCCACCTACTTGTGTCAAACGCATCAAGAATATGAAGGCCGGCTCTTGTGTGAATCCCCTTGGCAAGGCATGTATTATCAGCTAATACCCAGCATCTTCTTGAATGCTCGGTATGATATGCCGACTCCAGCCAAATGCAAGCATATGTTTTGCGACTTGGGCATTTCCAGTTTCCGGCTCGGGGTTGATGCCCATGTTTACTGTTCAAACACTTTGTCACATTGAATGCAATCGCAAAACCCGAAACAAAAAAATTCAGTCATACCTCTTGTAATCTCGTCTCTCAGATCTCTTGATATCTTGTCTCTCAGATCTCTTGGTATCTCGTCTCTTGATACCCCTTGATATCTCACGTCTTTCCGACAATGCTAGCGCGATACCTGAGCTCATTTGGTACTTTCAGCGCAATTTCAGCGTCAATGGCTGATGAGCCTGTTGATACGCACTCAGCTTCCACAGCTCCTAATCACGAAATTACACCATGTGGTCATTGCAATCGAAAGTTCGGTATTTGCAAGAACGCTAATTTGAAGCATGCTGCCCACTCCGATGTCTGTAAGGTCTACCTAGCGGAGGTCGAGGCTCGCAATGTGCCCACACAATGGCTATCAAAACAATACCAAAATACCGCCTTTCTCGCAATGGGCTTCTGAGTTTCGAAACAAACACAAAAGTGCCCGGCAACACTCAATGAATGCAAATGAAACACCACTAACGAGCAGCGTCTTCAAGCTGGGTGAAAGATCACCTCTGGGAGCTCGTGAATGCTCAAAAGCTTCTGCCGCATGAACCCGAAATATCCGCCGTAATTAAACCTGACTTTCAAATGTCCGTATGATCATTCTGAAACACATCATTACGTCACACCTGTATCCGCTTCGAATATATGTTTTTTTGGGAGTTTATATGTGTGTAAACATTGGTGTTTTATCTTTTTATCTGCTAAAGGATCGATCGCTACATCAAATGTCAATTTAAACCACACAAACCAAAATACTGGCTGAACTGCCAACTTCCGTCCACGCGTAAAAACTTAATTTAAATTCTAAGCATTTCAAAATTTACATTTTCATTACTCATCATCTCTCCCTCACTAAAGCTGGCACGAATCTTACCCGTTATAAGGCAAGTACAGATGGCGGCAGATAACCCAGGCCATACCCAATGTTGGGAGTCACGTGACGCGGGGACGAGGCGAGAATCACATGCGTTTCTCGCGCTGCCAACCATGCGTATATTAGATCGCGGTCTGGTTTCAATCCGCGTTCTTTTCAGAATCAACATTTTTCCTTTAGTCGTATGTATCCACAAGCTTAAAATCACAGCAATTGAATAAAAGCACTCATCATGGTTTAGCTCGTGCAATTCAGATCTCGTCTGTCATCGAACAATTGCCTTTTTGTTTTCGAGCAACCCAAGGCCGGCGGCTAGCAACTATAACTACGAGCAAAGGTGCCTTCTCCGACAAAGCAAGAAAAAATCAGAAAAAGTCCATCCTAAGCACCTGTTTCAAATTGCGATCCATACAACTGCTGAACTTCCCTTACTAAAAAAGTACATGATACTAACCTCATAGATGAAACAAGAACAGCTCTTACACTTATTGTACAACCACCAGGACTACGTGGACAACACGCCTGAGCTCAGATTTGCGCTTGCCACCATTGTTTTCAACCCCGTGTTTTGGAACATTGTCGCCAGGCTCCAGCACAAGACCCATTTCTTGTCCAAGGCCGTGGGCGGTGCATACAGGGGATGCTACCTCTTGGCAATCACCATTTTCTCTTTGGGTATCTACCGTGATCACGTGTACCACTCGGCCTTGATGCAACAGCCCACATATGCGCCATTGGTTGAATCCCCAGTGGTCCAGGCCTTGGCTGTGGCGACCTTCGCATTCGGAAACGTGCTTGTGATCTCGTCGATGTGGGCTTTGGGAGTCACGGGCACCTACTTGGGCGACTACTTTGGTATTTTGATGAAGGACAGGGTCACGTCGTTCCCCTTCAACATCAACAACAACCCGATGTACAACGGCCTGACGCTCTGCTTCTTGGGCACCGCCTTGTGGTACGGCAAGCCAACAGGAATCTTGGTTTCCGCGTTTGTTTACGTCATGTACCGCGTGGCCTTGCTCTTCGAAGAGCCATACACGGCCAGGATCTATGCCCACAGAGACTTGAAGGCGTGAGCCCCAGGCTGGACTGAAGTCTACTCTTTGCACCTAGAAGCCCAGTACTGGGTTCACCGCTTCAACAACTGTTTATAGATGAATACACACAAGCCTGACCTGTAAGAAGTATCTTGACATCAGACATCCATGCCTGCGAACGTAATTGAAACTAGGGGGTTTCGGGGGCACAAGACCGACTTGAAACAGAATGCATACGATGAACAAAAAAGAATCACAATTAAATGTACAAATGAACCTAAAAAAACCCAAGCAGAGACGCTTCACGGCGCTCTGCAATCCAAAAGATGAAATGAACAAACTCGCACAAGTGTGGATATTGGACCTAAAACCAACCAGCTCACGCAAATTCAAACGTGCTTGCCTGGCCCCTGTCCTCCACGTACAGCAAGGAGAGTGACTGGAACTTTTCACTCTGCGTGTAGAAATAAAGCCCGCTCATGGTCCCCGGAGGGATGGCAGGGCCTAGCCGCTTCTCGTCCGTGGCCCGGCTGCCCGAGCCGATGTTGAGCACCACATAGTAGAAGCCCTCGAAGGATGCACCGGTCAACAGTTTCACGCGGGAGTCAGGCAACAAAAACTCTTCCTTCCAGCGCATGTATATGTACAGGGAATCCTGCTCGCCTGCCTGGATGCGCAGGAGCCTCAGGCGTAAGTCCGCTTCAGAACACTGGCTGTCGCAGCCCGTGAGCTTCTTCCAGTGCTCGAGGTCGTTTTTGGGAAACGACAGCCAGTTGGTTTCCTCGGTGATAAACGAGTACCGCCGAGGGGCCACCGGGGCACTGCCCCAGCGCATCCGGTGAAGCGGGTTGTTGATTATCTCACCCTTGAAACACGTGGTAATCAAAGGGTGCTCCTCGGTTAGGCCGCTGATCTGAAAGAAGCCCGTCACCAAAGAGCTGACGAGGTCAACCGTCTTGATTTCTACCTGGATATCGTAGCGCAGCACACCGCTTTGCTGGCCGCCGACAAACCGGGCGTTTGGCCGCAAATACTCGTTTGTGAGATGAGGGATTCTGGCCGTGCCTAGAAGTGCCTTTGACCCAGCGAAAAACGCCGCGTAGGCATCTGTGTAGGCGTAAGGGGAAAGGCAAGAGTGGGAGGGTGGGCCCCGGGGCTTATGCTTTGCGTTGTCCTTGTGGCTGTTTAATTTGTGAGCGGCTAGTTCGCCCCGTTGCTTTTGCAGCGAGGGAACGGAAACATGGAACCCCGGCGCGTATAGTTTGATGTGGTGGTTTGCCGACTTTTGTGTTCTTGTTTCAGGCTCGGCGGGTGTTTTTAAGCCCTGCTTTACCTGAGTCACAGGCATGTTTACAGGATGAGCTTTGGGGTGCTGGCGCGTAAAAAGCTAGTGTAAACAGGGGCGTTGCAGCCAAGTCAGGAAAGGGCTGCTTATGTTTTGGTCTCTTCAACTATGAGTAGAAAAGAGGGGTGTTTGGAATATACCCCAGGGGTGGTTTCGCGAGTAAAAACGCGAGGTCTCTGGCAAGGAGTAGATTGGAACCCCTGTAACTAAGGATGGGCTGGTGTAGATTTCTTTTCCACGAATGTTAAAGTGGGGGCACCAAGGATCGCAGGGTGTGTGTTTCAAATGCGGCGGTGCCAGTATGGGCGAGTCGGAGGGCGGTGTGGAGGAAGGTGGAACAGAGGTGGAACACGGGTGAGACAGTGCTGGAACACGGGTGGGCCAGAGGTGAAACACGGGTGAAACGGGAGGGAAACGCTACTAGGGGTTGTTCAGTGGGAAAAAAGAAGTTGCCACTGCTGCCTAATTTCTACAGGCGCTTGATAAGCACACAGACGTCACTATTGTACGCAGAGCAGGATGGGGCCGCACGGAGATATCGGCGGTTATGGAAGCCCGGAGCATAAATCCGGTCTCGGGGCCTGGCCCTCGAGCTTGTCTACTGCTCCAGACCAGAAAAATCGAGACAAGTCGATGAAAAAAAAGCAAGACATCCAGGGCGCCCCTGCATCAGGAAGGTCTGACTTTGCCGGACTTATTAACAATATTTTTTGCGTATTGGTGTTTTTGTTCCGCCTGCTAGATTTGAGTTCTGGGAGCCATGTGCCAACATTGCGCTCATCATTCCGCAAGGCGTCACCAGACAGGAAACCCCGTATGAGCATGCGTGGCAAATTTACGGGATGCACGGATGTGAGGATCACGTGACGCGGCCTCGGGCGCTTGGGCCCGTCTTGGGCAAGTTGGATATAGTTATGTCTGGTTACATTGGAACACGGTTTTGTGGACGTGATGCTTTGTCTTTCTCAGTAGTGTTGCCTGTATGTGAAGGGCGTTTTTGCAGAAAAATATCGCTATATGTCGAGAACTGCCCACAAGTCACGCGAAGCATGGCCTTTGAAATGGGCTTTTTTTTGCTCGAAGAAAGAAAGTTTCAGCGCTGCCCCCAAAATGCGGGCGACCGATCATGAGCCAACTGGTGACTTTCTTGCCTACTAGATTTTTTTTGCCTGATAAAGGAGCATAACCGCGAAGAGCGTAGATGGTTTGTTCGAGGGCTGTTCACATGGATATAGGCATCAGGAAAAACACCGATGATGCGTCTTGTTTTTTCCGCAATACTTCAAAATCCCAAATGCGCTGACTAGAATCAAGGTCCTGGCGGGCGGGTCCTGTCATTTACAAACTGGCATGTTTTAATATTATTCAAGGTTGAATCTGGAGTGAACAAATAGCTGCGCTGCTTTCAGATACTTGGAACTTCAAAGCCTGTGGGTTATATAGCCTGAAAAGCCAAAGCCAAAGCGAAAGCCAAAGCCAAAGCCAAGCTTAAGTTTTTTTATCTATCCCATGGTCAGCTGTTAGTCACTGTCTGTACTCACAATACTTTTGTGACTTAGTTGGTAGAATAGATTATTCATATTCATATCTTCAGAAATGCCTAGCCTCAAAAAAGACAAAAAACCAAAAAAAAGTAACTACTGATGTAAGCGAATTCTCCACGTTACTTACCATAGTTGTCAAAGCAAGAGAAAATCACCTTGTAGAAATTACTTCACAGAAATCACCTCACGGAAATTACCTCAAAGCTGTACTGCCTGCACGTTGGATCAACTCACCCGCAGTTCCCCAGGAAATACATCTGAACAAATAAAGCCATTGCAGAAGTTTCAAAACATTACACGACTGTTAATTTCCAGAGCAACTGTGTGGGATTCCTACCGGCGTATTTGTTTTGAACTTCAAGCTTCGCAAGATTATCGCTTAATAATGGAAACACCTCCTACGCCAGATCACGTGCAGCCCGACGAGGAAGTGGATATTCCCAGTAGGCCGATCTCTCTAGATTTGGACCTCAACCCAGATTTGGAGGAGGAGGATGAGAATATAAAGAGCCCAGCTTTGCAAAACACATCAAGGGACATGGCTGCAAAGTTCTCTAGTGTTACACCAGAGCCCGTCACTAGAGCGTCTTCGGGAAATGAGAATATTGAAAATCTGCCTCCGGTATTCTCACCCGTCAGAATATCGGTATCTCTGTGGACATTACCCTTCGAAGATGCTTATCAGCAAGTAAAAAAGCAATTCGTGGAGGGAACGAAGCGCCAGCCGATAACGCTTTCGCAACAGAGCAACTTCGTCAATTACGTCGATGCACAGCTTCTTCAGATACAGCGGAAATTTATCAAGAATCAGGCAGAGTCTGCCATAACCTACACGCCTACTCAAATAATCGACGATCTCCTGCCGGTCGTCGATCTTCTATGGATTCTGCTTTTGAGCCACGATCCCCTATTCGGTCAAGAAGAGTACTACATAAAGATTTTGGGCGACTTGGAAGACTGGCTTGCCTACTACACATTGCCATCACTAGCTACACTGCTGGCTTCTAATACCAATTTTTTTGTCAAATTCTTCGACTTATTTCAGAAATTCGACACCCAGGTTTCCTTTCTCATCGATGGCTACTATGCAAATAACAGAATTTCCAAGATGAGCGCCACAGAGGTGGTGAGACTCTCACCCATAGTAATGAGATTAAGATTGACAATTGTTCAGAAATTGGAGCATTCCAGGGCCGTCTTGGATGCGGCCAGAAATATCCCTGCTACCGATGAAGCCTTGAATGTTCTCGATGTTGAAATTGGCAGGCTCTTCGAGGGAATTCTCGAAAGAATCTAATGTGCACAATGAGCCGTTGACACCATAAATTAAATACAACTAGAAGAGAATGAATCAAATGTTTAGTTTTTTGCTTCCGTGATCGCTGAACGCATGTACTTAATGCTCACCTGCAACCCGTGCACCTCGGCAGAAAGATGCAATATGCGGGTGCGAGAACATCCATGAACTGAAAAGAGCTGATCCATCCATCCAATTCCGTTTTGATGTGGCCATTTACGTCTGGAGATAAGAGCTCTGATACACTTGATAAAGAGCTTCCTCAAAGCCTTAAGGAATTCTTCAAAGAGACCGACCCTTCGCACAGACTCAACGATCTTAATGAAGATCCCAGAGAAGCCCAAGTACAAGAGGTGCTAGCGAGTCAGAGTAATGAATATAATGACGAATTTGACCAATATAAGCACCGTGAGACGCCGCGTAAAGTCGCTTCTGTGAATTGTGCAGAGCTTCTGCAAGCCGTGGTCACTTGTTATCGAGGATGGCTGTTTCTAGGTAATGATTGTTCTGACGAGATTGTTCGAACAAAAATCTGCATGGAAATTCAGCAGGAAGCTTTGAAAAAGTTGAGATACCAGGACTGCTGCAACAAAAGGCACTGCACCAGTATAAGAGCTTTCACGGATAAGCTCTTTACTGCACATTTTGGGCAGTACGGAGAGAAGATAGACGATGAAACTAGAGCTAGATTTGACGTGGCACTCAATGAAGCTTTCGCTGCGGTGTGGAAGAAAGAAAAATGAAAAGTCGAAAAAATGGATGAAGTCTCTTTGGGAAAGAGGTTTCCGAAATTTTCAATTTGAGATGATCAAAATCCTCGATGGTCAATATCGCCCATTCTTGCTGCATATAAAACCAATATAATACAATGTAAAAAATCTTTTGTCTCAAAGATTATAATGGCGTATGTTTGTCCAATTATGCCTTTGTGACCTCAGCCATAGCCTGCTGCTATGGCAAATATATATTAGGTTGTTTTTATAATCTGAGATTTATTTTCCATTCTATTCCATTTTATTGTGGCCATTATATTCCTTTTTTGGAGTGTTAGACTGCCTTCATGAAAGTTGTACTGGATACTGTGGACACATGTTCCATATATTAAGCCAGGGCTCAGAAGTCTCAAATTCTATGGATATAGAGGACTCAAATGTAGCTGAAAAAACAACGAGCTGGGAAGCTTCTGATCGACATTGGATACGTCAAAGAACTTGAGTATTCAGACACAAAAGGGCACATTATGACTGATGAGAAAATTGAGCAAGATTGAAGGCACATTTCAGCGGTGTGATAACCGAGCTCATATCCGTATAGAACCAACGCTGGAAAGCTTTATCCATTCTCAGAATCCGGGATCTTTCGCATATCTGCCACAAGGTTTTGCCATAAGTCAAGTTTTTGCGGATACTTCATCAGTGCAACCAAGCCGGAGGTATTTGGAAATACATAAACTTCGGGCCGATGCAGACAAAATGTGTTGAATCTCAGCATCACGAGAAGATCTTTCTGAAGACCCCAAGAAAAATTATGCGCATTCAATCGATGCTTCGGCACAAGATATTTGCAAACAACCTCCCAAATCCCTTTCCCAATAAATACTATGAATGGAGCTTGTGAGATTTCAAACTCCTTAAGTAGTCTTGGCACGTTTTCTGCTTTTTCATGCAGAGAAAGTTCCGAGGCTTGCTTTGTGCATCGAAGAACCAAATCAGTAAAGCCAATACCAAGATCCAAAAGCTTGAAGTCATGCTCTGCCCGTGCTTGAGATTTTCCATCACAGTAAATTTCGCTGATGAGCTTGCCATGGGCCAGAACAGAGACATTGCGAATATCTAGAACCACAGAGAGAATATCCAGAGCATTGAATAACTTCCAAAATAAATTGGTTGGGTGGGCATAATGGTGCTGCTTTTTTGAAGACTCAACTCCCGGATTAAATCCTACAAAAACAAGCGTGAGCCCTGGCTTCACAGAAGGAGGCAAATCTTTGAGATCATGGTCTTGCTTTGTATAGCGATCAGTTATTTTGCTATCGATCTTCTTTCTATTTATGGAAGGCTTTGCGACTTTGCTTCTTGTTTTTGGCTTAACTGTTTTTTCTTCGTCGTTCAGTGCGTATTTGTATGAGTGGATGACATCTCGAAGCTTGAAATTCGACATTTAAGCGAGAGACGAGCGGGGAACTAAACGTTGACATGTGCGGCTTACCTCGCCCAAGCCCAACGCTACTCAAAACGCACCTACGTGCAAGATGTTTTCATGCGTGCGCGGAAGCGAAGACTAAACATGCATGTTGAAGAAAAAACAATTCTTAATTGCAACAAAAGGGGCACAACTCAATAAAATAGGCACAAACCAGCACGAAACTCTCCTGATTTCATCCCCTACTCTTCAGCTGTGTAGCATGAGCCAAGAATCCATGCCTCTGGCAGACAGCCTCACCAATCACATTGTTATACCCAGTGAGCTAGAAACGTCTACGCCTATAAGCTCACAGCGGCATGGCAAAAGTGTACCTACTGACCTGTTGTTCGAATCAGTCTCCGAGTATCCTCCGAATGGCTCTAAAAGCAGTCTTCCCTCACACTCGATCCTCAAGAATAAAACGCCGTTCAACGAGTCTCTGCTATCGTACAAAGGCAATGAGGTTCCACGAGATGCGGTAGAGCACAATTCGTCGTATTATTCTGTTGCCAACGATGTACCGGGAAGTACCGCTCTTCATCCCGCGGGGGCCCACAAAGTGTTCTTTTCTCCCACGAAAGAAGTTGTGTCATACGGCCTGGCTCCGGATCACGAATTCCAAGTGAATTTAATGCATGTTGATCGGCCGAGCAAAGAAGGGGGTCCATCAATGGGAACAAATCAAGTCGATACTGTCCCTCTGTTCTGGGCCCGCATTGCAGTGGACCCAAGAATCCCATATGTTTTGCTGCTTTACTTGCAACTATTCTTCAACGCCGTGATTGTATCTGTGGTGATCTATCTACTATACACTGTCGTACGCACTGTCCGTCAAGATGTCAGACACAAAATTGAAATGTACACGGCGGATGCTATTCAAGAAATCTCCCTTTGTTCGAGGCAATACTACCGAAACCGCTGTTCGAATGACGGCACGAATATACGTGCTCCTGCGCTCGAAGAAACGTGCATGGCATTGGAAAAATGCATGAATCGTGATCCACAGCAAATCGGAAAGTCTCAAATTACTGCTGAGACTTTCGCTGATATATTGAACGGGTTCATGAACCCAATTAGCTGGAAACTGACAGTCTTGTTCACAGGGCTTATTGTGGGCGGCGTGTTCATTATCAATGTCGCGTTTGGCACATATAGAAGTCGATCTGGGATGGAGGATTTCTCTAAAAATACAAATGCTACTAACTCAGTCGTAAGAAGCCGCAAAGAAATGGTGCTGTGTCCCCAGAATGGGCAATTATTAGTGGCCAGCACGCCGCCTAACCCCCCGTTGCCGCAGGACGGACTTCGAGTGGATGACGATAGCACACTCTCTTTTAGTCTGCCGTTGTCGAGCCGAAGCGTGAAACAAGGTCTTTAACAACATATATCCCAACAAAAAAAAACTCTATTGTCATTCCGACTTAAAGTTGCCTATTTCATTGAGGCAGATTCTCCTGTTTAGGCAGTTCCAGTCTTTTTTTCTTTGCGCAGGTACATGAAAATTCGCGGTGCGTCACATGGCGCACAGGGTGCAATGCGCCTCAAACCTCAATATATCATCCCAAGACCCTGCTACTACCCCCCTAGCGCCGCCAGCATGGACGACTTGCCCCCCAAACCACCCATAGTAAAAAGACGATATTCGCGTTCTGGTTGTCGTGAGTGCAAGCGGCGCAAAATCAAATGCGATGAGGTCCACCCGACATGCGGAAATTGCGTCCGCGTCGATATGGTATGCGTTTTCCCAGACCCGTCTACAAAAAACAAGCCTCGGCAACAAAGAGATAGGCTCAGGAGGCCCACTTCCTCAATATCTGCGCCCAGCCTGCAAATCCTGCAACATTACGAGCTTGTCCAGGCCCAAGCACTCATATCAAAATCCGATGTGCCCAGTGATCTTGATATGCTCCTATTCGAAAACGTGTTTGATGAAGCGAACACGTTGGTACATGGCCTAGCAAACTATGAGACACATGTTGTTGCGCCGGCGTACACAGCAATGTCTCCCCTGCTGTCTGAGCGGTTTGCGGACTTGAAACCTTTCCACTCGCAGATCATCCTTAACGACAGCCCCAAAAAGAACGTATTTTTCGACGAGAAGGAGTTTGAATCGTATCTCCAAAACACAGATGTGGGTAGCAATCCGATGCTAGCACAGTCCTGGAACGCCTTCAGCAACAGCATGCGAGACTCCGTGGCACAAGACCCCCGCCAGGAAATCAGCAACGCACAGCTCATGCAAACTGTAATTGACACGTATAAGCTCTCAGAGGACGAGCAAACATACTTCCGGGACATGGTATCTGGGCAAGGATGTCTCTATTTTTTCCCGTTCATCTCTAACACCACCAACAACGAGGTCATCCACGTGCTTCTCGAGTACCTGATGGTTTTAAAGTTCATGGTGTATGCAATGATGGCGCTCAGCGCATCGTGTCTTTTCACAATAAAAAAGGACCCGAAACACGAGCAGAACCAAAAGAAGTATACTCGCGTGTGTATGCGCCTCATTGTGCGGGCATTCACCGATCTTAAAAATAACGAGCTGTCACTTTGGCACATCGAAGGCCTCATTCTCACTGTGCTCATTCTCACGATGCTTTTTTCTGACATCTGGTGTGGTGACACCTCTCAAACACCTGTGTCATGGGTAGTTCACCTTGATAGTGCCCGATCGCTTCTCATCAAGTACAAAAGTTTAAAGGCACAAAGCTCGCTACACCGACCTGAATCACTTGGGATTGTCATAGCCAAACTGTTGTTTTTCTGCTACGACTGGAACACAAATATGTGTCTTCCTATAGATGCAATCAAAAGCGACCAGTTGGCAGACTTGTGGGCGATCACTGGCAAGTTTGATGCGATGATAGACGATCAAGATCATATCATCGCATTGAAAAAATTCGGGCTCATGATTCCCGCGTCAAAATCGAATAGCGCGTTCAACACCTTCAACGCACTTACTCCTGAATTAATAAAAATCATCTACGAGATATTGGACACGATTTGCCACTTGAACATTGGCAGTTATATGGGTAAACCCCGACAGGCGTCGCCTGAGGCCATCACCAATATCATGGCCCTCATTAATCAAGCATTGAGACAGAATGTCGTGCCTGGTGTGCTGTCACGGAATCACTACATCATACTGTTGGACAACCCTGCTCATCCTTTGTATCTGGATGTGGCTCATCGGATCGTTTTGTCAGACTGCGCGTATGGAATCGATTTACACAGCTCAGCACAGACCCATTACTCGTGGTGCGATGTGGTGGTCAAACTGAATGTTTACTTTCTATATCTTAAAATTCTTACTTCGCGAGGCCTACTACATCTTCCTAGGAGTCACCCTTTGATTAAGGCTTTAATCGAGGAGATCATGGGGCTCATGTTTTTCGTGAAACCAAAAGCTAGGGGCCAGTTTGATAGCTCACATGCGTTTCTCGCATCTGCCAACTTTTACCTTTCAAACCAATTGTTCGATCATCGGGCAATCATGTTGCAATTCCCGTTCAGGCTTTGCATTGAGCTTACTGATCTGGAGGTTGATTTTGAGAAGCTTGAGCTTTTTTTCGAGGGTTTAATTCTTTTGGGCTGCGGCAACTGTTTCGCTGCAGCAGAAAAGGTAAGAGAGAACAGGCTTGTGTCCAAGAAGAGAGTTCTCAACAAATTGTCTTCTGAACACCCTGACATGGACTATTCAACGCAAATAATTGACATTTACTGAGGGAAAACCTTTAAGTTATAGGCCTTTAAAAAATGCAACTGGTCGTTTATTCTTGGAATGTAAAATCAGAGTCTTTTTTGGTGCAAACTAAGTTCAAAGACGATGATTCTGGCCTAAAGTTTTTTGTTGTGTTCCCATGCGCATATTTAGTTTGCTTATGCGATGAGTAGCTTTTGCCGCTTTTCGCAGTTTCATCTCTCGCAATATGCACAGAATATCCGCCGGCCGCTCGCTGATCGATTGTGCGATCCCAATTCGGCAATTCTCTGCGACTGAAAGTGGAGATGAGCGGCTGCGAAAGCCCAATTATATAGTGAGTTGTTTTCACCTAGTTTGGAAAACATATCAGCTAGAAAAGTATGAATAAAAGCTTGGCTGTACCCAAATCACAATCATGTATGAAAAAACCTCGTTTCTCCGGGATCTTCCGCTTTGCCAGCCGAGCGGATATCCCGCTTCTTTCGGTGGGGTCGATTTTGATCACATTGTCAGCGGTTGCTTCGCCCATGCAGACCCTTATTTACGGCAAGGTCTTCGACCGGCTCGCTCGGTATATGACAGGCGGGTTTGAATCTGTCGAGGCATTCTTGGCTGAGTTGCGAGTACTCATTGGAGCTATGATGGCGGTTGCTGGCGGTCGCCTTTTATTTGCATGGCTCGGAATCACAGTGTGGTTGATCGTGGGGGAGAACACACAGATGAACGCCAGAAAGTCTCTCTTTGAGTCGCTTTTGCACAAGGATATCGAGTGGCTTGGCACTAAGGAAAACCTTATTGGGTCTCTCACAGTGTTCTTTCGCTGTATCGAGGAAATCCGCAGCGGAATTTCCGAGAACTTGGGGCTTTTCGTACAGACGGTGGCTTCGGTATGCTGTCTCTTTGTGATCGCCATGATCTCCCTGTGGTCATTGACACTCGTGATTTGCTGCCTGATTCCGCTCTCAGCGCTTTCCAGCTGGGTTTTCGGAAACCTCACGTCCAAATACGCCACGCAGGAAAACCTCCTCAATGCCCGAGCCCTGAAGATCTTGGACTGGTGTTTTATGTCCGGCGCCACCGTGCGTGTTCTCAACGGCAAGTTTGCTGACCTAGTAGAATTCAGCAGGGTTGTGGACGCGTCTGCGGTGGCGTTCACACACATGGCGTTTGCCATCAGCGCAAATACTGCGGCGCTCAAATTGATGAGCAATTTGGTGGTGATTGGCGGGCTTGCTTTCGGACAGCATTTGGTAAGCACCGGCCAGCTAGGACTCGGGAACGTGATCACGGCGTTCAGTGCCTGCGTGCTTTTTGGCACCGAGATCTCGTCAGTGGGCGACATTGTGGCGCTTCTCAACAAGGCCCAGGCCAGTTCGAACACCATCGATACTTTAGACTTCGGCGATCCGCTGGACGTGCCCCCGCCATTGCATCTGGCGGCCAGCGAGGTTTCCTGTTTCAGCCAGAAGACGCCCTGTGCAGATCTACAATTGCACAGCCTCGGTTTCCGTTACCGCAACACTGATGTGGATGTGCTTGCAGACGTAAGCATGGAATTCCACTCGACCCAGTTGAACTTTCTCGTGGGCGAGTCCGGGTCGGGCAAGTCGACCGTGGCGCTGCTTCTTGCCGGGTTCTTGGAGAAGACCCAGGGCGACATTCTGGTGGATGGCGTGAGTTACGATTGCTTGGACCAAGCCTGGTTCACAGAAAACGTGTGTTTTGTCGAACTGCACCCGTTGGTGTTCGAACGGCTGCTCGCCGAGAACTTGCTCTTGGGCACGGAGCTCGACCCCAGGGCCCCAGGCACCAAGACGCTTCTAGAGGAAGCATGTGAGTTTGCCGACTTGCTGGGCTTTCTCGCGCTGCTCCCGCTCAAAATGAACCTGGTCTTGCTCTCCAGCAAGCTCTCGGGCGGACAGATCCAGAAGATCGGGTTGGCCCGAGCGTGGCTTGCCAACCGGCCCGTGGTGGTTTTGGACGAGGCCTTAGGCTCCATCAATTCCAAGGCCAAGCTGGCGATCATGGACCGCATCCGGGCCTGGCGCCGCGGCTCGCTCACCATCATCGTCACGCACGATCTCACGGACTTGCAGCGCCACGACGCGGTGTGGGTGTTGGAGAAGGGCCGTGTCAAGTCAAGCGGCCGGGCGGCAGACATGCGGGACGTGCTCCCGAAACTCGAGATGATGCCCAAAACAAGGTCAGACTCGAAGAGCGACGATGACGACACTGGGACCGTTCTGGACGCCCCGCCGTCTTACCACTACATGAGCAATCCTGCGGTTCTCCGCGACCTCGAGCTGGCGCTGGACGCCGGCCCCGTCTCTGTCCAGCGCACCGAGGCCATGGGACTCTTTGCCATCGTGCGGTTCTGCTACAGAACCACTGAAAACAAGTTTCTCATCACGTTCGGACTCGTGTGCGCCCTCCTAGGCGGCGTGGCCACGCCGGGCCTCTCATACTGCTTTGCCGAGGTGCTCTCGATCATCGTCCAGAATGCCGTGGTGCAAACGTCCGGCCCCGGGGCGGTGGTCACGTGGGCGTTGATCATCGTGGGCGTGTCGGTGGCGGATCTGGCCGTGACGTTCGGCTCGCACATGCTGCTCCAGTATGCGCTGGAAAAATGGATCCTCAAGCTCCGCAAGCGGTGTCTTGCGCGCATCAACGACCAGGACATGGCGTTCTTCGGCACGGCCAGCGCCAGCTACTTGAACACGCTCCTCATGAACGACACGCGCGACTTGCGCAACCTCGTGTCGCAGTTCTTGCTGGGCCTCTTGTTGGTGGTGTCGCTCACGGGGCTAGGCCTCGTGTGGGCCGTGGCCATCGGCTGGAAATTGGCGCTCGTGGGCGTGGCCTTCGTGCCCCTCGTGTTCCTTGTCACCATGACCTACAGCTTCTTGCTCCAGAAGTACGAGACCGCGTACAAGGACCACGTGGCCGACGCGGAGAAGTTCTCGCATGAGGTCGTGGCCGCCATGCGGACCGTGCGGCTGTTTGGCCTTGCGGCGCAGCTCGCTGACGAGCACCAGGCCAAGTTGCAGAGGTTGTATGCGGCCGGGTGCCGGCGGGCGGTGTCGGGAGGCTTTGGCATCGCGCTTTCCGAGCTCTGCTCGACGTCTGCCACGGCCACCGTGCTCTACTATGGCATGTACTTGGTGGTGCGCCAGGAGTACACGCAGACGCAGATGATTCAGGTGTTGACCATGCTCACGTTCACGGTGGGCAGCGCCGCGTACCTCATGAAGCTGCTTCCGGAAATCACTCGAGGCCAGCGGGCAGGCACGTTGATCACGCGGCTCTTGGCACTTGGCGAGCTGCCCGTGGAATGCGGCGGGGCCGAGAAACGTGCCGCGAAATCGGCGCCCGTGGTGGCCTTTGACAACGTGTGTTTCGCGTACTCCGATGCCCTGAGCCACACGTACAAGGCCGTGCTTCAAAACACCACTTTTCTGGTGCTCGAAGGCGAGGCCGTGGTGGTGGCAGGCGAGTGTGGCTCGGGCAAATCCACCATTGCCCTGATGATGCTGCGGCTCTATGCTCAAGACCGGGGAACCATATATTACCACGGCAAGGACATCCGCACGTACGACCCGGAATGGTACCGCAGCCACGTGGCGCTCGTGAGCCAGGCGCCTGCGTTTTTCGAGGCCTCCATTCTCGAGAATCTCCTCTACGGCTTATCCGGGTCTGCCCGGGCTTCGGCCACAGCCGTGCTCGAGGATTGCTTGCGCGCCGCCAACGCGTCCGAATTCATCGAGAACCTTCCTGACGGGCTCGCCACGATTTTGGGCCACGAAACGCTGTTTTCGCTGGGCCAGTTGCAGCGGCTCTCCATCGCACGGGTTTTGCTCCGTAAACCCAAGGTGATTGTTTTCGACGAGCCCACGTCGCGGCTTGATGCGGAAAATTGCGCCTGGGTGTCGTCGTTGATCTTCTCCGACCTCCATAAATTCAACCCGCAACTCACCACAATTGTCATCAGCCACGACCCTAAAGTCATGGCCCAGGCCTCACGGGTCTTGATGGTGCAAAACGGCCATATTGCCGAGGACGGGGGTTTTCATGAGCTTCTAGCGAGAGGCGGTGTCTTCGCACAGTTCATGAAGTGAGCAGGTAGGTTGAACCTGCTCGCTCTGTAGATATATATATTCTCAATAAACTTACTCACCCTGCTTGCTGCGCACAACATTTATATCTTGACGTTGATGTAGGGCACTTCGACGTCCTCGCCCGACTTGTCGTCACAGCAGATCTCAAGGATCAAGTTCTTCATATGCGCAGGCACCGGCTTTTTGCTGACGCTCTCAATCAATTCGGTGATCCTCATCTCTAATCTCTCCTTGACCTTCTTTGGTGGGAAAAATGACGCGTACAACAACGTCACGCCATGCGACAACATCGAGATCTCCAAGCCCTCGTTCTTCTCAAACTGCTCAAGCAAATCCTTCAACTTGACATCGCCGTGTACCTCAAATCTGTCCCAGATTTGGTCGAACGTTTTGTCGTTGTACTTGCCCTTGGCGGATTTCACTGGTTCAGAGAAGCCAAAGAACGGGAGGGCTAAGTTGACAAAGCCATTCTTGTAAAGCTCCACATCATCGTGTTGAGCGACAACCTTGTACAATTCAAGACACACCAACCCAGTCACCAATGCCGTAGTGGTTGCAATTGCTGGAATGATCTTACCTGCAATGAACTTGGTCTTCGATGCGTCTGCAGTCTCGATACTGTAGTTCAACGCTCTACAGTTAGACGCAGCAGTGATGAACTCGATGTGGTGGTTAGAGTCATCGTCCTTCTCGAACTCGATTGGCGTCAATCTGTATCCCGCCAACGTAGATGGCTCAGGCATGGTGGCAACGATCTTTTGGATCTCGCTCTCGTCAAATCCACCGGAGAGTTTCTTCGCTTCTTCTTCAGCCTCGGCATCACTGGCGGCAATCTTTACGCCAGTCTTGGGCACAAATGGTTCGGGAACATACTCATCCAATACCTTCTTATACTCTTCGGTCGACACGTTCTGGTCCTTTAAACCATAGATGAAGGCCAACAAATGAGCACCTCCGACAACATAATTAAAGTGGTCGGGATTGTTGACATCAAACTCCAAGACTTTAGGTGCTCTCTTTGGTCCAGACCAGAATGGAGCGCCGTTGGACGTTTTAGCGTCCTCAGGGAAGTTGTACAAGAGTTGCTTAATGTCGTGGTTGAATTTGGTCTCAAACTCTTTTCTAGCCCATCTGATGCAGTCTGCAAAAGAGTATGGCCTGTTGTTCAAAAGGTCTGAGATATTAGCCAAGGTGCCTTTGATGTCTGGGTTCTGTTTCAAGGTCTGCTCCACATAGTTGGGCTGACTCAAGTACAAGTTGACGGTCTCTGGCGAGTCAGCGAAGTAACCCTGGAACAAAGACTTCGCCCAGGCAATTGTGTGGTCGATCTTGTTGGGGAAGGATCTCAAAGTACATAATGGGATGGACTTCTCGGGAGGGTCCTGCGACGAGGAGTACGACTCAGTCAAGTTGGGAACCACGACTTGAGTGTTGCCCTTCGTGCCCAAAGTGCCCGACTCGAGCAAGGCCTTTTTGTAGAAGACACAACGACGATCAACGTAAGTTCTGGCGTCCACATTGTCCAAGGCATTGGTGACGAAGTCCAAGGGCTCCCAGAACGCGTCGCCAAAGATATCTTCAGTTTCAGGCCCGACCTTGTCCAACTTGGGATGAATCTTACCAGTCAAGTCTGGGTTCATTGCCTGTACGGCCTTGGCAGCGATTTCAGACTTGTTGCCGCCCACGTCCTTGGGCCGGAACAAGAATTGCCTGTTCAAGTTGGACTTCTCGATGGAGTCGTTATCAGTGACAATGATACCGCCCTCGGGCCCAGAGCCCAAGCCCATCAAGGCCCAGTTCTTGAGCATTTCACAGCCAATGGCGCCCGAGCCCACAAGAAACACCTTCAAGTTGGCGATGGCCTTCTGGTACTCCGCGCCGAACACAGCGATTTGTCCGTCGTAGCGGGAGCCCGTTGGCTGCGTGTTTTCTGCGGTTCTTGGGTACTTTTCGGCCGAGGGCAAGGACTCCAACGAGTCAAAGTACATGAACTGCTTGACCGGGCTGAATTTGGACGAGCAGCACTTCAAGACTTCCTGGGCCACCAAGCCGCCCAAGAAGGCCGCCATTCCAGGAATGTCGCCTGTGGCCTGGGACGCCAATTCCGTGAGGAGCTTGGTGTCGAGGTCGGCGCCACCCAAAACGGCAGGGTTCTGCGCAGCGATTTCCTCGGCATAGCGCACAATCTCAGCGGCGTCTTCGGCGTTGTGGGGGCGGGGGAGCAGGCCCTGGTGGCGCGTCCTGAAAGCATGGAGTGCCTGGAAGCCCACGTGGAGCTGTGGCGGGCGGTCGAACTTGGCGAAGTCCGAGTAGAGGAACTCCGGCTCGCGCAACTGCGCCGCGAGGGGCTGGAACGCAAGTTTCACGGGCATTTTCACCTGTTTGTAAAGCCCGCCCTTTACATACGAGCCGTAGGACGCGTCGATGGCGATTTTGAACGCGTAGGGGCCCAAAACCTCGAGGCGGTGGGGACTGCCGCCGTTCAACTTGGGCATGCCCTGGACCTCGGCGAACTGCACGTAGTCGCCGTCCTGCAAGCCGTGTCTGCTGTCGTCCAACATGGTGACGACGCCCTCGGAGTCGATGTCCGACACGATCCCGGTCAACGGCTCCTCGCCGGTCGGGTCAAGCACAGGGAACGCGTCGCCCAAGTCCACAAACAAGCTGGCAAAAAGCCCGCGCGCGTCTGCGGCCACAAACCCAATGTCGTTGGCGTGGGTGAACTGGTTGATCTGCACCTGCGTCTCCAACGCGAGGTTGGTGGCCACCACGCACTTGAAACGGCGCAAAGTGGCCTCGGCAATGTCGTCCACCACCAGCACCGGCACGTACAGGTTCAACTCCAGCAACTTCTCCGCACACGCGGCGGCTGTGGGCTTGCCGATATCGGCCTCCGATAAAAAGAATTGCGACGACAAGTCGCGCGTTTCCACGCGCAGCGGGTCGTACAAAGCCAAGGACTTGACGCCGGCCAACGCCACGTTTTTCGCCACCTCCACGCCAAGGCCCTTGAGCCCAATGACAAGCACGTTGGCGTTTTGCATTTTGAGCATGGCCTCTTTGCCCAACACGTAGAGCTGCCTGGAGTACAAGCTCTCGTCAATCACGGGCGAGTCGATCTGCATACTGTCCGCCATTCTGGGATTATTTGCGGTTGATTTGCTGGTCACTTTGCGGGTAAAGGTGCAAAAGTGGAGAATGAAGAATGGAGTAGTTGCGTTGGCTTACGATTGCCCTCGCGGGGTTAGAGGGCGCGGTTGTATTCGCCCGCGCACGACCGTCGTGTCACGTGACCTGCTGCCCCAGGCCCCTGTCCCCTTGTCAGTCCGGGCCTGACTTTCTATTTTGAGAGTAAATTTGTGGTGTTTAGGGCTGTCAGATGCCTGATGTTTGCTGAATTTTTAATTATTTGCATGTGTGTGGAGGGACCATCCCCTGGTTATCCGCGTCACGTGATCAACGGCACGTGCTCCTCTCAACCCAAGACGGCGGTCTTTCTTGGTTACTAGGACGATTCACAAAAGCAAACAGGCAGACGCCAGCAACATACCTCTCAGGAAACGGCATCGGTGTAATTTTCTACGGTGCACCTGTTATGGTTTGGCCAAATTGGCATGCCGCTGAATTTGTGAGAAATGCGAATACAACACCACTGCCACGGCTCTGCAATATTGTGTTCCTACGTTTAAGTATTATGTGGTAGTCTTACTAATGTTTTAAAGATCCGCAGAACGCTGTTGCACTATATGTATGTATTGTTTGGTCATCTTTGTACTTAGTTATGGCTGTCTGAACCACTGTGTAGCGGCAGGGGTACGTAGTTGTTGCAAGATGACAGAGCGGCGACACGGCATGATGTGCTTCGAATTGTCCAGCTTATATACCCTACGACCACACGTTGACGTTTCATCTGGAACTTGACTCGTCATCCTGTTTTCTTATCGCTTGGGGATTTGATTACTGGATTGCCTAGCCCTTCAGATTTTCCATGTGTTCAGTTTTTATAGGGTTCCACAGATCATCATTTTTGGGTAGACCCAGCTCAAAGCCGGGAATATAGTGTCCCTTTCTATAGATAGACGAGCTTGAAAAGACTTATAAAAGTTGATAGAATACGACTATATCTATTTCTTTTTGGAATCGCACGTGACAAGGCCTATACTTGTGTGATCTTCGCCATCAACGCTAATTCTAGGAAGCTATTTTAAGTCGGAACACTGTCACTATGTTCGCTTAGGCTGTCTGTGCTTGTCGCCTGTGCAGGGTTTCGTCTTGCGCTTTGATGCTTTGCTATTATTTAGAAACCGCAATTCATCTGAACTTCGGGGTTTCATATTAAGTCACTCTGATGTATAAAGGGTTCTTTAAATGAGCGCATGATCCTTGAAGTGTCCTACGTTTTTTGATGCAGTGGAAAAAACTTTTCGTTCTTAGGAAAAATGCTTCAAGTTTGCAAGCCGTTGGTGCTCTTGACGTTTTTCTGAACATCAGGTATGTATACATGCCGTAGTGGGTGAGATTAAAACAGCTTCCTATCTCATAAAGCAATCTTGTCTGGTTTCCGATCGACTAAGCAAATGCTGCCGATTTATTCTGTCACCTACAACCACCGCTGAAGTCTATCTTCACAGAACCAATGCAGGAATTCTGGACCTGGGTCTAGTTATCTCTCTTCGCATGTGCTCCACAAAAAATTTCTGGCTAAAAGGCTGTCTTGAGTACTGAGACTTCAGGGAGTTTCAATTCAAATCCGAAGTTTGCTTAGGTTGTTGAACTGGCTATGCACCTAAAGACTGGCAGGAGAACAGGTCAAGCTTGGAAGGTATGCGTGCTTTTAAGAAATTAATAAAATTGCATATTTCGCACGTAGTACATAACTTCCTTGTATAGCAGACAGTTATATGTCTTCTTCATCAAAATATCATTCAAATTTCTTAGTCGTAAAATGAGCTATATGGCTGTTGCATTTTTTCTCATTATGTATGCGGATCGCCGTCCCACAACGAGTAGCCTTTTCTGATACATATCAGCTCCAAAGACAGCGTATACAATACTCGTCGAGTCATTCACAAAATATTAAGCTTGGGTACACCAATCAGATAAATGTTCCACTCAAATATTTTTTGGCTATATGTATTGCATAATAATAGTATGTGGCTGAAAAATGTCGCCTTATCGTTGACCAAAGGTATATTATACAGACTTTCTGCTTTCTGGAAGGAGGAATGCGAGAGATATTGTGCAGAAAGCCAAGTATTATTCAGGCGACAGATTGTATTTCCTGAAGCAAATAGTTCCGTTACAATTTATATAGAAGATGGGATAAAATAGAATGTGATGAAAAAGGTGCTTTTTCGGTTGAGAGGTACAACATTCAAATCAGGCGAAATTCATGAGACTCGATCAGAACCAAGTGTTACACTTTCTGTCTTTGCACAAGTTTGACTTCTATCTGTGACATACAATAATTTTTAATATCATCAGGCTCGTAAAGGCTTTAAGCCTGGACTTTTTTCTTTGGTTTACGTATTTATGTGCTTTTACTCGTAGAATAGAAAACATGGACTCACAGAGATTCTAGGCCTCAAGATAGATGGAGTTCAAAAAAAGACAAAGGAAATCTAAAGCACTACCGCAAAGAAACAAGCAATAAAATTGAGACAGCTAGAGATCCACCAAAAGCTTCAGCTGGTTGACACCTAGGCAAAATCATATCTATATCTGTCTTGTTGTGCACATTCGTTTTAGTATCTGTCACATTGCACTATATGCTCAATGTCTGCCACTATATAAGATTCTGTGAGTGGACTCGATGGAGGAGTGTTTTTCAATAATTTTTTCGTTGCATATGCCTAAGGTCTGCCGTCTTGCTGTCTTGGTATGTAACAATGTCGTTGGATTAATATTCTAATAACTGTCTTGATGCATATATTCTTCTCAATGTCTGTGCCATTATAATAGAATCTTGTGGCAGTCATCTCGGCCCCACGCCACTTTCTTCTTAGTTTCCTCCCTGAGCAGGTATCCTGAAACCACTATCCTGTATTTGCACCAATGCATGGCTTCTTGTACGGTGGGAATTGCAAATGCTCCTTATACCTTCTCGCGCTCTAAAGCGCATTATCTGGTGCCATCTCATTGCCAACGAGCAGGTCACGTAAGTTCCCAAAAATTTGGCTGACATCATTTCTTCACTTAAGATCCATTGTTCTCTTGCCCCAATCCCCACTCCAGGGCTGACCGTCACTCTACGGCCGAACATCGCCATTGTTGTCACGTGACCTCAATCTGCTGGTACTGGAGCAAAATAAGCACGCGCCAGACTAGAAGCCAGAACCCTCGAAAACAGCTGCAAACGCCCACAGTTCACCACAAGTCAATGAAGGTCTTCAGCGTGCTTGCGTTTGCGCTTGCGCTTAAGGCGCTGGGGCGCGTCTGGGCCAGGCCCGAGGACCAGGCGGCTCAAAACAACGAGGTCGCCAAGATCAACGAAGACTCCAACTTTAAGGAAAACTCCGGTGACCCCGCAGGCCAGGCCGAAACAGAGCGGCAGCTTCCCGAGGAGTTGACCCTTGACAACTTTGACGAAGTGACCGCCCAGGCACTCACTCTCGTCGAATTCTACTCGCCCTACTGCTCCCATTGCAAGAAGCTAGCACCGATATGGAAAAAGGCGTATTTCTTGACCGAGGACGATCAGCAGAAATCCAACATCCGCATGCGCCAGGTCAACTGCATCGAAAGCGGCGACTTGTGCGCCCGGGAAAACATCCGCTTTTACCCGAACTTACGGCTCTATGCGCCCGAGAATATAGAGGGGCTGGCCCCACTGCTGCGGTTTGTAGATCTGTATCCGGACGCCCTTGCCCGGACGCCCGAAAACTTCGGCAAGTACTTGAAAAGTGCGGTGGCGGAATTCGACCAGTCCACTTTGGACATGGCCAGTTTGTCCGAGCAAATGGACATGGACTTGGCTCTCAAGGTGGTGGCGGGCGAGGCCCGTGAGCCCTATTTTGTGGCGCTTTTCCTGAGCTCCGTCGACGATTGGGCCGGCTCGAGGTTTCCAGATAGCTGTCTCGACTGTGCCAAGCACCGCCAGGCCTGGCATCGAGTTTCCAATCTCGTGGCTACCTCGGCCCGCACTGCCCATTTGAATTGCCACTCACATCCGCTCTTGTGCGAGAAATTGGGCTTCCCGGAGTTGGGCAGCCGTGCCAAGCTGCTGGTGCCACGGTACATGATGTTTGTTCCGAAGAGCGCCGGGATGATCCGCTTCGATTACAAGGGCCCATTGTCGGTGAAAGAAATGAGGGCATTTGTGGCCAAGTTAGCCACCAACTACTTGTACGAGGACATCAGCACGCACGGCTTGGAGGTGGTGAACGTGTTGAAGACCGAGCTTCCCCAAGAGCCGCAAGACTTGTACTACCCGATCTCCAACAAAATGGCGTTGGTACTCGCGTACGACCTCGAAACCGTGACTCCCGAGGACAAAGCCATCTTGCCGTATTTGTTGGACACCGTGACGCAGTTGCCGTTCGACATTTCCTTGGCGGTGTGCCACAGTTCGAACGTTCAGGAAACACTTGAGAAACAGGCCAAGGGCTTGACCCAATACGCCAATTCCGACAAAACGTTTGCGGACATTCCCTTCGACCGGCGCTTGCACCTCGCCACGAGCTTGAGTGCCAGGCCCACGCTATACATCTTCAAAGAGAACTCCTTGATTCCTGCCATCTACCAAAACTTTGCCTTGGAAGACATGCGCAACGCCAAGAAGATCGAGGCTTTCATTCGCAAGAATATGTATCCATTGTACGGCGAGTTGACGCCGCGCTTGTACGACAACTACTTTTACAAGAAAGGCAAGAGGAACGGCGACAATGACAAGGTGGTGATCACGTTCTTGAACGCGGGCGACGCCACGGCAATCAAACACACGTTGTTCAACTTGTCGATGGTCGCGCACCAGTATCACGTAGAGAAGAATCGGTACTATTTCGAGGACTTGTTGCAGGAGAGGGAAAAGAAGAGCCAGAAGGTGGCCAAGATGAAGGAGGAGGATTCAAAGACCACAGAAATCATCCAGCAGATGCGCCAGCTGGTGCCACACTTGTTTGACCACGACAATGTGCTCTTCACGTACGTCGACATGGTGCAGTATCCTGATTTCGCCAGGGACTACGGACTCAACATCGACGGCAAGGAATACAAAACCGGAGACACCATCGTGGTGTCCAAGCACCAAAAGCTCTACTGGGACCATGATTTCACGGGGGCGCAGCTCACCAGCAACAGGCAGGTGTTGCGTGAGGTTTTGAAGTACTTGGTAAGTCCCAAGCTTGTGCCGAAAGAGACCACGTTGACTTCGAAGCTTGTTGGTAGTCCCTACCACAGTCGCCTCCGTGGTGCTGATTACGTTCACCAGCACGGTATCTTTGGGTACATCTTTTTCGCCTTGATGATGTTTTTGGCGTTCCAAGTGGCGAAGAAGTTGATGCGGAGGCCAGTCAACCGCAGAGTGGGGATTATTGGCAACATGTTTGCCAAAAGCGATTGAGTGGATTAGACACGGCTTTCCGGCACAGAACACAAGGCGTTCATAGGTCAGCTACTTCAATACATGACGAACACGAGAGTCGGCCTCAAGCACCTTCCGGTAGCTGGCGCTGATCGGGACCACAGAATAGTCTATTCCTGGAACCCCCGACACTCGACTATAGGGAGGCACCACCGAATTGGCTGGTACTACAGTGTCATCCTCAATAACGCAACAGTCGTTGATCACACTGAGTTCTCCCAATACGCAGCGGGCGCCGATCAAAACACGGTTGCCCACTTGGATCAGCCTGACGACAGAGTCCGCACCTAAAGTGGTGTAGTTGCCGACCTTCACGTCCGTGAAGACACTGGCATCCGGGGAGGGGTTGGCACGCGGCGGGTCGATAAGACATCGGCAGCCAAGATACGTATATTTGCCAAGTACAATTGATGGCAGGCTAGGGGACAGGGTGGCCACGTTTCCATTGAGGGTGCAGTTTTCACTGATGGTGCAGTTTTCCAGGATGGAGATGCGGTTGGCGCCTTTGATTATTGCCAGCCGCGAAATACGGTTACCGGTGCCGGTCTCGATCCAGTCGTCCATTGTAGGTGAGTTGTAGCAAATGAACCCGGGGAATTTCTATAGCCATGTCGGTGCGCGCACCTGTCGCACGAGACTGGCGCGGGTGATTCGGTAATTACATGGAGATTAATTATGTGATAAAGTATGGGATAAAGTATGGGATAAAGTATGTGATAAAGTATGGGATAAAGTATGTGATAATGTATGGGATAAAGTATGTGATAAAGTATGTGATAAAGTATGTGATAAAGTATGTGATAAAGTATGTGTTTAGGTATGTGATTTATGATGTGACTGATGATGTGCTTAATATGGTGATAGATTTGGTGAGTATTATGTGACGGGTGATTATGAGCCGGCAGTGGTGCAGTGTTCTTTGGTGTTAAGACACGGGAACGACCCTATCAAATTATGAAGAGTGGGTCCAAAAGAATCTGTATTTGTCTTTCAGTGATCAGTGGCCCATCTTCGAAGAAATCAGGACTCCCCAGAGACGCCTGCATAGCGGTGTTTTGGGAGAATATTGCCTTCGACTGGGGCCTACTAGAAGTCGGATGCAAAGGTTATAGTTTTCCCGGGATAAATAATTATTCATGATGGAATGTCCTTATTTTTATTCTTTCTCTATTCTTGAGTTGACACGCAGCACCACTTTCGCCCTATCTTTTTGAAAGCATTGCAATGTTGCCGCATCACTTTCAATTGTGATATCAATACACCACAACCTTCACGCAGTATGGACCAATGAGGTATATCCTTGGCAAATTTCGTTTCGTACTGCTGAACTCATCGACTTTTTTGGGTACTGCATTTCGCTGTTGCAGACTTCCAGAGTGGTTTCCTATTAAGTGACCCAAATAAACCGGCCGGCTCCTAACCTTCACCATGCAAGCCAGCGGAAAAATAGCAACACGGCGATCGACGTTGTGTGCATTATCAGGCTTGGGTTGACGTGGCATCAGTCCATAATACCGCGCCCCAAAAACCCTATTCGACATTTTGCCTACAGGGCTACGCCCGCAATGTAACCTGCAATAGTCACCCACAATACTACACCTACAGTGCCTATCCTGCAATAATACACCTAAAGTATTAACCAGCATTCCGTCTGGAATACTATACCACAGTACTTCATCAATACTACAACAAAACCACATTTATTTCACGCTGATAATACATAAATGCTACACTGATATCAGACCAATACTACTTTAATATTGCACCAATACTGATACTTCACCAGCTACACCAATACTACAAAAGATTACACCGTCACCAAACCAACCCCACCCCAACAGATACTCTACCACAATGTACTGCCCCGCCAAAAAACTGCCCGTCCCACAAACACGCACAGAACCGCCAAAAAACAGCTCCTCATTTGGTACCACGTATCACACAGGAATGCAATATGTTTTGCTGACACGTTGCCAACCGGCCATTGGGCGCCCGCGCAGTGTGCAGGACCCGGCACGCGCCGCGCTCCACTTTGCTCCCGAATCTCGTATATGTTGCTCCGTTCTTCTTGACTCGTTGAGTTGGAAACACACCAATTTGCACCCCACGCCACCGTGACTTCAGTCTCTCTGACCCGAGATTTGCCGCCCGAGTCACTCTTTATTATAACCGAAAAAAAAGTCGCCTATCCCCCCGAAATGTCGCCGTTGTTCAGAATCGACTGCGGGTACCAGAACTACGACTGGGGCAAAATCGGCTCGGCGTCTGCCGTGGCCCGTTTTGCAGCCAAGTCCAATGCAGACACGGCCATCGACGAAAACAAGCCCTACGCAGAATTGTGGATGGGCACGCACCCCTCGGTGCCGTCCACAATCGTGGATGACAAGGCCTTGCAAGGCAAGGTGTTGAGAGACGTGGTGGGCGGGAATGCCGCGGTGTATTTACACCCCTCGGTCGTGCGGAAGTTCGGCAGCGACAAGGAGTTGCCTTTTTTGTTCAAGGTGCTATCCATCGAGAAGGTGTTGTCCATCCAGGCGCACCCGGACAAGGCGTTGGCCGCACAGCTCCATGCCGCGGACCCCAAGAACTACCCGGACGACAACCACAAACCCGAAATGGCCATTGCCGTCACGGATTTCGAGGGCTTCTGCGGCTTCAAGCCCTTGCGCCAAATCGCGGCCACGTTGCAGGCCGTGCCTGAGTTCCGCGACATTGTCGGCGCCGAAACCGCGGCCGATTTCAGCAGCAACATCCAGCCCGACGCTGCCGCCGGCTCTGCCGCCGACAAGGCCAACCGCGCCTTGTTGCAAAAAGTGTTTGGCAACGTGATGACGACAAGCGACGCGGACGTGGCGGCAAAGGCGGCGCTTCTAGTCTCGCGGGCCCAGAGAGAGCCCCAGGTCTTCGATGCCTTGGCGCCTGGCTTGGCCGACCTCGTGCTCAGGTTGAACAAGCAGTTCCCCAACGACATTGGCTTGTTCTGCGGCTGCATGATGTTGAACCACGTGCGCCTAGCTGCCGGCGAGGCCATGTTCCTACAGGCCAAAGACCCGCATGCTTACATCAGCGGCGACATCATCGAGTGCATGGCCGCATCCGACAACGTGGTGCGCGCGGGATTCACGCCCAAGTTCAAGGACGTGGCCAACTTGGTGGACATGTTGACCTACTCGTACGACCCGGTGGACAAGCAGAAAATGCCCCTCTTGCCCTTTCCCAGGTCCCATGGCGACGCCCCCACGTCCGTGTTGTACGACCCGCCCATTGCCGAGTTTGCCGTGTTGCAGACGATTTTCGCCGCCACGCCGGGCCAGACACAGTACTTCGATGGCTTTGCCGGGCCTTCCATTGTCATAGCCACCAACGGCACGGGTCTGATCAAAGTCAAGGGTTCGGACAGCGCCCTCCCCGTGGAGACCGGGTACGTGTTTTTCATTGCGCCCGGCACGGAAATCGAGTTGGTGTCTTCGTCGACTGCTGAACCGCTCACCACCTACAGAGCTTTCGTGGAGGCCAACTAGAAATGGGCACCCCGCCAAAGTATTCCTCTTGCCGGTTTGTGCACTGGTAAAGAGACTTCTTTCATGCGAGAAGACCCGTGCTTTGGAGGCAGCGTTGTTTGATATCAGGCGAGAGGCTAAGGATGCGGTTCTCAAGGCGCAGGCTATTGTTCTAGTTTTGTTGTGCATCAATGCTTGTTTCAGTCCAGCCAATTGCAAGCCGCCATTGACTATCCAATGATGCAATGAATCCGAGGTGGCCCACCATAATCCAAGTGTGTTTTTACTTGATCTCACCTATATATTCTAAGAACGTACATTGATATATGTGTTTATACTCTCCCCAAGTGGAAATTACATTGTTTGATCAAGCTACAAAGTATCCATCCCGTGCAGAATAAAGTCACTGAGTTGGGGTCTCGCAAGCCAAATTGGCGGGGGTTGCATTATCAGTGTATTTGGCAGAAACTCGACATTGTAGCTACATACCACTCTCAAAACATGGTAATAGCCTAGTTATGATGTCCTTCTTGTGTGTATCCATCACGGGCAATTATAAGTGAGCTGGCCTTGTTCTGGGGAATCTTAAAGACGGTGTAGGATGTATTCCTCTCCAGATCTCAAAACCAGACCACCGTATACAGTTATGCTCATTTACTGTACAAGATTTTTACGCTTCAAAGATGAGAGTATCGCCTGCATCCCAGACTGAAATCATTTCGAGCATGAATGAATCCATGAATTCGAAGAACAAGGCCGTCCCAAACACAGGTACTGGAATTGATCCCGCGAGAGTAGTCGCCTTTCTTGGCCATACATTGACGACGCGACGCAGTGCCGTCTCGAGGCGGCCTGCAGAAAAGCACTGATCTTCTAGATAATGTCAGATTCCTCGGCTTCGCTGATGCCACGTTGTTCAGGCCACCAGTACACGGCATAATTTGTCGGAATCTAAAGTTCCGAGAGCCATGCAAGAAATGACCACTGAAAAAGAGATTCAAGCGAGCTTAAGCACGGAAACTGTCCCCGTAGCCACCGACGGCTCGGCATCGTCCAAGAACGGGCATCAGAACGAGGCTGGAATTATCGACAATGACCCAGATAATGAGGAGTGTCCCGGTGCAAAGCTACGCCACGCTCAGGAGCTTGATTCCCGCTCCATATACGTTGCCAATGTGGACTATGCGGCGACCCCACAGATGCTTGAGCAAATCTTCACCCAAGTTGGAACAGTTGAAAAAGTCACGCTTCTAGTGCACAGACACACTGGCTTCCCGAAAGGATATGCGTACGTTGCATTCAAAGAGCCGGAGAGTGTGGGAGCCGCGATTGGTCAGTTGGGTGACACGCATATCCGGGGCCGGCCGTTGAAAATATACGAAAAAAAGACTATTGTTCACAGTGAGATCCGTGCTTCGCGTGGGGGGCGGAACGGAAGCTCAAGAAGTAGGGGCAGAGGCAGGGGCAGAGGCCGAGGTAGAGGCCGAGGCGGCTCTGCCCCAATCCAAGGGGACTGAGTATCGTCAGACGAGGTTGGGAAGGAATGCATTGGAAAAGTTGCAGAGGCAGCTCTGTATCAAAATTTGACGACGAGGTGGGTCGCTTGAGGCTTTTGGCGCAGGTTTGGCGATGAAGCAATCAACACTAGATCAAGAGTCTTTCGAAGGCAGCGGAGAGCACTTGCCAGTCTCGCCTTGATGTCTTTGCACAGACCAAGACTGCTACAGCCTTTTTGGACAAATGATTCCAACAGTTTCTAATTCGAAAATGCTGGAAGACAAGCGAAATGTAACACGCCCAAGGCTCTTGAATAGACACTCACTCTTATCTGGCGTGCCCTTGCGCATGCTTTTGTAGTAGTGCAGCGCCGCCAAAAGCAGATACCTCTCGCAAGCTCCTAAACGGCATTCCAGGGGTTTTTCTTTAAATCCAGAAACGACTCTGCAAGCCCAGACATCCCATCTGGCCTTCCGTCCCATTGCCGTAGTTGTCGGTATAGGCTGGTTTATTAGCACACACCCGTACACCGCCGCCCGGGCCCTAGCGAAGAAAAGAGCGAAGAGCATCGCACCGAGCCACCATTATATAGGTGTTTCTTCAGACAGCCACAGCCCCCACCCCAGCAAAGAACAAGCACCTCAGTATGACGTCTGTTCGGAAAAGAAAGATGGCCCGCTCGTCGGTCAAGAAAAACACCAGGCGCGTCAAGGACAGCAGCAAGCGGGTGGTCCTCAAGGGCCACCCTCTCATGGCCCAGTACTGGGACCCTAAGCTCACATTGATCCAGAACTACAAGAAGCTTGGCTTGACCGTGAGTCTAGGAAAGCAGAACGGAGGTGTGGAGCGCAAGTTGGAATCCGTCAGCGAACGCCGCGCACGTGACGTTGAAAGTGACTCCGACGACGACGATGCCAGCTCGGCTACTCTAGGGTCCGATGAGGTTGAAACTGACCCCTTGAAAATCCCCGCTGGCGAGGCCCGCATCGTGCGTGACCCGGAAACCAACGAGGTTGTCAAGGTGGTCTACGGCCAGATGCAGCCGGAGCAGCCGGAGGAAAAGAGCGAGTTTTCCATAGTCGACAAGTTGGAGGAGTACAACAAGGAGCACGCCAAGCCCGTGCGTGACACCAAGCCTTCCGACCGCGAGGACCACTGGTTGAGCCAGTTGCACGACAAGTACGGCGAGGACTACGAGCGCATGAAGTGGGACAAGAAGTTGAACCAGACGTTCATGTCTGCGGGCCAGTTGAAGCGCAAGATGGCCCAGTGGAAGAAGGCGCACGGCATCTAGGTTTGTTTCGGTGGCATTTGTACAGTATTCGCAGGGGAAGACCAGTCTTTGTATGAATGTGGACGCGGCTTTGCCGCGCTGTAGTTTGGTAGATGTCTGTGCGGGGAGGGGACGGCCAATGGAGGGGGGGCCGGCAGCGCCTGCGGCCAGATCCGTCCCGAGGTTGGGCCGGTCAACATGCCGCCGGTGACGCCATCAGACAGGGGTGATACTCGCGCATCATGGTGGGGTGCATGGCGAGACCCATATCGCTATGCCCTTGTACATGCGACCCATGAACTTCTTCCCTCTGTAGCTGGCCCATGGGTTTCTTCCACCTGGGGCTGACCCATGCAGTGGCTTCGTCCGTCTTTCAGGACCTGACCCAAAGAGTTGTGTCTTTATTTTCCAGGATCCGACCCATAAAGTGGTTCTCCATCCACCTGAATTATAAAGTTGTTTCTTCCAATTTCCAGGATGTGACCCGTAATGCGGCTTCATCCATCATTCAGGATCTGGCCCGTAGAGCGGGTTCTTCCATCTTCAAGGATATGACCCATAAAAGACTTCTTCCATTCTCCAGCATCTGACCCATAAACTTCTTCCATCTTCAAGGATCTGACTCATAAAGAGGCTCCCTCATTTTCCAGGATTTGATCCATGGAGCGGTTTCTTCCATCCTCAAGATATGACCCATGGAGCGGTTTCTTCCATCTTCAAGATATGACCCATAAGCGGTTTCTTCCACTTCAAGATATGACCCATAGAGCGGTTTCTTCCACTTCAAGATATGACCCATACAGCGGTTTCTTCCATCTTCAAGGATGTGACCCGTAAAGAGGCTTCTTCATTTTCCAGGATATGATCCATGGAGCGGTTTCTTCCATCTTCAAGATGTGACCCATAAAACGGTTTCTTCCATCTTCAATGATATGTCCCATAAAAGACTTCTTTCATTCTCCGGGATCTGACCCATAGAGCGGTTTCTTCCATCCTCCAGGATCTGACCCTTAAAGCAGCTTCGTCCATTTTCCAGGATGTGACCCATAAAGTGGGTTCTACAGTCCTTCAGGATCTGGTCCGTAGAGCAGGTTATTCCATCTGGATCTGACCCATTGAGTGGCTTCTCCATCCCCAGGCCCTAACCCATAAACTTCTTCCATCTTCAAGGATCTGACTCATAAAGGGGCTCCCTCATTTTCCAGGATTTGATCCATGGAGCGGTTTCTTCCATCTTCAATGATGTGACCCGTAAAAGTCCTTCAAGATCGACTCATAGAGCAGGCTATTCCATCTGGATCTGACCCATGATGGACCCCTCCCCCTATCGTCGCCCATAGAATGGGCCCTTCCATCTTCCGGACCCTCGAGGCCCAATCCCACCTCTGCAGGCCCAAGCAGCCCCCTCACCCCGCAGATCCACCCAGTATCATCCACATCCCTCCAGGAGCCACGCCTCCAGCCAGGTCTCTCCATGGCCTCTCGCACAACCCCAGCTACTCCGTTTCCGGGAGCCTGCTCGGAAGGCCCTTGGCCAAGACCTTGTCCACTATGGCGCCCATCACCGGGCGGAGGTGGGCCGTCTCGTACATGTCAAGCAACTTCTTGTCGGAATGCGCCGCGCTGTCTTGCATCTCGATCATCTCCACGAACGACGGGTCGATGGGGATCTTGCCCAAGAAGTCGAGGCCGAGCGACTCGCTGAGCGCCTGCCCGCCGCCGCTCAGAAAGATGTTCGTGCAGTCGGCGCAGTACGGGCAGATGAACCCCGACATGTTTTCCACCACGCCCAACACGTTGAAGTTGACCTTCCGGCAGAAGTTGATCTCCTTGCGCACGTCCGCCGTGGCCACCTGCTGCGGCGTGGTCACGATGATGGCGCCGTCGAGCGGCTGCGCCCACCGGAGCTCCTCGGCAATCGCAATATGTTCGTCCAGAGTGCCTGGCGGCGTGTCTATGAGGAGATAGTCCAACGGGGTCAGGCCCGGCCCGCCGCTCCACACGGTGTCCTTCAAGAACTGGCGCACCATGGCCGTTTTCTTGGGCCCGCGCCACACCACCGAGCTGTCCCGCCCGCCCAAAAGAAAGCCCAACAGCATGAGCAGAATACTGCCTTTGCGGCTGTCCTCGGGCGCCGTGTACACCCGCACCGGCACCCAGCCCTGCGCCGACTGGCGCACCTGTTTGGTCTCCACGCCGAACATCCTCGGAAGCGAGGGCCCGGTCAAATCGATGTCTAATACGCCCACGCTGTAGCCTTTCAACGCGAGGGTGAGAGCAGTCTGCGTGGTGACGGACGACTTGCCCACGCCGCCCTTGCCCGAGAGAATCAAGATGATGTGCTTTACATTTGCAAGCGATTTCGGCACCTCGTCGCTCATGGTGCTTTTTTTTTGTTTTTAGGTGAGGGTGTTTAGTGGTTTGGCAGAAAGAAGACTGCTATATAGATACGGCAGACGGTGCGCTTTGATACGCGGTGCGCATCGCTGATGGCGTGCTTACTAAGACGCAAAGCACTTGGCCTCCTATATAAGTGCATGATATATTGGGCACGGGGCGCAGAGCCGTTGGCTTCTGCAGCTGGCTCTAGAATGGGCCTGCTGATTTCTGCGTGCCGCCTGGCCAATTCCGGTGCCAGGATCCATGGCCCATAGTGGGGGACTAGCCTGGGCCGGTTTTTTGCACCCAAACGAAAAACAGGCAACAGCAGAAGGATGCGGTTCTTTTTTTTTAAAGAAACATCGGATTATAATTTGTCACTGGAGGGATGTAAAGCCCCACCATCAACGAAAAACTATATAGAAAAATCTGTAATAGATCGCAACATAAGCTCAGGTGAGAAGGCGCGAGTTCCAACTCACGAAATCTCCCACGGAGGATGTGAGCTGGCCATTCCGTTTTTGATTTGGCGGATAAAGCCATATAAATAGAATACAGACGATTATCTTCAAACTTGTCCTTGTGTTATTATTTATGTTTGTATATAAATAGTGATTGTATTATTATTAATACGAATATTATGATTTAAATAATCCTGGTTAAACTCACAGGACAGGACAGGACAGGACAAGACAGGAAGGTAAAATAGGTTTATTACTTTGGGATAGTTTTATTATTGACTTACTCAACTCGCTAGCTATATTTACCATTTCTTCGGGCTATATTAGTATATATCCATACTATTATAAGTTTATATACACAAAATCTGAAATCATTAAAGTTAAATTTGAGCAACGATATACGGTGGAGAAGCCAGATAAGCTGCACCTATGTCATTCGCTTTAGGATTCTCATTCTATTACAATAGGGTTAGTAGGTGTTATGCTATCTTACGCTCAATAGACGTAGCGTGCGCTTTGGCATGTGTTTAATGGTATTTGAACATCAGTTTGATGAAATGCTTCAGCAAATTGAAACTTTGCGAATACTACCTAAGTCATGCTGGAGTCATGTTTCTTTATTTGAGATGTTTAACCGTTGATATTCTAAACCGATACAAACAAGTGATACTTGTAGTAAATATAATATGATGATGTCATGCGCAGATAGTCTAGCTTGAATAATGGATAAATGGATAGATGGGATGAAAGGCTACATGCGAAATGAAGATCAAACACAATTAGATAACGAAACACTACATCAAAGATGTCTGTATTAATTAATCATACCATTTTTAACTTCAATAACAATGCGAAAGGAGTGAGAGATGGGTGGCTGATCAACGAGAATTAGTGGTAAGTTATTTACAGATATCAATCGTTTTGGGATAACACTCAATGATAGATTTACTGAAAATGTTTTAAGTTACCAACCTTACTAATAGTGTTGGATAGGATGATGGAAAAGGGAACTTGTCATAAAATATAAAAAACTTGAAGTGGCATGCAAGTAAATCAAATAAAAAAATAGTTGGAAGTCAACATTATAGGAAAGACTAAAGACCCAAGACTAAGTGATTACAGATTGGAAGAAAAACCCTCAGACTTCATAAAATTTATAAAACAGGTCGAAGAAAATTTATCCGAGTTGGAAAGTAAACTCGTACCTCTATTGTAGGTATCTACAAAAAGAAATTAAATACCGATGAAGATGAAATTATATTAAAAACAAAGGTAAATTACTCCTCACAAATTTCCGAATCTTCTTCAAACACAAACATCAAGATGACATCTAAGATGTATTTGCTTAGGACCTGGGGAGAAAGAATCTGATTGCTGAAGTTGAAATTTCATCACAGGCCACATTAAAGGAATTGAAATTTCAATATACCAGTTGAAGAGAGGCACAGATCTGTACAAGCACCTTTGAGTCTATAATTGACAGATTTATTTATTTATTTCTGTAATTCACAAAATTAATTAAGTCCGTATTTAGTTGAGTATCCTTTAGTTTACTTGACGGGTAAAAATGTTGTAACTTTTATAGCTTCTAAAAGTTGAAATATACGAATAAAGGACCTTATACTTTTCAAATATCTGAGTATGTGATACTAATACTAACTTATTAATTTCGAACTATGGCTTATATCTTGAGACATCTTCTCATTTCAATAAAAATTATTCAACTACGATAAAGTATAGTATTAGTATCAACTTTATAAGCTTTGATACCTTTTGAATGGTAATACTGAAAAATGAAGTGAACTATATCATTGCTTAATGTTCTTGATGGCCTCAATTTTAAAATAATAAAAACCTTCTGCCCATAACCAATGTCAACCACTTGAATAATTTTTTTTTAAATCTTTGTATAGCGTGTCATCTGTATGCAAGGACAATGCCAATCGTCTCTGTATTGTTAAAGATGACATATGTACCATTTCGAACGATAGTCCTGCCTTGGGGCCAGCGGGCGAGTTGAAAATGAAAAGATGGGACTGTGGCATGTAAGTATTGACTGGACCTCCCCGGCACTTTTCGGGCCGAAGGCACGACGGTAGTATGAGCATTTCGAATGGCCTTCAAGGGTCCTGGCAGAGGCAGAGGAACAGGCCTGTTTTTAGAAAGACGCAGAGCGGTTCCAAGAAGTGGTATTTAGCAACGCTACCGAAGGCGCTAGGACGACGAAACATTCTGTGTCGCTACTCGGGACCCCTGGAAAACATCGTGCAGCGCCAATTAGGGCAGATCCAAGGCTAGTTCGTCGCCATTTTCAAAAGAGCCACCGATTATTTGATAGTTATATTCATCTCGATGAACAGCCAAATGCTCCTATTTCCTCGTAATGTCAGCACTACCAGTCGTATTGGAAAGAAAGCGATAATGACCGCTTCTAGTACTAGCGTCATTCAGCACACGAATGACTTCTTGTGGTCGACAGTGATATCAATCAAGAAGTCTGTGGTGTTGTATGCAAGAGGACATGGGAATCCATGTTGTCCAAAAAAAATCATTGCAACTGATCATGCCCGCTTCTTAGGCGACCTGCTGGATGTCGATGGTGTCTTTGGATGTGGGCAATTGTTAAGCCAGACACCCGTTGTATTAATCCATTGGCTGGTCCAGAACATTCAAAGCACAGAAGCTCAATCCGGCTTGAGGCCTGAGCTGACGCTCCTTGGCTGGTCGCTGCCGAAGAAGTCATGCCAAACACAGAAGTCGGTGCACTACAAGAACATTCTTTGATACATAACGCTGACATGGGACATGTTTCTATGCGCTGAATACGATGGCACGTGTGTGTGGTGCTGAGAATCAGTTGTGTCGTGGCTTTAAATCCAGTGTATCATGGGTCAAAAGCAAAAAACGCCGGCACGGTTCACAGCTGTGCCTCCCGATGTTTTCACAGACACAATGTTGTCAAGGCCACTCGAAGTGTTTCGCCCCTCGCTTTTCTTGGGTTACGTGGCCTTGGAGAATAAACACCATGGTGCCTTGACGTGCGTTCCGAGCTTCCGCCACACTACAAAAAGGGTGAACTGCGTCCATGAACCATTGCACGCTTCCCTCTGCAAAGTGCCTGGTGTTAGCTCTCATACTGAAGGATTCTCTCTAGCTGCGGAACGGCTCAGAAATGACTTTCACCGAGCATTCGGAGCACGTGGCATATATTACACACTAATGAAGTGACGTTAGACTCCCACCTCAGTCTGGACGATAAACCACACAACGCAGTTAGCTGTGACTATATAGTCGGAACCATCAAATCCAGTTTTTATCGGCTCGGAAACACATCATTGTTTCCTGGTTTAAGCTCTCCATTGGAAACAGCTCCAGGCATGGAGGAGCTTCGAGATAGTGAGGGACATGATGAAGGCGTTGACGATACTACTTGCCCGGCCCGATTCGATCAGCCAATTTTTTCCAAGTTCTCGTGTCGCCATGTTCAGCGGCGATTTCAGACGCCCATCACTCATCCATGGCCTGCTCCAAGACACCTCGCCAATCCTTCAAGACATCTCTAATAAGGCAGAGGCCGGCCGCGTAGGCGCCTGTATGCACGCCGCGGCTTGCCAAACACCACGTTAGCAGAAGCCCCAGCACCCAACGCCCCATTCTTCCACGCAGCCGGTTTGTGGAACAAAAGTAGAGGCCTTGTGGAACGTACCCTGCATTTCTGGACAAATCGCCAGCGTCTTCCAATACCACTGTGATCCTGCACCATGGATTCTCGATACTCAACTGCGGGCTCTGGCCATCTGAGAGATCTTCGGACCCAGCTATTCAGCACGCCGCAGCATAGATCCGGGGGCAACTCCGTGCCGCTGCGGATGAGCTCCCCCTACGAGTCTGCGCCGCTGGTTTCGGCGCGCCACAACGAGGCGTTTTTGCTGTCCTTGGAGGATCAGAATAACAGCGAGGTGGACCAGATGAGTTCCAAGGTGTCGGCGCTCAAGTCCTTGGGGGTGATGATGGGGCTGGAGATCAGCAAGTCCATGCACTTGAACGACGAGATCTCTGGCAACTTCGAGCGCGGCTCGGTGACGTTGAAGAACACGTACAACCGGATGGTGCTCATGAGCAAACGAGCAGGGATATCGTGGAAAATGTGGCTTGTGTTTTTTGCCGTGTTTTTCTTGATGTGCTACTACGTGTGGCTCTTCTAGAGGCCTCTCGCTTTTTGCACAGGACAATCGCCAGCGAGGCCCGGGCCAGGGCCAGAGACCAGCCGTTGGTGAGAGCGGGACACCCGCCGCGCATCAAGCCGTTCTGGTCTTGAAGAGCCTGGGCTTTTGTTGCTGGCTGGGGCCGGGAGATTTGGCAAAAAGCCGGCCAGTAGGCCCATTTGACAGCAAGCCGGCCGGGAGGTCCATTTGACAGCAAGCCGGCCGGGAGGCCTGTTTGGCAGCAAGCCGCGGCCTGGTCGCTGGCACTTGACAAGAGTCTGGGATCACCGGCTCCCTCCGATCGTACCTCCCGGGATCCAACAGTCGACGACAAAAGACAGAACTTCAATCCCCTTGGATCGTGCATCGCCGTAAGCATAGCCAGGCCAGAGAGCCGCAACGCCCCGTCACGTAGAAGGTAGGCTCCCGTCCATAGCAATGCACGCAGCCTCCTAGATCATCAAGCTCTTGAGCTTGCCCATGGCCTGCGACACGCTCTCCTGGCTGTGGCCAGACAGCGGCGCCTCTTCGGCGCTGGGTGCCACGTGCGGTTGCCCGGAGCCGCCGCCCCCGGGACCGGCCTCCGGCGCACGCCCCGGGCAGACGGGGCCCTGGAGAATGGTGCCCAACACAGCACGCTCGTCCACGAACGACGCCCGCGGGCTGGCGGTGTACTGCAAGTCCAGCGACGCGGCCAGCACCGCGGCCGGCGCCTCAACGCCCGCCACGAGCACGCCGTTGCGGCCCGCGGCCCTCGATCTGGCCAACTTCAATATCGACTGTTTTGGCTGGAGCACCCGGTGCAGCGGCCAGTGCCTGGGCGTGGGCGAGCGGTCCAGGCCACGCCCGGGGCCGCCCGGCAGGCGCCGGCGCCGCTTCTTCAGCCGGAGCTTCATGCGGCTCTCGAGCGCCTGGTAGTACCCGTTGGTCTCGGAGATATGGCTGGGGGCCGCGTCCGGGCCGCTGCCGTCGTCCGAGGAGCTGGACGAGCCGAGCGCGGGCTCCGAGTCGGGGTCCGTCTCGGAGTGGGCGTCGGACGCGCTGTGGGGCTCGGGCGCCGCTGTGGGCCGGCACCCGCACGCGGCGTTTGCGCCTGGCGGCGGCAGCGTGGGCGCCACCTTGATGCGGAGTTTTTTGTGGAGCGACAGCTGCGGCGTCTCGAGCACCGTGGCGGCGGAATTGCGCGGGAGAAACAGGTATTTGAGCGAGTCCACGGCGCCGAGCAACGGCGCCAGTTTCATGAGCAGGTTGGGTAGGCCCACCTGGCCGGCCGAGAGCAAGCGGAGCGGGTTCTTGGCGGGACGCGCCGACGGGCGCGTGTCGTGCTCCAGGCGGAACGAGTGGCTGTCCGCGTGCCGGCCGGCTTTCTGGCGCCTGTAGCGGGCGATGTTGGCGTCCATGAACCGCTCGAAGGCGTCGGGGTCGGTGGGGTGGATGAGGGATTCTGGGTCCAAGGAAGGGAGAGGTTCGGGGTCCGCACCCTCTGGGTCCGAGGAGCGGATGGACGTTTCTGGGTCTGTGGAACACTCGAGGGGTTCTGAATTCGTGGAACGGTAGAATGTTGCTGGCTTCATGGAACGGTCGAGAGGGTCTGGATTCGTGGAACGCTCAAACAGTTCCAGGTCCATGGAGCGCTCGAACATTTCTGGGTCCATGGAACGCTTGAAAGTTTCTCGGCCCGTGGAACTATTGGAGGTTTCTGGATTCGTGGAACGCTCAAAGGTTTCTGGGCCCGTCGAGCTCTTGGAGCTTTCTGGAGCCGCACCCTCTGCCTCTGGGCCCGCCGAACGCTTGAAAGTTTCTGGATCCGTGGACCGCTCACTTCTTCCTAAGCCCGCGCCTGGCCCAAAAGCCCCCGCACTGGCCCGGGCCCGCCCGAACGCATCGCCGCCAGCGCCCGCGCCGCCGTCCACACCCCCCTTTCCACCGCAGCCCTCCATGGTTCCAAAGGCCAGGACACCCGGCACGCCGCGCCCCCGCAGCCCCATGAGCCTGCTCAAACACGGGTACTTCGCCGGGTCCGGCCCGCAGCCGCGGCCCGTGGCCTCGCCCACCTGGGCGCCCACTCTGGCCAAGCGCACCATGAGATCCGCCGCCTTGCAGGACACGGCCTGCGACTGCGCAAGCAAAGTGCGGATCTCGGCGCCGAGACCCGTGTTTGTGCAGCGGGCTGGGGGGCCGCCCGCCGGCGCCGCGAGCCGGGCGAGCTGGCTGTGCCTGCCGTGCCACTGCTTGGCGAGCTGATGTGCACGCCTGACGGCACGGATGTTCTTGTTCTGGATCCTCTGCTCGATGGCCAAGGCCCGGCGGACCTCGGCCCGGAGGTCTTGCTGGTAGTTGCCGTTAGTGCGCTGCAACGCGTCGCCCACCGCGGCCGCTTCGCCCGGGAGCACCGTGGCGAGAATGTGGTCTAGGCGGAACTGGTCCATTGATGGGAGGGGGGCCGGGTTCTGGAACCGCGGCCGGAATTTGGACGGCCGCCGCCGCTGCGCCGTGCTGGGCTGCCGCCGGCCAGACATGGGAGGGGGCAAAAAAAGGAGTGTGGGGAGATTTGGCGGTCTCTGGGGGAGGAGTTGTGGGGGTCTTTGGGAGGACTGGTGTGAGAACGTGCGCCGAGCCATGTGCGCACGTGACCTGCTCGCTGGCCACGCCCGGTTGGTGGTGCCGGCCCGGTTTTTTTTTTAACGTGGCTTGGTGGATGGCGTTGGCACTTGCGGCCCAGCGGCTCCCACTGGGCTACGGGGACTGGGCTGCTGGGAGGGGCATTTCGGTGGCCAGGCCTGGGACCCGGCGGACGGTGTATGCAGGACACATCGCCATGTATCGATTGGACCACGGCTCCCGTGGTCCTTTCATGGAACGAAAGTTGGAGAGTCAAGATTCTAGTGTGGCTGTGTCTGAAACGATGTTGGGGCGATCAGAAGTCATTCCGCCTCACAGTGAGTGGCAGATCGTGCACTTGAGGGCGATGGCTTCTTGAGATCATTCATAATCAAAACCTGAATTCTTTGTTAGATTGCAGGGTTTATTTGCTTAAAGATGGGGGAGACAAATGGGGAAAGTCAAATGGGGAAAGACACATATACGTCTGGTCTAATGAACAATTGTCACGGCCCTCAGGAAATTTATCCTGGACACTAAGTAGTATCACTAAAGCGGTTGATACTTGCTACGGAAGACGTCTTCCTCTTCGGGAGGTTTCGTGAATTGGTGCTCGCGCCTAATACCCGAGCCAATGTTGCGGTCTATTACAGGTTCTTTTCTGACTTCCGTCAGTGGCGTGGTCTTATATCTCCGGTCACGCCCTATAACACTATGTATCTCAAAAAAACCTTTAATCAATGACATTGGTTATGGCAGACAGCCACATCTTGTCATCTGAGCCATTGTTGCGATCATTAATAGCTTTTGAAATTCCGTCTGTGGTGGAGTTTTACCAGTGATACCTTAAAATACGTTATTTCTTAAAAGAAAAAGACCATCACTGTGGATCGATCTGTTTTGCCAAAAGCACGCCAAAATCACTCTGTTGTTCAGAGTCAAAGTCGTCCAATGACGTCTCGATTCAGGCGCCTGCTGTGAGAGGGATGTATCTATATCGAGATCCAATGAAAGGCCTTGTTCCGTCTAGTGTTCACCTTCAGGCTGATGTTGGTCAATGACGGAACTGCCAGAAGAACACGAGAGACGAGAAAAGAAAATCAAGCCAGCTGAAATCCCGCAATTTGACGAAAAGACAATCTCTTACCAACTCCAGAAAACCAGTGACCCGGAAAAGTGAACGAATGGATCCATATCTTGGAAGCGGAAGAATTTCTTAGTTACCAATCAAAAAAATGCCAGGCCTCTTGTATTCACAGAGGAAGAGCTCACATAAAGCCAGGAGCTACAGAGTGAATTGCTGTTGGTATCTAGCGAGCTTGCCTTTTCGATCAAGCGCGTATAGCTTTAGAAGCCAGGATTAGAGCTACAGCTCGGTTTCAAGTAAGCTGGTCTCAACTGATCCCTTAGAGATTGAAATTCATAAGTGAATTACAGGAGAAGTCGAACAGTTGAGATTCATCAGCGAGAACATGCTATCCTCGCAGAGCATGGCCAGAGTCCCAGTGCTCTAAAGCTTGACTATGAAAAAAATGATATTTACAAGCAATTGTTGGCCAAGAACGATATGGTTATCCAATTGCAAGACAAACTCGATGATATAGCTGCGGCCCAAAGCAAAGATGTTGGAAATGATTTCGCTGGCAGGCTCACGATTATTTAAAGAAAAATGCTGCTCTTAATTGAAACTGGAGAGAGGGGAGCAGAAACAAACTCACATCGTGGATCAGGCTTATATCTGACGAGAACAACCCCTGAGAAGTTCTATCACGAGTGTGATCAAGCTGCAATCATGTCGTTGAAACCCCAAAGAAACGAATTGAGGGACCCAAAGAACATCATCTTAAAATGTCGAGCTCAAAGTGGCTTGAGAAATGAATATCTTGGAAGCCAGGCTCGAAAAAAGAAACTCGACTAAATCCAAATTGAGCAAGAGAATGGAAGAGTCAGCTTTTTCAAATGGCTTGCCCACTTTACCAGTGGCTGGGAAGGACTCCAGGAAAAAGAAGTATTACTGCGGTAAGGCTATGGCAGAAATGTTTTTTTGGTGATATTAATGTGGTAGTACTATAGCAGTGGTGGACCAGCATTGATATTATTGATGTTCTCGCAGTAGTTGCAGTGGTGGAATCGGACTAACATATTTGCGGTAGTGTTCTTTCAGTGGTATTATTGCGGTGTTATTATTGCAATGCTGTTACTGCGGCAATGTTATTTCAGTAGTATTAATGCGGTGGTGCTACTGCGGTAGTGCTACTGAGGTAGTGTTATAGCGGTACTATTGTTGTATTATTCTTGTGGTAGTATCATAATTGCAGTGGCGTTACCACAGTAATATAATGGCAGTAGTATAATAGCAGTAGCTTTGGTAGTGTGCTCAGCACACAGACTGGACGGTGTCTGATCGGCCTCATCCGGGCCGATTACATATAAACCTCATGAGATCGAAGCTATACGAGGTATGAAGTTTCGTTAATCGAGCCGGCGCAAACAGGAAGAGCTTCGGGCAGTTTCTTGTGATTTGAAACAAGAATGGTTCATATCTGTCGTTCTTCTATTCAGCCGTGACTCTGATGTTCCCTTTATGATAGAAAAAAAATGGAGAGTCAACATTCAAAAGCAGGTGGTGTTATAGCGATCAGAAGTCATCCCGCCTCTACAATGAGTGGCAGATTATGCACTTCTGGTGGCAAACGATCGGCTTCCAAGCCCTAATGCTCCTAAGGGAGATGGCCGCTTAAAATAATTTCTAATGTCTGAAACCTGAATTGTTTAGTGAGGTCGTTCGCAGGGTGTAATTACTAACGGGAGACAAAGACAAATGCACCGGGAGAAGCCAATTGTACGTCTTGCCGCCTTGGAAAATGAACAATTATCATAGGCCCTCAGGAAAACATATTCCATGGGACGATGGCATTCAGTTTATTTACTTAAGTGCTTGACATTGGTATGGCAGTCGTCTTTTTGGGGGAAGTCACCTGCTCTTTGAAATTTCGTTAATTGGTGCTGCCGCCTCAATACCTTAGCCAATGTTGTGATTTATTATGGGCTTTATAGTTGCTTGTGGTGGTGTCTTACATTCCTCAAGTGACACCATATAGTATAATGTCTCCATAAAAAGCTTCCAGCTTTATTAAAGAACAACATCTGGACTCAATATTAGGGGAGCTTTTCGAGCTCGGTGTCAGAAAGCAAAAGAAAGCCAGACTAATACTTTTATCAAGTGACTAACACGGAGCTACTAGTCCACGTTGCCTCAAAAACCTCCTCTATATTTTGAAGATGTTATCATCGACAAACGTTTGTATGAGAAGTACTTGCAATAAACGACATATGCAGGTTTACAATTTGCAGTAGCATGACAATACTACACAACCTGAAGTTGCACAGTAACAGGACTTGTGATTTACGGGATTAGACGTTGCTGGAAGCACAAAAAAGAATAGATATCAGCATTGGGAATCTGCTCCTGGTGAAATCAGCACCAAGAAGAATCGAAATCTTGGGGTTTTCAGTTGGACAGACGTGACAAAACCCGACACAATGGTCAATTCCAGGCTCGAGACATGATTTATTTCTTGTGGAAACCGAAACATATGTGACGGAAATTGATGGCCCCAAGTATGTTGTCAATTGAAAAAAAGCGGCACTAACAAATCGAAGAAAGACAACCCAGGGTCAATAGCTGATGTGATGTACGCTATGAGCACATCTTTGTTCTGTTTCGTTTGACGAGGTCTCCAGCTGCAAATTAATCGACACGCTTTGGGTATACAGTCGAAGTTTTGCCGTACGTAGGACAGGAAATATTTCCTAAAGTGAAAGCGAGCCTTTCGCCAGCTTCTTGCACTAGTCCTTTTTGACATTTCTTCCTTCAATCCATTAGTACCGCCGCTTTTCTGAATCGCCCACTTTTCCTGCGCCATTGTCCGTCACTGTCTCAGCCAGTTTTCCATCACCTAGCTTTTACCCGATAGCCGACATTGAAGATATTTGACACTGGAGCCTCTTCGTCGCATCCTCAAGTCTTTATCCAGCAGGCAAAGACATATGTACGACTTGCCGTTTTGTCAAATGAACCATGGTCACAGGTCCTTAGAAACGTATCCTATGGGACGATGGCATTCAGTTAGTTTTTCAAGCGGCTGACATTGGCTATGGGCAGTCGTCTCCTCTTTGACATTTCATGAATTGGTGCTCGCCCTTCTCACATTACAGGCATTTTTGTAGTTTTCGTCAGCGGCGGGGGTTTACATCCCTAGTTACACTCTATGATGTTTCTTAAAAATAAAAGGACACAGGATCGCTGGCGCCTGTCAGAAGCTAATAGTTCCGGTGGCACGGCCTAATGGTTCTAGCGGCAGTGCCTCTCTATGATTCTGGGCCTCTGAGATTCCGAAGGCAGGACCTCTCTAAGATTCCGAAGGCATCTGGCCGGTGTTTCGCCGTGGGCGGAAGGAGAGGCATGCCGTTGCCTGCGTGGTGGCGTGGCCGTTTCCTCGCTGACGCATGGCATGTGACCGGTGCCCACTGCTGGTCGCCCGGCTGCGCAGAGCATTGTGCTGCAGCTTTGAGCAGCGCTCTTGGCCCGACACGCCCCAGGCTTGGCCCTCGACACCAACGCGCCCGCCCGCGGCGCTGCAAGAAATCCCGGTCCTCAGAGAACACACCTGCACGGCTGTCCTTGCTCCAGGGCTTCGCGCCAGGGCCTCGCGCGAGCCTCAGTAGTACACGGAGGCCCCCTTCGACACCTCGTTGCGGTCGCCAAACGGATCGCCACTCTCCGTGGACACCGCCGTGTCCTGTCTCGCGACTGGCTGTGGGCGTGCGAGTGCTTGGCGGCGGTCGCGTGGATGCACGGGCACGGCCAGGCCAGCGGCGTCGTCCGTGTCGGAGCCGGCGTCGTTCACGTCCAAGCGCCGCAATCTGCCAGCGATCGCGTCGTTCTCCGTTCCCGCGCCGGCCGCGCTTTCGCCAATGTCGTCCGCGCCGGTCGCACTTTCGCCGTCGTCGATCTCGTCGCCCGCACTTTCGTCGTCGCTGTCGCTCGTATAGTAGCTCTCGCCGGAGCTGACGGACGCGTCGTCGCGGCGGTCGTCCTGGTGGTACTGGGCCGGGTTTTCGGGCGTGTACCCGCACATGGCGTCGAAGCGGTGGAACGACGCGACCAACTGGTCGTTCGCCACGAGCAAGCTGCCCAAGAACTCGTCGTCCAACTCCAGCACCTCCTTGCTTTTGTGGCTGCCGTCGCCCGCGCCCACGTACTGCAAGTAGCGGAGCACCTTGCGGCGGATCTTGCGGCACCGCTCGAACTCCGCCGCGGCCTTGGCGTCGTCCATCGGGTCGGAGCCGCGCGCGAGCGCCAAGAGCGCGTTGTCCAACGCGGTCGTGTGCGTGTGGCAGTCCGCAATGGTGGTCCGGATCTTGGGCGCCTCGGCCCGGTAGTTGATCTGCGGGATCTGGTACTGCTCGTCCGCGTAGACCACGCCGCGCTTCCGCTTGCTCTTTTTCTTCTTCTGCTTGGCCGCGTACGGCGACTTGGTCTGCGGCCGTGGCGGCGGGACATGGCGGGCGCCGCTCCTGTCGTTTTTGCCGCTGCTTCTGTCGTTTCTGTCGCTGCTCCTGTCGTTTTTGTCGCTGCTTCTGCCATCTTTGTCGCTGCTTCTGTCGGTTCTGCCCCCGCTTCTATCGCCCGCCTGCCGCAGGCGCGTGCCGGGCTAGGACCGCGGCATGGCCTTGTACAAGCCGGCCAAGTTGCCATAGCCAGGAAGCTCCTGGAACTCGTGCCTCCAGCCGCGGGCCAACTCGCGCACCCTGCGGACCACCAGGCCGTCGTAGGGCCCCCCTAGTCCGGAGCGGGCCAGGCCCGACGCCACGGCCCTCAAAAGCTCGCCCAACTTGTCGTCGGCGGCTATCGCCTGGCCGATCTTGGAGCCTGCATTGAGCACCAAGAGCTCCAACAAGTCCAACGCCAACACCAGCTCGGCGGGCGTGTTGCCGTACTTGATTTTCTTGCGGATGGCACGTGCCGCCTCCACCGCGCCCAGGCTCTGGAGCTTGATGAGCGAGACCAAGTCGGGGACGTAGAGCTCCATGGAATCGTCTTCCAAATCGGCGTTTCGGTTAAGGGTACAGAGCTGGTTCACCTTGACGGTGATGGACGTGAACGGTTTTTCTCCGAATATGGGCATTGTGATGGGTTGACGGGATACAAGGCACGACGCACAAAGAGGTACGGCGGTGCTGATTGTTGAGGTTGTTGGAGCACTGTTGATCGTTCACGCGGAGACGGAGACCGGCGGCTGTGTGCAGGCCCGCCGCCCCACGGGCCGGCCGGCTTTGGGATTCGGGGTGATTCTGTGGGTCTGGCCGGGGTTGAAATTGGGTATGGCTGTGGTTGAAATTGGGTCTGGCCGGGCTTTAAATTTGATCTGGCTGGGGTTGAAATTTGATCTGGCTGGGCTTCTAATTGGATCTCGCTGGGCTTCTAATTCGATCTCGCTGGTCTTCAAATTCGATCTCGCTGGGTTTCAAAAGTGTCAGAAGAATGGCAAGGTTTGAGCTTCCCCGCAGAACACATCCAGTGCTGTGGAATACCTACACAGCCATGTTCCAAGGCCTTGCTGAATCTCGGATTCTGCTGTGATCAGGTCTTGTTGCGGTTTTGGAACGGTGCTGACTGATCTCCTGGCCCTATGTATGCAACGCCACCAGTGCTGGCCAGTAAAGTGGCCCACCTTCACTTGATGTGAGGCGTGCGGTGGTATTGATCTTCCAAGCAAGAGCCTGGTGTTTTAGTGATGTCTGTGATGGAAACGAAAATATCTTGGTTTTCGGACACGGAATGTTTTTGTCCAGCGCTGGCTCCAAGAGTGTCGAACGCAAGTGCAAAGACCATGTTGAAGGCATTCTAAACGACGCTGTCTGCTATCGCAGTTTCCTTGGAAGGCCGACTTTCGCAGCAATGGCATTTGGTATCTCTTGTCTTAATTCGCACCTCAAACGAGACTAGGCCGGAGCTGTGCGAAACAGACTCCCCTGGGTACGCCATGATACCTTGCATAAATTTAATTTATACTGCTAGGAGATGATAAGACGTATATGAGGAATGGCCAAGTTTACTCGATTGGCTTATATCCCCATGGAAGCAACTAGTTAGTCAACTGTGTTTCTACAAACCCCCGCATCGGGTGTCAATCAAGTATCTTAGTCATGTTAATAAAAGGTATTTCAAGAGTTGAGGCTTCTCTTTATCCACCCCGTTCCGAAGGCCCGTTTCAAGGGCAGCGTAATCTGCGTTGCTGTTGGTTTGGTCCTAATCAACATATTGCATTTCGTCCTGTATGACAAACTGTACATATCTATTTCAGCCATTGACATTCATCTGGCTTATTAAGCTTATGTTTTATTCAGATCTCAGAACCAGCCACGCGGATCTCCAAAGGCGGGGCCCAGCTATGTTCATACATAATACAAGCCATTTTTTATACTCCAGGATTGGCCAGACAATCAGGACCTGATTTCCGATATGGCTTTGGCGTCAGAGTGCAGGGTCCCTCGCTGAAGCCGGTTCCATGCTAGCGGCCTTGTCGACAGACAATAGGAAAGTCAAATATTTCCTGCCAAATCGAAGGGGAGTTCCCTGCAGCGACAACCTTGAGTTTTGGTTTGGCTGTACAAACGGCACAAAAATTACTCATCGTCCAAGGCCAGAGATAATGGCGAGTTATCTCATCTTGACAAGGATACATACCTGGCAAATCGTGGCACAGGCCCACGAATCGAGTATCTTTACTTGCCCGCCTTTTTTCTCTCTTTGTTCAAGGTTTACATCAACGCGAGATTTTTACCGGCAATCGGGAATTTTGTTGGATTCTGATTCCTACGACTCACTGTAATTAAGTCATTTTTCGCAGCCGTTCACCACCTCGAGCAAAAATGTGCAGACATGACTCACACCCACTCCGCCAAAATCCAATCTTTTCAGCAAAATTCACATACGGCCGTCCCATCAAAACATCATCCGGCAGTCCTCCTCCCAACCGCAGCCAAAAATCCCAACTACTCCCACGGAATCATGGCATCGGGCCATTGGCGCCGGGCACGTGACCGCCCCAGCCGCGCGCCGCCAGCAGACTACTCGAGAAAATCAGGAAAAATTTTATACATCTACCCCATATCATCTGTTTTCACCATGGCTGACCAAAACCAGTACACGCCGGACAAGTTGGCCCAGGACATGGCCAATGCCAACGTCTCTGCCCAGGCAGGCCAGTACAACCCAAATGCTGCCCAGGCGTTTGTGCCGCAAGGCGGCTACAGCCAGTACCAGAACTACCAAGGCCAAGGCTATAATCAGGGCCAAGGCTATAATCAGGGCCAGGGATACAACCAGTACCAGAATTACCAACAGGGTAACAAGGGCGGGTACAACAACCAGTACAACCAGTACAACAACCAGTATAACCAGTACACCCCTCCGAACGGCCAGTTCGGAAACCAGTACACCAACCAGTCCTACAGCGGCTACCAGCAGCAGCCCCAGCAGGCCCAAGGCATGTCCTTGGCCGACTACCAGAAGCAGCAGGGCGCGTCGCTGGCGAGTTTGAACAAGCCCAAGAAAACCTTGAAGTTGGCCTCGCTGGCGGGCATCAAGTTGGCCAACGCCTCCAAGCCTGCAGAGAAGAAGCCGGAGCCCAAGGACGAGGCCAAACAGCAGCCCGCCCCGGCCGCAGAGCCGAAAGCAGAGGCCCTGAAAGAGGCGCTCAAGGAGCCCAAGAAAGAGGCCTCGAAAGAGGCTGCAGACGCCAAGCCTGCATCCAAGCCCAAGGCCGCCAAGCCGGCCTCCCTGGGCTCCAAATCCGCCGTCTCCACCAAAGAGCTGACGCCCGTGCCGACCGCGGACGCCGTGGCCAAGGCGCAGGAAGACGAGGTCGACGAGGAGGTCGTCAAGGACTTGTTTGGCGGCAAGGATCACGTGTCGATCATCTTCATGGGCCACGTGGATGCAGGCAAGTCCACCATGGGCGGCAACATCTTGTACTTGACCGGCGCCGTCGACAAGAGGACCGTCGAGAAATACGAGCGTGAGGCCAAGGATGCCGGAAGACAGGGTTGGTACTTGTCCTGGGTCATGGACACCAACAAGGAAGAGAGATCCGACGGTAAGACCATTGAGGTCGGCAAGGCCTACTTCGAGACGGACAAAAGACGCTACACCATCTTGGACGCGCCCGGACACAAGATGTACGTGTCGGAAATGATCGGCGGAGCCTCGCAGGCCGACGTGGGAATCTTGGTCATTTCCGCCAGAAAGGGTGAGTACGAGACCGGCTTCGAGAAGGGCGGCCAGACAAGAGAGCACGCGTTGTTGGCCAAGACCCAGGGCGTCAACAAGATGGTTGTCGTTGTCAACAAGATGGACGACCCCACCGTGGAATGGTCCGAGGAGCGGTACAAGGACTGTACGACCAAGCTCGGCCAGTTCTTGAAGAGCATTGGCTACGCTAAAGACGACATCATCTACATGCCCGTGTCCGGGTACACGGGCGCGGGCTTGAAGGACCGCATCTCCAAGGACGTGTGTCTGTGGTACGACGGGCCTTCGTTGCTCGAGTTCTTGGACAACATGAAGACGGTCAATCGTCACATCAACGCGCCCTTCATGTTGCCTATTTCAGGTAAAATGAAAGACATGGGCCTTGTTGTCGAGGGTAAGGTCGAGTCCGGCCACATCAAGAAAAACGGCTCCTTGTTGATGATGCCTAACAGATCGTCCGTAGAGGTTGTGACCATCTACAACGAGACTGAGCAAGAATGTGACGCCGCATACTGCGGTGAGCAGATCAGATTGAAGCTCAAGGGCGTTGAGGAAGAGGACGTGCAGCAAGGTTACGTCTTGACCTCCCCCAAGAACCCTGTCAAGACCGTGACACGCTTCGAGGCGCAAATCGCCATTGTCGAGTTGAAGTCCATTTTGTCCAACGGCTTCTCATGTGTCATGCACTTGCACACAGCCATCGAGGAGGTCAAGTTCATTGAGTTGAAGCACAAGTTGGAGAAGGGTACCAACAGAAAGTCCAAAAAGCCACCCGCGTTTGCCAAGAAGGGTATGAAGGTTATTGCTATCTTGGAGGCCAGCGAGGCTGTGTGCGCTGAGACGTACAACGACTATCAGCAATTGGGTAGATTCACCTTGAGGGACCAAGGCTCTACCATTGCTATTGGTAAGATCACCAAGTTGTTATAAGAACGAGTCTGCTGTGTTATGTTACCAAAAGTGAAGGGCCTGTATTGACTAGGAAAGTGGATCGCATCGCGCTGGATTTATGCCAGGTCTGCCAACCGGCAGAAGACGTCCAAAAGGTTCTCCAAACCATCGAGAATGTTATCGTCGGGCCCTTTGCCCGGTGCGTATTTTGCGTGGGCAAAATCAATGAGGTTTAACCGGGAGAGCGGTGCTTTACGGTGTTCGAAATCGGACTCCACGTCAGAGTCCGCGTCCGAATCGGCGCCGGAATCCACGGCATAGAATGGGTCACAAACCAACGGGTCTGCCTCGGTATATGAGTCCCCATTGACGCCAGCCCATCTGGCGGGATCGCCCTCGTAGATAAATAACAAAGAGCCTGATTTGATCCGCACCTCAGCATCCAAGAGACAGTTGTAAAGTAGCTGTAATCTCTGGACAAACCTCGAGAGAAGCAAATCGTGAACCTGGGGCTCCACCAGGAAAAAAAGCCCTAGGCCTTTTCCCACACTGCTCTTGTCAAGCGACCGGCCAAAAATCTTATCGAAACTGGTGTACAGCCCTCCATCCTCTATAGCTTCGGTGTGCATAGTAGCGTCCATATCGGGGAACAACGGAGCCGGATTTAGGGGCGTCTGACTAAATATTTTCATGCCACAAATGCGGAACCCGAGCGAGCCGCTAGTGGTGGCCTTGCTCACCGCCTCCAATCTTGCCTTTTTTTCCAACAGAACCGTGTCGTCAGTAAGAACAGAGCCTAGCTTGATATCGAGGATGCACGGGTGCACAAAACGATGGTAGAGGTTCAGAAGTACGAGGTACGGGTTTTCCAGGCCTGCTGGCAAATCTGGCGCTGAAACTGCTGGCAAATCTGGCGCTGAAACTGCCGGATTCACGCTGCTGCTGACTCCATCTGGATCTAGCACCATGGCGCCTTCCACGCGCTCAAAGCCCTCATTCATAGTGCCCATATATGTGGGCATCCAGTGCGCTAGCTGGCTGCCCAAAAGCTCTGGCTCTGCAGACAAGCGACTGGACGCCTGGGCGTAGAAACTAATTTCTTGTGGCGACAGAAGCTTGGCAAAAACCGGGCCGGCGGTAAGCGCCCCGTCATGGCCCGCGGCCTGGTGTACCGATGGGGTGAAGTTCATCAATGTGGAGATGATAGATAATGTAGGTTGATGATGAGGTGCGATAGTGGAGTTCGCGGCCGCGGATGTGCCGCGGCAGCGTGGGCCATAGAGTCTATTTTTGGTCGCCATTGGTGTGAGAGATAGTCCGTGAAGGCTTGAGTTTTGTTTTTTTTTTTTTGTATTTTTTTCCTCGGCTCATCATTCCAAGCTTAGTGGTATGTCCCGAAGATGATCAAGATGTCTAATACTTGAATTTACGCGCCATTCATTTAAATTTGGCCAAACTCGATAGCAAGCACGTGGACGCGGTGATGCCCTAGATCTTGATAATGGCCAGAACTCGGAACGCTTGAGGTGGATGTCACGTGTTTTTGTGCTTCATCTAATTCTATATAGCGTCATACTATCTGAAGCTATATTTGTTAGTCCAGGATGGTGCTGTCAGCATGCTTTCCTACATTTTGCCAACGACTTTATGGTAGGTTTTTTGATGTGATATGTGGTGCAGAGATAACTACCCGCAAGATGTACGCTAACTATATACTTGTGATTTTTTTGCTAAGAATTTTAAGTCCAGATGTTCGATGGCTAGTCTGAGGTAGCAAACATTCAAGGCAAGGCCAGAGCCAGAAACGGAGCCTTGTCATGATGTGCTAGAGACATTCGCTCTTGAAGAGCCTTTCTATATTCTTTGGTAAAATGTTTTGTCGGATGCTCGCAAAGCTATTCTTCTTTCGAAATTTTGTGTGCTCATTGATGGTGTGCTTAATCAACTCGGGCTGCCATGACCAGCCACACTTTAATAATAGTCATATTGCTCCCCAATCTATTTATGATGTTTGGTGAATCGAGATCTCAGCTCTCAACTTAGCATAGAACTAATTCAAAAGCCTCAGATCTCTGAAAATCATATATAGTATTCTTCCTTATATCAACGTGAGCCAGAAGACTTAATCCGTTTGGTGAGGTTTTATTCAGTCTACTTGATATTTACATGCAGAAATGCACCTTTAGATTTGGCCAGAGTCCATCTACAGGTCCTGAATCCATGCCCCTAACACTGGTCTAAACACTTAAAAAAGAATGGAATAATTTCTCTTGGCCCAAACATTCCTCAGCTAATTCATCGCATCTCAGTGAGGCGTTGATCCCAGATTTCGAAATGGGTGCGACTTTTTCCAGGCATTTGCACCCATTTGATTTCTCCCCATTTTAGCTCCGGCGAAAACGACACCATCGTGACCAAATTTCAGAACTCAAAATCAAAGTAAAACCACAATACGAAGAGAAATAAACATGAGTTCGGATGAGATCGAAGAAATCCTGGTGGCACTGTACCAGGTTGGTTTGGAGTCTGCTCCTACTGGCATCCCCCCGACGCTTCCATTTGCAAGACCTTCTTTTGAAGAGATGGCCGTTCACTCGGCCCCATATTATATTATGTGTCTCTTGTATTTAGTTGGAGCTGTTCCCTTTGTGACACCGGGAATTGAGATGCCGGGCCTTTACAGCTTCCTTGCCTACTCTGTCTACAACATTTCTGCGGTTTACCGGAATGGAATGGTTGTGTATTTTGGCCGCAACTCTGTTACCCTCGACTTTGTGATAGCGCTATGGTCGGCTTGGTGGCTCATCAGAGCTTTTAGGCTTGTTGGGTGGAAGTGGAGTGCGTTGTGGTTCGGGCTATTTTGGGTGCAGTTCACGCTCGTGAAGTTAAAGCAGTATTCGGCCCGACGAATTGCAAAGCTCAAAGCTGCCGAGGTAAAAGAAGATTGAGTCAAACTTTTGGCAGTCCTTTCTGAAGGATGTATGTGTGTGTGGAACACAAAGAAGGGGAGGCCGTAGGGCCATCTTCGTTTGGCAGCATACTTCAAGTGGCCCCAGATTCATAGTTGTATTGGAATCAAAACTCTAAATGAAAGCTTGTCTAGCAGATGCGTAACTGAAATCCAAAATTTCGACTCTTTTTTCTCGAAAAGTGTATTGTGCCGTTCTTAAGTATGCGCAAATCGAGTAAGTCCAGTCGAATGTGACTTGCTGATTGATCTTCAGGGATTAGTCAAAAGTGTTTTGAACGTGTGTCGTATGAAGTTTTCGAGTGGAAGGAGAAAGCAAACCAGAGCAACTGTGTACATGAGCTGATGCAATCTTCGAAGGTGGTGAATTAGAAACATCAAAGTGTCTTTCTCAACACAAATTTTTAAAGGTGTGATTTACGTTGATGATTTTCAGAAAGACCAACAAAAAATTTTAGAGAACATCAAGAAATACTTTATTGCAGGCAATCCAGAAACATTCTCCCAGCTTGTACAAGAATCTATAAATATCTTGGATAGCTGAATGTTATTGCGATATTGGTTCTGCATCAAAGATATATACGACTCAAAATATCAATATGAATCATTCATACATTGCCTCTTGCTTATTCAGTATGTGGATTGAGATCCTGGTATTTAAAGGATATTGTTCTTGGCCTCTCCTATATGAATTTGAGAGGCACATGATCACACGTACCTATGGTGTCATTTCAATGGTTCCATACACTGAGGCTAGTTTGGGTCGAAGAACCAAAGCTCCTGAATGAAAATAGACTCAATATTTCCGGAAAACTAACTGCGATTTCAAATACTTAATTATCATGGCGGCTTTTTCATGATGAGATTGCACTTGGTCACCATATTTGGTTCGCACCTTGATCCAATGAAACGTCAAAAAATGGGGCTGACCACAGATTTGACTGCTCTAGAAGAAGCACAGTCTTTGCCATACACACATATTATGACATAAACATTAAAAGCCAGAACCACAAAAAAGTAGTTAAAAAAAAATTGAAGTGGAATGAGTAGATTAACAGAAAAGATAACCGTCCTGAAAACAAAACTACTCAGCCTCGCGCGAACACGTCTAATAATAGTCTTCCAAAAAAGAGCGTCGCATAGTACCAATAACAATGGGCTGAGTACATCCTACCGTATCAAATTAGCTGAACACCAACTAGATGCCAATGTCGACTAAAATGGGCAGAATTCCACTCATGAACTGAGTTCCACTAGTTCTCTGAGAACTGCCTCAGAGCTTGCAGAGCCGGCGAAACTCGAAGGCAATTCTAACTGATAGAGAATAGCGCAGGGATCCATATCATCTTCATGGACCCGAAATGCTCCCGGCATTCCAACATTCCGGACGGCCAACCCACCAAGCGTGCCTGACGATGGGTCACGTGACCATGTGTTTGCTAGGAATCAGACTTCCCGACTGAAACGCGCGCAGCCGCTGACTGTATGCAGGCCCCAAAAAGCCAGCACCGCCCTAAACCAAGAATAACACCAGCACCCATACCTCCATCACGCTATCCTAGTGCTCCGTCAAACCCCCGCCCACGCCCCCGACACGCGCCTGAAACCCTCGCCAACGCACCCGGAGCCCTGCTTATACCAGACCCCCCTTTTTTACCGAAAAAAAATGAGCAACCCGTACTATAATGGCGGCGCCAATGGTGCCGGCGCTAACCACAACACAAACTCGTATGAAATGAACGCTTTTAAATACGAGGAGGCCGACGACTTCGTCGAGTTCATGAACGAGATCCAGGACATCAACCTGCAGCTAGACAACTACTCGAACTTGGTGGACTTGATTGCCAACAAGCAGAAAAACCATCTTCAGGACTTGGATTTGAACGACGACGGCGACGAGGGCGAGTACATGTCCAAGCAAATCGACCTGCTTGTTTTGGAGGCCTCCAGCTTGCAGAGCGACTTGAAGTCGCGCATCAAAAACGTGCAAACCCAGGCGGCCCAGCTGAGAAACCCCCAGAAAATCGACCAGGCCGAGACCTCGCGCAACAAGTTCTTGGACTTGATCCAGCGCTACCGCTTGACCGAGAGCAACAACCGCGAGCAGACCAGGGTGCAGGCCGAGAGGCAGTATCGGATCGTGAAGCCGGACGCCACGCCCGAAGAAATCCAGGCCGTGGTTGAGGATGGCTCCGGCAACCAGCAGATCTTCCAGCAGGCGTTGATGCAGCTGAACCGCCGCGGCGAGGCCCGCACGGTGTTGAACGAGGTGCAGGTGCGCCACCGGGAGTTGTTGAAGTTGGAGAAAACCATGGCGGAGTTGACCCAGTTGTTCCACGACATGGAGGAGTTGGTAGTGGAGCAGGACCAGCCCATCCAACAGATCGAGCAGCAGATCGACACGGCGCAGCACGACATCGAGCAAGGTGTGGGCCACACCAACAAGGCCGTGGTGCTGGCCAAGAAGGCGCGCAAGAAGAAGATCTGGTGCTTTTTCATCTGTATCATCATCCTCTGCATCCTTGCGCTTATCTTAGGTCTCTACTTCGGTTTGAGGAAGTAGAGGCGGAGTGGTGCGCCAGGAACCGCGGCTCCCGCGGTCATAGGGACGACAGCTGGCAATGTACTCATGTGGCCCTGGGGGAAGCCCACCCAACCAGACGAAAAGGACACCATAGATCTGGCGTTGCGCCCTTTGCCACGCCGCAAGAAGGAATGCAAGCATAGCTCATGCGATTAGAACCACGTACGGGAAACAGACCCCGTCGCATTTCCCGAAGCACAGCTAAGCGTTTCGAGGGACAGCCATACGAAAAACCTAATACAAAAGATAAGCGAATGATAATTTTAACACGCTCAAGCGAGTAGAAAACCGAATGTCGACAGCTGACGGCCATGGCCGGTTGCTTGGGATAAAAGGCCGCGTAAGAAGTGGCCCTTAATACTCGGGTCTGTGAAACAGTTCATGTTTCGTCAATGCTGCCCAGCAGGTTGTTTTCGGATTTCGGATCTGACAACGGTACCAGGACCACAACGAATGTTGTTTGCTTGCATAGTCCATATTTTAAGAGCTTGTTCACTATTTTGAGTCTACGGCTGAGGGGAAAGAAGGTGGAGTGCTAAGAAATAATGCGAGACAGAAAAGACCTCGTTTTCTTACGATTCCACACTGCACGGAAATTTCAGTTGCCGAAGAAATTTGCCACGGAGGTATAACAAAAAACATGTTTATGGCTTTCCCTTCATGTGTGGGTGTAATTCCTACGAAAGAGCCCGTTAAAGCATAACACAAGACTCGACAAATCTTGGAGTTGAGATGCTCTCAGATGAATGCTCAGGTTTTAAACGCCGGAAACACATCTGCCTTGTTTGAGTTATGGGATGAACTTTGTTTAGCTGAAAATTCGTCCGTTGTTCTTTGTCCATCAAATCGAAAGCCAAGAAAAGAGAAGTAGTCAGTGAGAAAGTGGTTTGTAACGCCCCTCCCACAGAACGCCAGAGCACATGGAAGAATCATTTGAGAAGCAAAGGCAGATTTCTCCTTGGCTCAGTCGTTCCCGCAAATTTGCTTTAACAATAGTTTTTAGGCGACGAGCGTGGAATCACTACTGGCCTCATCTACTATGCCTGGGGTAGCGTAACCAAATTGCCTCATGGAACGTTCCACAATATTTCCCTCGATGTAATTCTGCCTGCTCCAGCAAGTTGTCATATATTCCAACTTTACTTTTATTGCACTTGGGAAACGTTTTGTCAATTTCGTGCACTTGTGGTTATATTTCAGCGACCCAAGAAGTACTCGAGTTACCTGCAACCTTAATTGCCTGTAATGCGGTTCAATTGTTTGGTCGAGTCTTGTTTCTCCTCTTGTTTCTTATTGCTTAATTTGAATTGCCAAAACTCTGAAACCCACAATTGTTCTAAATTCAAATTCGGTGATGCAGTTCTCTCTTCCTATTGTAATATGCCTTCTACTTTGCTTGTTTGATTGACTCAACAATAGAATCAAGCACTTTACATGCAAACCACCTGGAACCAAAAGTTCACGTTCGAAGCCCTGTGCTGGACTCATGAGCCATAATTTGCAGATCTGGCGCCATGTATCCAGGTGACCGCTGACGCAGCATGGTGCCTTTTTAGAACCGGACGAGTCGGTGCGGCTCAACGATAATCCAAAGATGACGAATGACGTGAGGACAATTAGCTGAATGGAGTCATGAGAGGCCTTGGATGCAGAACGACGGCTTCAGGGAAAGAAAAGCCACGCCGCTCCGCGGGGCCAGAGAAAAAAGCCGTACGAAAATTTAACATGAAAACCAGAAAGCAGAAAGCGTATAAGGGGGGGGGGGTGTCAGACATGAAGTGGCACTAGATCTAATTCCCTCATGCCGCCTGGATTAAGGTTTGTCCAAAAAGCCCGATCATTGTTCGCAATCAACGTCGAGGCCCATGTGCCCGGCCGGGCCGCGGAAAAGCCGTGGACCTGCCTCGGCAAGGTATCTTTCTCACAATGCCGCATGAACTGGTAGGGAGCAGCCTGCATGCCGGACAAAGTGGCTCTCCGACGCAGGAAACCGCCGGATCGTGAATTGCTTTTGCGCGCTTAACAGGCACATGCGCCCGTGTCGCATATGCATGCGCACAGCGTGGTGATGGCAAGAGCGAAAAATGCTTGCCTGAGGCCCGCCTTGGGATGCCGGTGCCCTTATCTCTCTGCAGCGGCCTGGACGTCTTATAAAAAACGACGGGAAGTACACCCTGCTTTTTTTGCCCGTAGTGATTACCCCAGATTTGTCGAGCGGTTTCCTTGGAAAACAATGGCTGACCAAGAGAAAGATATAACCCACGTGCCCATCCAAGTCAAGGACGGGTCCTCGTTGGATGCCTATGAAAAATCCATCACGGACTCCGGGTTGGGCGAGACGTCTGAAGGCGGCTTGAATTTCATAAACCGATTGGCTGTTAAGTTGAATGCCGAGACCAAAGGTATTGAGCTTGTTACAGACGAGGAGAAAAACGATGACTCCATCATCAACGCCGCCAGTATGTGGTGGTCTGCTAACATGGTCATTGCCACATACTCGTTAGGTGCGCTTGGAATCACGGTGTTCGGCTTGTCGTTTTTCCAATGCATCATGTGCATTGTGTTCTTCAACATTTTGGGTGCCATTCCAGTGGCCTACTTTTCTATTTTCGGCGTCAAGTTGGGGCTTCGGCAGATGATCTTGTCGCGGTTCCTCGTGGGCGACTATGCCCAGCGGATCTTCGGGTTTGTCAATATGGTGGCGTGTATCGGCTGGGGTGCTGTGAATATCATGGCCTCGGCTCAATTATTGAACATCATCAACAACGGCGCATGTCCACCATGGGCGGGGTGCTTGATTTTAGTGGTGTGCACAATTATCGTGACATTTTTCGGCTACAACATCATCCACGCTTACGAAAAGTATTCATGGATCCCCAATATGGTGGCGTTCATTGCAATTATTGCCCGCTTGGCCAAGGCGCAGACTTTCACGTGGGGCACTACAGTGGGAGGCGAAACCACGGCCGGTAATGTCTTGTCTTTTGGAGGAACCATTTACGGTTTTGCCACCGGATGGACCTCGTACGCGTCCGACTATACCGTGTACCAGCCCAGAAACGCCAACGTGTACCGCATTTTCTTTGGCATCTTGATTGGTTTGGTGCTCCCGTTGATTTTCACCATGACTTTGGGTGCCGCGTCTGCCACCGGCACTCTCACCAACACCAGATGGGCCGAGTTGTACGAGGAAAACTCCATCGGAGGCTTGGTGTATGCGATTCTCGTCGAGAACTCGTTGCACGGCTTCGGAGAGTTTTTGTGTGTGTTGCTTGCGCTTTCCACCGTGGCCAACAACATTCCTAACATGTACTCTGTGGCGTTGTCTGCTCAATCAGTGTGGTCGCCTTTTAAGAGAATCCCCAGAGTGTTTTGGACGGTGTCAGCCAACTTTGCCGTGTTGGCCATCTGTATTCCTGGCTATTACCATTTCGAGTCGGTCATGGAGAACTTCATGAGCATGATCGGCTACTACTTGGCCATCTACGAGTGCATGTCCTTGTCCGAACACTTCATTTGGAACAGAAACCAGTGGAGTGCCTACGATTACGAGAACTTCAACGACAAGACCAAGTACCCGATCGGAATCGCCGGTGTTTTTGGTTTCTGCTGCGGCTGTGCTGGTGTCGCGGTGGGTATGAACCAGGTGTGGTACCAGGGCGTGCTTGCTAGAGAAATCGGAGAGTACGGTGGAGAGATTGGATTTGAGTTGGCCGGTGCCTTTTCGGCCATTGGCTTCAACTTTGCCAGGTACTTCGAGCGTAAGTATATCGGCCGCTAGAGAGCTGCGCCATGTGTAACAATAATTTTAATGAAATAAGAACAAGGAAGAAATTCTACATTCTCAGTGTGGTGAAACACGCCCGTGAACGCTATTAAGCCTTCATGCAGATTTCCTATCATGAACTTTATGAACAATCTGAAACCAGATTATCCAGGACACCCCTTGGCCATCTAAATCTTCGGCGTGGCACGGCGGCCGGCGGTGATAAGGATAGGGGCTACTGACCTCGATAAACAAACCTTAAATTCGTCACACAGTGCCAGAGTGGGGAAAGCAGCCGCATCTCAGTCGTTATCTCCGCCGTCTTTGCGCACGCTGCGCGACACACGTCTCGGGAGGCCCCTGCCCTATGCCATTTACTTATCTGATAAGAGCCGCTCACGCGGCCACACGACGCCGCGCACGTACACCATGCATAAGCATCACCAAAACCTTCAATCGGACTTCCCGCCGCCGGAATAATGATCGTGGCACACGCAATTTCCGCCAGCTTCGCAGTATTATCCGTTTTTCTTTTGGCGCTCATTCAATTTAATGACCTGAGCGTGCTTGTATACTACGGTAAAGTAGCGCAGGGCCGCTTGCATCAGAACTTGTCGCCCTTGGCGACTTTGTTCAATGGCTTGGCGAAACTCACTGTACCCAAAGCATGGTTTGCACACTTTTATATTTTATACCTGGCCCTCATGTGGAGCCAAGTTGTGCTATATCCCAAAAGCATCCTAGAAAACGGCAAGTATACACTAGTTTGGCTATTTCTCACGTGCCAGGCCAGCAGACGATTGTACGAGAGTTTCAACGTAAGTCGTTGGAGCCCTGCATCGAGAATGAACGTTTCACACTACCTAATGGGAATGCTTTTTTATGTGGGCGTGTCTGCCGCGTGTCTTTTGGGACTTTTGAGCCAAGACCCGCTGGAAGAACAAAAATTCAGCCTTCTCCACAAGGCCTGGGTGGGAGGGTTGGGACTATTGTTCCTGCTTTCCCAAATAGACCAGTACCGCAACCACAAGTACTTGGCTAGTCTTGTAAAGTACTCTGCTCCAAAGAACGGGGTTTTTTGTGTCGTGTCCAGTGCACATTATCTCGACGAAATAGTGGCTTACTTTTGTGTTGTGCTACTGGTATTTACCAGAGGCCAGATTGTTGCTGAAGACTGGTCTTTGCTAAGCATATGGCTCTTCATCGTGATTAATCTTTCCATAAGTGCATGTGAAACCCACAAGTATTATAAACAGAAGTTTGATGACTATTCCGTGAGATTTGCTTTGATTCCCGGGCTAATCTAAAACAGGAAAATGAAAGGGGCGCGCTTTTATATGCGAACATCAGAAACATTTGAAATTCACTTCAATTTATGCATCCTGACGAGAGACCTCAGTGCTCTATTGGCGTTCTGATTGATGTGTTTACTGGTATAAGCACGGCATTATATGTTCCGTGTGAGCGAGCTCATTACTGAAATCGAATGAGATTTAACGTTGTGGTAGACGGGGTACAGGATGCTTGCGTTACCGAACATGTATCTACATGTTGTGCAGATGATTTCGTACAACTCTGCTTCAAGATTGCCATACCTCTGGCTCTTTTGTAGTTCTAGCGTGTATTACATTTGATAAATGCTGACGATTTATGATTAAATGTCCATACAGTGGTGATGAAGAGAAGCAAAAGTAGCAGAGCACCAGGTCAGTGTGTGTAATCAAAAGATTCTTTTGGACAAAGAAGCTGCGGAAAGCAGCACCCATTTGGATATTTAATTTCTGTGTCTATGGTGCGTATTTAGGGACCGTCTCTGGATTTCCGACTCATAAGCTTGGGCAGCTTGCTGTATTTAATCTACAAGCCACAAGTCATAGCATTATCGTGTTTCGATCGCTCGAGGAAGGCGCACATGTCATAGTCACACTACAACTCTAGACGAGGAGTTGATGCACATAAACTGCATTGACCATACTTGAGCCTTTTACTCGACCCACAGCCTGTACTTGGTCTGGTTGTGCTTTAGATTTTCGGCGAGTAGCAGAAAGTAAGAGACTAGAGTTGTGTGAGCTGAAAACATCCCGGACCGCAGGATATTAAACCAGATTACTATTCATGTGTGTCTATTTGCGCTCATACTGTTCTTCCTGCGGGTGTCCCTTTTCCAAGAAAAATAAGAGGTCTGGGATGTTCACAGAATAAGCTCTTCTGTTAGGGCATTTTCAGGATTTCCAAGACGGTGCCTTCTGGGTCTTCGAAAGGCTGATCATGAACAAGGACTTGGCATGAGCAATAACGACAACTGAGCACACATTCAAGATTAGTCGTCCAGTGCAACTACTCCTTCGAATAAGATCTAAAAAGATTTGTTGGGCTTAAGTAAAACGTTTTTGCCTGTCTTTAGTTTTCCTGGCAAAGCTGTCGCTCATAGCTCGATACGCTCATGGCACAGGTAGTCCCAGACAGTCCAGCGAAAAAAGAACAATCATGTTGCCATGAAATCAGGCCCCATAGTCGAATAGCACCTGCGCCAATGCTTACGACCAAACCAGCCTGGTGTGTATTTGACAGACTGCTCAATGTAATTAGCTACTACACCAGTCAGGTAGCACTGATACACCGACAGCCGGCTTTCCCGGAAAGAGGCTTAGGCCCGTCGATCCCTTTACTAGTTATATAGACATCCATATTCTGCGTCCAACTACAGCCCCGAAACCGCAAGGCACGATAGACATAGTATGTATAAGTGCCCTGGAAAACCAGCACAAGCATAACAAGTGCGAGCAGAAGAGCCTAACCAGACGCAACCCCACCACACCTGTTTTGAGTTGAAAGAAAGGTGCCCCAAAACAGCCGCACCTGCAGAGCCTTCCCCGGGTATCTCACAAGGAAAGCGACCTCAAGCCAGGCCGCCTCACACGGCTTCCACCAAACAGGTCTTTTTTCGCACCCCGCAAATCACGCACTCTCAAGCCTAATACTTCGAAAGAACGTACCCTGGCTTCTCTTTACCCCACGCCACCACCCTGTTCCGGCGCCTGGAACCCGTCTTTTTCTTGCGCCTACCATCCCCAGCGGCCGAATCTGAACGTGTGGCCCGACGCCTGCGTGAAAACACCCGCAAAATGCCCCCCAAAACGGAAAGCCCTTTGCACATCAGCCTACGATCGGATGGGCGCTCTTTTGTCAAGGGCAGCCCCGGCGTCCCGAACTCAATTGTACGTATATTCCCCCCATCGACATGCCCCATTTTGGCGCGGCCGCTCTTCTTTTCCCCTGCCAGTTTGGCTGCTTCCGCAGGCGTTCTTCTGGCCTTCCAGTTCTAACCATAACCAGCCTAGAATCCAGACAACGATCCACATCCGCCCCGCCAGGGGCCCTACTTTCGACTGCCGCGCCGTGACCTTGGAGCTCTTGACCACGCAGAAAGTCGTGGTGCCCTCGGCGCTCAGCTCGGGCGAAACCGTCAAGCAGACACGGGTTTTCGCCGATCCGCTGGTCTACGTGCCGCCCGTGGGCCAGTTCTCGCAGACCATGTTGGCCCTCGATGTGCCGGTGCTTATTCCGCTCGACCGCGACATTGTGCCCAGCGGCTATGTGGAAACGTGGGGCGCCTCCACCGTCCACACGCTCGTGGTGCGTGTTTTGCTAGGCACGTCCGTGGCCTCCGAGCAGACGACCGTGCGGGAGTTCCCCGTGGCTGTAAAAACGTACGACACGCTTCCGTTGTACCGGCAGTTCAACGAGCCCGTGTGTGAGAGCCAGGTGTCCGCGGACAAGCAGGTGTTGGTGGACGTGACGCTCCCTGCGTCGGCCGTGGGGCCGCAGGATTCGCTCCACGTGGCCGTCAGGGTGGCCGCCAACCACCTGTACCACAAACGCAAAAAGAACCTCCAGCTCCGGCTGGTCACGCTCCAGATCAAGGAGGTTTTCGAGGGCTTCGACGGCGGGCTTCCAGCACGCAAGGAGCGGAAGCTCCACTCGGAGACCAGGACGCACGAGTGTGCACTCTCCACGGAGGGCGTGGACAACCGCTTCCTGATGGTGTTCCCGCACGAAAACGACATGCTAGACTTGTACTCCGGCTCTGCGGACCAGGTCATCCAGAAACAGCCGGTGCGCCGCATCACGGCCTCGTTCAACAAGAACAGAAACATGCCCAAGTTGGCCGAGGGCGTCCCGCTCACCCACGTGCAGGGCTTCACGCTGCTCGGCAAGTTGTTTGCGCTCCGCTACGAGATCGTGCTCAAGATCAGGCTTGCCCACGGCAAGGACGTGGTGTGCTCGATCCCCCTCACCGTGTCCCCGTACAACCGTGCCAGCAGCACGTACCTCATGCTGTGGATCATGGCCGAGTGCCAGGCGGCACGTGACGTCTTTGGCCGGGACACCGTGGCGGACATCGTGGCCGGCCGCCGTTTCGATGACATGTACCGGGCGGCCCGCCCGTTCTGTGCGCCTCCGGTGGTGTACTCGTACAACCCGTCCGACTGGGTCGAGTTGGGGTACAATGCGGACGCGTTCTACAATCCGCGCAGCGACCGCCGGTATGCTTGCGAGATCGACTAGACATGTGACAGCGGATCTTTGTGCGTGGGAGTTTCGGCCGGCCGCTGGAGCAGCAGGTTTCGGCCAGCTTTCCTCAGACGAACGTGGTTATGGGCCAAAGATCAAAGCGCACCTCGCGTTTTGGAACTTGCGCCTGGAGAAGAGGCAGGGTACTTACTTCAGGCAGGAAATGGGGTGGTCTGATGCAGCGTGTTGGTAATGTAGCGTTCTGGCCCGATGTAGCGTGCTGGCCTGATTCAGCGTGATAGTGAAGAAAGGCGAGTCGGCAAGATGCAGCCTGTCGGTGAGATGTCTATGTTGTTGGAGAGAACGCGTGCCTTTATGGAGGTGACGGCAACGGCTAGTTTTACGAACGGCGAGGAACTTTGTGATCCAAACGGCTTGTGCTTTGTTTTCTGGAGGTCTGATGGCAACGAAAAGAGCTGGATGCTGTCCCTGCTTCTTCCGGGCTCCTGGAAGATGGTGCTCAGAATCAAGACAGGTCAGCTATTTTTTTGACGCCGACCAGTGGCTGGTCAAGACTACTGCCTGTGCCAGGTCTTGATCAGGCCCTCACCTGTGTGCTGGGAGAGTCCTTCGAAACATGAAAGTCTGTATTGGGCTATTCAGTCAGGGCTCACTTTCCAAACCCACAAGACGTGTTTTTTTTACCACATGATCTTTGTGCGACAGCCACGGTGCTTCCTTTACCTTCACCCAGGCTTTCCTGTTGTTGCACGCCCTAACAGCTCTCATTGGATCCCACTACTTGCTTTTTGCGACTTTCAGCCTCTTCCTTTGGTGAGTATTCACAGCAGGTGCCTTGCGATTTCAACAGACAGTGACTCCATATGATGCTCAACAGCTTCTTTCCAGGAGTTTTGGCCGCTGCTGAAAAATACGTCTTTGGAAACGACAGTGGCAACTTTTCAAGAAGATGTCATTTGCGGCACCCGCCAACAGTCCTATACTAATGCACTTGTATCAATGGCATCACTGATCTATGGTACTTGGTGGAAAAAAGAACCACTACACATGGCTTATATGTGACACTTTGCTCACACCGAGATCCCGGGTTTGCTACATGTCAGGGTCTCAGATACTTCATGACCAATGGACGCCATGAGAGCAGTGACAGAGACCTTTCTCCATGCAAATAAATCTGTATTGCTGCGACCCGAATTTTTCACGCATTGCGCAAATACGACACATTCATCTTTATGTGCGGAAATTATATCCTGACATCGGATGCTGGACATGTCATTGACAGTTCCAATTTCTGCTGGTCCCAATGTATGGTGGGTAGCTTCATCAGAGTATCCATACACCGCTCGCTCGCACATGCCACAAATTTGCCATACCGGCAGTTGAAAATAGCACTGGGTTTGTTGAATCAAAACTGCTAGGCGGCACCAAAAAAAACCTCATTTGTCACAATAAATTGAAACCAGTCCGTCCGAGCACGCCCATATCAATACGCTCGAGCGCCCGGGCTGCCCCAGATTTCGCACCCAGTCTGCCTGCAGAGCACTCACCTCTACTGTGCGAATGCAATCGCCCAGGCAATCCAGAACCATCTGCAACGGACCAATTGCGGCCAAAACTCCCCTAACCGGCCAAATACTCCTGGTTTCTCATCTCCATCTCCGGATTTTCAAGTAGGTGATGTCTGCACCGCCCGCGTACGCGCCAACGACGAACTCCACGTATACTCTAGCGAGCGAACAGGACCACAGCCAGCACCATGGCGAGATTTCACGGGCTTCGTTTGTGCCCACCAGCATCCACAAGGCCGTGTATGACTCGCTCTGTGAGCTCTATTCCATCGTCACAGTCACGGAGACCGTGGAAAATGCTTTTGTGAAGGATTTCGTCACCGACAAGGAAAAGTACACCTCGACCATCATGCGGCTTGTGAACCAATGCCAGATCCTTTTGGAGAGCTTCCACGCCAGCCCCACGCACGAGAAAATCCTCCGGGAAATTCTTCCGGACCTAGCCGGTGACCACAGCAATTTGCTCCGCGTCGTGGCGGCGAAATTCAGCCTTCATGCGCCATTGGCAATCGACAGACTCACGAAAAAAGTACCGGCAACTATTGAGCACTTTCACAAACACGTCGAGCTCGCCGAGCCAACTGAGAAACCCGCTGCTTCTGAAGCAGCCTCGGGTCTGCCCGCACGGGCCATCCACAAACTGGCCGCTGCCAGTGCCCGGCTTGTAGCAGAGGCGACGGGAAACTTCATCACGCTCATGGACGCGGTCAAGTTGAACTACAACACCAAACTGCAGCTCCATCCGCTCCTCAGTAACTTGGTGATCAGTCTCAACGAGTTGGTCACGCGCGAAAACAGCCAGGCGGTGGCGCTCGAGTTTCCGGGCAAACTGAAGTTGGTCAGCTGGCTCATCAAACTCAACAATTTATCCGACAACGACACGCTTTCAAGTGATGACTTGGAGCTGTTTCTCCTGGACTTGGACACTTCGTATCATGGATTCTACGATTCTTTGGAGTGAGCTGTCTTTTGAAGCTTTCGGGTCTCGGTCACGTGGGAGAGAACATTGGCGTGTCGTTTATAGAGATCGGGCAACTGTAAGTCTTACATGGCATTCCCGGTGCTCAAAAGCAATATTTGGCATATTTGGGTAAAATTACATCGTACCGAAGATTCCCTAACCCGCCGCCCTAATTTTCCGTTTTTCTGCAGGGAAACATGTGTTTTTCTTGTCCTTTCACCCTCGGCAGAGAATTCAAAGTTTTGGACGATTCCTTAGTTCGTGGCCTGAAAAGTTCCGCTGCCGCTCGTGTCACAGTCGAACATGCTAAGGAGGCATTCCCCGGATGACATGGTTTGTAGCGCCTGCAATTTCCAGGCTTGTTTTCAGGTTCTGTGAAGAAAATTGCTTTCAATCTAAAAATACAAGGTGAAATGGGTTTTAATACACATACTACCAACATAATTAGACCCCTGTGCCGGTCAGTGCCCTCGGCGTGATCGACGTCTAGCCCTTGTGACATAGACACGCCCGGTGAGCCAATTGAACGGCACTCGAGTAGCAAGTGACTGATCTCTTCACATCATTGAACATCGCCATTTCTAAGAAGATCGACTGGATCCATTGGTGCAAGCCACGCTTTTCTGTCGCTGCCTCCTCGCCCATCTACACAATGGACTCGATTTGCTCGGCATAGCTTAACACGTTCTTGATCATGGCCGCGTTGTCCGAGGCCAGGGCGTTATTCTTGCCGATTTCAAAATACACAAAGCCGTCCTTGAAAGTCCAGCTTGTCACATCGAGTTCTTCCCGCAACGCGGCCTCAAACAGCAGGTCCGATTGCTCCTGGGGGTAGTACAATAGCGTTTTGCAATTGGACACGGGAATCGAGTCGCCGGTCTTTTCAAGCGAGTGTGCAATTTCAACACGCAAAGTGTTGCGCAAGCTGCTGGTGAAGTGGCGGTATTCTTTGCAAGGCAAGTCGGCATCGTCCTGCAACAGCTTCCAGATCTTGATGTAGTTGCCCTCCATCAAGTTGCGCTCCAAATCAATAGGGTACTGCAAGAAATTGTCCTTCTCCACGTCGATGAGGGGCGAGCTATAGATCAGCTCCAACTCCACGTGGTATTTCGAGATGTGGCCCTGCGAAAGCAAGTAGATCAAGAAGAGAGAAATAATCTTGGTCGAGTCTGTGTTGGCCTCGCGCTGGGCGTGTAATCTGGCCGACCCGTAGAATGGCCTCAAGGAAGCAAAGTAGTGTTCAAATGCCTGGTACTCGGCGGCTAAAAGCAGCAGCAAGGCGCCGATTTCCAAGATGCGCTCGGCAATCTTGAGGTCGTTCAACTGCTCCGTCGTCTCGGTGTTTGCGCCCATAGGCACAAGCAAGTTGTGCTTGATCAACTCGATCTTAATTGGAGGAAGCAACTTTTGGCATTTCTCGTAGTTCTCGGAATCGAACAGCGCGTACAATTCCTCAGCGAGTTTAGGAAGGGCCATTTTGAGGGAATTTGTTGAGTATGTAAGAGGAGGGGTTGCTGATCCGCTCGTGTAGGGCTGCTAAGTGGAGAAAAAAAGATGTATTAATGAGAGGTTTAGATGTTGTTGAGACTTGTTTAGACGTGCGGAAGCTGGGAGGTGGCGCTGGTCGTGCGCGCCGCAATGTTGTCTTGGGTGCAAATTAGATACAAAGAAACAAACAACATACAATGGCTTGTCCTTTGTGGTGTGATGCGGGGTATTTAATGATGGCTTTAAGGGGCTACTTTTGTTTTTAAGAAAAACACGATATCTGTGGGATGTGGATATTGTGGGGGCCGTATGCTGTTCGCATGAATATTCGGATTCCAAGCGTAGTATACTTTGAGATGGCGTGTATTCGATATCCTGAGATTGTTTTATAACTAGAATATAATCTTGCTCTTTGCAATTGCTTCGGTGTATAGTATCATGGAGCCTCCATGTTTATGTACTGGGTAGCAGTGTGTGTTGAGTTCATTATTACGCATACCTTGAGAATATCTTTCTTTTGGCATGAGCCCTCATACGACTTCAAAAAACTTGATTCAGTCAGCGGAACTCTGGTGAAATCCTCATCTTTTTGCTCTTATCTGGTAGTACAATCCACAAGCTGATGCGACTGTGGCATCATCTTAGATCGTAAATACATATGATCCCTTTAAGAATAGAGAAGGCTGGTTTGACTGACGAAAGCCCCCAATTGTTCTATTCCACTCAATGGTTTAGGAGCGGGGAAACACAACTTCAAATTTTGCCTAAGACTTTTGTGCATGCCTTTTCAGAAAATTCTCTCATTGAGCAATAAAAGAATCCACTTGCAGAATTTCTGTATGTCGTCGTTCCGCGAGAATTGTTCTAGTGATTTGTTCTCTTTAGTCCTCAGGTTTCCCAAAAGAACTATCACTTCACTCTTGACGTAGTAACAGTGGCTTTTCCGAGAATCAAAAAGGCACTCGAAAAAAAATGCAGGTGGTTTGTCAATCAAAACAGGGTTACGAAACACGGGCCAAATCCTTTACATTATGCGCTGTTAGTTTTTTTGCCTCAGAAATTTCGGTCTGATTTAAATTGTGACTAATCAGCTTGAGAAATAGACAGAATAAGGCCAAGAATGAGCTATCCATTATCCGTTCGTAGATTCTTGTTCCCATAGAATGCAATGCTCAGTCTAATCACCACAGGTTCTTGCGCCAATTGAAGATTTTTACATCGCTTAAAAACGCTCTTATACTCAATAGGTACCACAGGAAGAAACATGAAATTGCGCAGTATTCCATTTCCGAGCTAAGGATTTGCTTTTCGGCAAAGCCGTTCTCACTACCCATAATCACAACTCATACTGAAGTAACTTGTATACTGAAGAAGTTTGAGCGAACCAGAAGACAAAGTGGATCGCCTAGCTTATTGTGAACCAGAGGACTTGCATATTGGGGAAAGTAAACGGCACACAGTTCGGAAGACAGGCTCCAAAATTGACACAAGAAACCTTGGCTTTCTTATGACGTTCTTTTTTAGAGTGGATGAATTGACTTGGAAACTTGGCTAGTCATGCTTCTTGTTTGACTTGTTGTTTTTGGGGTCTGGTTATGGTAGCCAATTACATTTTGAGACAGAAGCGATATGCAATATTTTGAATCTACGAAGACCATCATCGACCTCAATTCAATGACAGTTCTAATAACGAATACGGACATTTCAGGGAAACGGGCCTGGAATATTGTGTACCTAATAGCTTTTAGACGCATCGAAAGAACATGCTCGGAGTTTAGTATTTTTAATTCAAAAAAACAATTTGGTCATAAAGATAGGTTTTTGCAGATTTTATAAGTAATGAACATCGATATGTGGTACAAATATTCAGCCAATAGTGACTTTAAGTCTTAAACCCCTCTAGAAACTACTAAAAAAATGCTTAATTGGATGGATACACCGACTTTATGGCACAAATTCCTGTGCCCATTTCTTTTGGCCAGTTTTCAAGTTAGCACGCGTGAGCTTAGTATGCAATCTAAGAACACTTACGCCATTCCACGGGCATTCTTTTGCAAAAACCAACTACTACTCAAGCTGTTTAAAAAGTAAAGTGCGCAAGCCCGGAATCGAACCGGGGGCCCAACGATGGCAACGTTGGATTTTACCACTAAACCACTTGCGCTTTTGTTGTCTTTTTCCCGGCCAAAACAATAATATAGCTTAAAATTAGAATGAATATGCGTGCTTTTTTCTTCAGTCATTAATTATATGACTGATCTCGAGATTAAAAGCACAAGTGAAATTATTTTTAGTGGTAGGGGAGTCCACGCATTTTCATCAGAGCCAATACGTAAACAGATACGTGCCATGAGGACTGTCCAGGCCGTGACTAACGGAAGGGGACGGGTCGAGCTAAGACACTTGGTACGTAGCTGGGAGCTGTTTAAAGGTTTTTTATATATATTCGTTATATAGTTTTGCCCCTTTAATCAGATG